GACATTGTATGGAAAACTTGGAATGGCGGCTTCCGACGAGTGACGAACTGACGAAAGCCTGGGCGAGGGCCGAACGCACCACATGACTCATGCGCATGGCGGCTTAGCCCGGGCCCTGGCCCGAACGCCACTAATTGGTGCGCACTACTGAAATCCTGACTTTACTTTAATAAAACCGAATAAAACCGGATTTGGGCAGTATCTAGGCGCTCCGGTTTTATATAAAAACCGATTAAAATCTGAATGAATAAAACCGGGCCGTGCTAGCCTTGAACAGAGCATGGCTTGACGACATAAGAGATTGGTGCCAAAAAATATGTGGCGCTACTTGAGCATGTTGGCACAAGATAGGGGAAAGTGGAAACATGGCGAAATGTGCAGTAGACACCTACAGACGATCTGCCCATGGATCGTGATGATGATGAATCTGTAATATTCAATCACAAACTCACTTCGGGTTACCTACATTGAATTCAAAACCATCACAGCATTATAGGGTTTATTATGAGGTTTTATTTTGGCACATGTAAAACTCAGTGGGCAATACATTATCTTTTTTTTATATATAATGGGGACCTGGTTACAGAAGCATGTTTACAGCAACAACAAAATAAAACAAAAACTGTACACGATCAAGTTCCGAATGACTTGGCCAGACGTCGATAATGGCAGAACCATCACGAAACATAAAGTACGAGGTTATTAGAGCACATCACACATACAGAGAAACTTGTCATAACTGCAATCCTATTATCCGTGTCATGTTATAGGTACCTGGGGGGGGGGGGGGGGGCGGGCATCTGCCCTGATACCACTAACCCGTGTGCGAGTACAGAGTTGCAAAACTTGGCACTGGACGTCCCGTGATAAGGCACTGCATGTGTCCCCACTCGTACATGCTATATATTCAAACCGTATCATCTAATCACACAAATATACAGTGTAACAAACGTTTCGTTGATTTTATTTATTTTTGTTTTCCCGGCCAAGTGCCCATTGAGCTATATTATTCAAGGGTGACCCCGGGGGGGAGGGGTAAAAGGAGGATACGAAAAAATAAAAACATTGAAAAATCTAAAATATTACAGATAGATAATTTGACAAAGTTTGAACTATTCTTTGGGTACCAATGCCATGGTGGTAGATCCTGCAGATGTGCCACCTCCGATTAGCATGGTTGGCTACGTACGGTGCGAAAGCTCAACATACATACAATACACCCCTCCATCGCTTATGATCTTCTTATTCTTCTTTGTCATTAGTATGGCTAATGTTCATGTCGAGCAGGCAATTGAGGTGGTTACACTGAGGTGGTTGAGCCAGATAATGCTGTCAGGACTATTGGAGTGGTGGATCGCCGTGATGCCGCCTTTGTATTTGTGAACCTGGCATTGAGTCGTTGATCATTACACATGCAATTCATTGCACGCAAGTCAAATATACCTGTATGTGTATAGGCGTTGTGTGTAATTCCTTTGTGTGACCTCTGCAGCCACTAGAGTCGCTACAATCCACAGCAATGTTAAACAAAAAATAATTTATTCTTGAATCGAACATGTGAAAATTAATTCATCGTGATGGGGGGTGAATTAGCTAAAGGCTTATTACCCAGTGTGTGTACATTTATATCACGATTCCACTATGTACGCGTGTGCACCTCCGATGAGCACGGTTGGCTACGTACGTACGGTGCGAAAGAAGTTCAACATACAGAGGTGTTTTAAGCTTGTGCCAGCTTAATAGAAGGCGGCACGGCGAGTGTAGGTTTGTCAGCACTGAGCTGTTCGTGTTTTTCAGTTTAAACGGTGACGATAATAAATCAATTTACTTGAGTGCAGTGGTGGCTACAACACGCCTGTAATTCAGGACTGTGGAGGCAAGGGTTGGTGAATCGCACAAACGTTGTGAAACTCCCTTCCTCATGGGGCGCTGGGGTGCCCATAGCCTGGCTCGCTAATAGAAGGCGGCACGGCGAGTGTAGACTCATCTCCGTCTGCCCCGTCTGCATGGGATAGTGTGTTGCCCCCTTGCACGTGTTGGGTTTCTCCGGGTGCTCCTGTTTCCTCCCACACTTGTATAAACACTCAATAAATGGCTGAAAACGTCTTGATCTGTACGCGCCTCCGTGTTTGCAGATCGCGCAGCGTCATGTGATACAGTTGCTGAAATGATGTTGCTATTTAAAACTCAATGTTATTTTTTTTAAACCTCAATGTTATTCCTGTTATTATTTGTGTACGTAGTTAAAGTTTCACACGTGTACTGTGAATAAATGTAATCACACATTTTGTGTGTGTGTGTCATGTGCACGAATGTATTACGATTCAAGAAGACACGTCACAACTTTATGCAAATTAATTCAGTTACCGTTTCATATAAAACTCCTTATAGCATGGCACACCAGAGAAAGGGGAGTGCAGTGAGTTGTGCAAAATGGGCAGACAGGGCAAGATGAGCAGGGAAGGGATGCTGGCACGGACGTCACAAAGACAAGCAACGCAAAGGAAGAAATAAAGAATGACAGGCAGGAAGATGAAGAGGGGGAGAAGGAATGACTGCGTTAAGATGTCGGGGATTAGAGGGTGATCAGAGGGGGAAGGGGAAGACAGGGAGAGAAGTAAAAGTGAGCTGCGCTGGGCAGCGTCTGTTTTCATCGGGGGCGGGGAGGGGGATTCAGAGCGAGAGTGACAACACTGAAGTCGCGTGATTTACAAGCGGCTTGAGCAGATCTAGATATCGAGATGTGTAATGTGAGCAAACCAAGAGCCATGTACAGCGACTTCTCTTAACAAGAAAAATAATTGTTGGAGAGACGGAACTTGCAAAACACCGCAGAACGTGTACAACCTAGGGCATGGGTTGGTAATCAATAAAACAAGAAGAGCCCTTTTTTATTCTGTAAAACAAAAAAACCTCAATATTTCAAGAGCAGCAATGCACGTGAATAAGAGACGGTGGTCCTTAGTAAATAACGGTCACGAAGCAGTCCGTAAAGAGCCGCATGCAGCTTTGGAGACGCAGGTTGCTGGCCCCTGACCTAGGGCAATTCATCCAGGTGGACCAGGATCAAAGCACTGTAAATAAGATGCGAACACGAGCAGGTTGGAGTGCTTTGTAAAATAAAAAGCTGACATTGATGATGAATATCAGGATACCAATCCGTCCCAAAAATAATGTTTTAAAATCGTGGCATACTGCCAACTATGACGTGAGGATCAGAAACATCGCCAACGATAAAGAAAAAATAACAAAACCTGAAAAGAAGCGTAGAGATATAGTCACGCTTGAAGTTGGAGTGAGAGAAAATACGCACATTGATAATATTTAAAAAAAGATAATTTAACATGAATATTGACTGTTCACAACGGTAAGTGGGTTCACGGCACTTAGTTTCTATGGACCGCGGTCTCGAAGGAGCTGAAGTGCCCTCAAGCTTAGCCCCGATTTTGAGCTCAAGAAAAACTTGAGTTGGTAAAGAGAGTGCCGCTTCCGTGATTTTTCGAGTTACTCGACTTGCTGGAGTAACTCGAGTAACTCCAGCAAGTCGAGTAACTCCAGGGAGTCGAGTAACTCCAGCGAGTCGAGTAACTCCAGCAAGTCGAGTAACTCCAGCAAGTCGAGTAACTCCAGCAAGTCGAGTAACTCCAGCAAGTCGAGTTACTCCAGCAAGTCGAGTTACTCCAGCAAGTCGAGTTATATCTGTGAGGACAAACACCACGGGAGATGGAGCCATTAGATCAGGGTTTTTATTTTTTCTACGTGCAGCAATGAAATGGATGGTGGCATCACAGGACCACGATGGTAGCGACGGCATGGCAGTGGACAGACCATGGCTGATGCCAATTATAATCATCTTTATCTTAGGTGGGGCAGTGGGCTCAATTTCTCCTCTTCCTCTCAACCCCAGAGGGTAGAGATTAGGGACTTCTGTCCGTGGATATTTCCGTACCCCCTCCCCACGTCGCGGTTATGTACTCTGTAAAACTACAATGAACAATTTAAAACATTCGTTATCTTAAAAATGTATTCATTAGGCTTGTAACAGATATTAAAGGCCAATACGAGGGGGGTACTGTGTGTGGCCAGGGGAGGGCAGTGCAGCAGAATCGGTTGATTTAATTCTTCGACGTCTATGCACACTGACCAACGTGGTGAAGTATGGTCAAATAGTCCCTCACAACCCGTACGGCGTGGGGAGGCCCTCATTAGCAATGGATTGTTCAAAAGGACTGTCCATTTGCATCCACTTTTGCACATGTAACATGAGTGAACACGCGTGGGTTTGTTTTTCAATGTGTTCTCAATGTGGCCCTGCAGGGATGGATGGCACCTCCTTTCGCGCAGTGGTTAGCGCGCTGCACTACGAACCCGGTGACCCGAGTTCGATTCCCACTCACGGCCAACGACAGGGACGGTTATTTGAACCTGTCCTGGGTCTCTCCTAGGTCGACTCAGCCTCAAATGAGTACCTGTTGCGGTGTGTAAACATCAGCACTGGGGAGACAAAGGCGGCCGGGCATGGTCCTGGCCACACCATCCCCTCGCGTGCCATCCCGGCCTTCATAGGCGCCAGTGGCGTTAGTAACGACGATAATTATCAGCTAAGTGGGTGCGGCGATCGGCCAGGTGAGACCCCAATATTTGATTTGTCTCGCACGGTCGCCCCTAGAGGCTATTATATACCGCGGCTCCTCTTGCCAAATCACATCATTAAGCATTTTCATAACAAAACAAATACATTTAAATCGCCTTTTTGTTGTTCTTTTAAACTGTTGTTGAAAACATATCTAATGGTGTTTATCAAGGGGGCCCCAACTCGTAGCTTTAGCAACCGAGGGGGAGCAAGGCACCATCTGCCCCCACGCTCGTTACGCTACTGATAGGCGCTGCTCGCTTCCAGCACTTGCCCCAACAGTCTGTTGAGACTCTACGGGGAATCTTTGTCTTTGTCTCATCTCTCAACCCCCCCCCCCCACCACCCCACCCCCACCTCTGGACAGGTGGACTTGACGCGCACGTTCACGTTCCGGAACTCGCAGCGCACCTACCATGGCATCCCAATCATCGCCGCCAACATGGACACCGTGGGCACCTTCGAGATGGCACGCGCCTTCAGCAAGGTTGCCGTTGCCCCTGCTCCTCCTCGTCGTGGGAGAGACAGCGATCACGGTCCCGCACGCGCTCCCGGCGAGAGCCGAGATCCCACGGAGCGGGGAGCCCACGCACACGGAACGAGAGCGGTCCCGCTCGTGACATCGCGTTTTGTTGTCCTGCTGGGGGGTCGGGGTGGACGGGGGGCTTGGGGCACGCGGCGCAGTTGGGGTTAAACCCAAAGTGTTAAACGCTGAGCCAGATCGAGTAACGAGAGGGATCTGTGTATGTTCTGGATTTGGCCTCCAACACACCCGCTGTGCTGTACTAGTAACGAATTGGCACGTTCTGCTTACGTGACAAACCTTACTAATTGGCTGTGTCGGGTGGTGGCGGGTTTAACGACACATTTATATGTTTACTCGATCTAACCCCCCACCCCCAAAAAAAACTATATTACGGACCTGCTCTTGTCCACGGTGTACGTTCAGCTCTAGCGCTCACCCCCTGTGCATGGCACCGTATCTTGAACTTCTTTCGCACCATACGTAGCCAACCGCGCTTATCGGAGGTGCGGGGGGAAGGACAACAAACCAAACACAAGAAAGTAAAGGATGCAACGGCCGTCGTTTATTTGTTCTCTTTTTTTTGCGTTTTGTACAGGCCCCCTTCAGCTATTGCAAGCGGTTTGTATATTCCGTAATATAGGTTCTTAATATATAATTTTTGCTGACTTCATATATTATACGAAGGCAGCAAATATTATATGAAGCCAGAGCATTTAAATTGCATTTAACTTACACTGCAAGAGATCAGTCATTGCATGAAAACTCATTTATTTCAAACTGCTGTTTGTGTTTAGTTTGCCCCCCCCGCCCCGCGCACCTCCGATGAACGCGGTTGTTGGCATTCGTGTGAGCAGCACCTCGCCTCAGTGCCGGATTATCCAAGGAGCAAAAGTAGCTACATATGTAGCAGCTACATATGTAACATTTGCAGCAGCTACATATGTAGCATATGTAGCTGCTGCATATGTAGTAGCTACAGTATGGACTCCGCACTTTCATGGTTCCCCGCGCTAAATGCTTTCAAGCTATCAATTCCGATTCAGTGATTCTGCACTTGCTCTATTACTATAGTACTATACCGCCTTCAACTTTTACAAACGACTGGGTGTTTTAGGTTTGCGATTTGTCGTATTATCCGGCTGTATAGCAAAGGAAAAATACAATTTCTTTACTATGCAAGTTAAACATTTGTGTTTTAATATGGATGTGTTTTTTTTTCATTTCGGGCCCCTTTATAACATGCAGTATGCTACAGGCACCGCACCGCCACTTGGTACATGCGTGTGAGCAGCCTTCAACAAAGAGGGGGGGGGGGGCAGCCCCCTCCAGTCCCCTTCCACCCCTCCCCCGAAATCATGGAACTGCAGTCGAGGTCAAGCCATACGATCTACCGCCTCCTTTAATTGACTCCACTGCCCCCCCCCCCCCTGTGCCTACAAAGGAGCTACGGATGAAATGCGCCATACAAAATGTGAATGGTTATTATTGTTACTCGATGTGAGCTGCCATGGCTACGTCCACCAACCCCCCTCAATGAGCCAAACGTTGCATTTATTGACACGAGGAATCGAGGGCCAATGCCCGATTTGGAGCGTTAACTTTTCACGCAGCCTAAACGCTGAGGGCCAAATCGCCAAACATCAGCCCAACGAAGTGGCTTATCGCGTGGTCGCCTCCGTTGAGCTTTCATTTGTGGCCAGATCGCTTCTTAGAAAGAGCTGTGTAGCTCAGTGGACCTTTCCTGGTAAAAAAAAAACCCACAAATAGTCGTCGTTGACATGGGGGATCTTTGTCTTTTCTGTGTGGTGCCTCCGGCAATGCTTACCCCGTCGTGACCCCTGTTGCAGCACACGATGTTCACAGCGATACACAAGCACTACAGCGTGGACGAGTGGCGAGACTTTGCCAACAAAAACCCAGAGTGCTTGGAGGTAAGCGAAAATTACAACCGCCCCACACTCACACGGCTCGTCACCAGCCATGCCCGCGGTTTGTGTTCTTTTTGCTGTTGTTGTAACGTTCTTACCCGCCTCCGACTGGGCGTCTGTGAGAAAAGAGCTTCACAGCTCATCGGATTCCTCCAGTGTAAATAAAAATGCCGATTCTGGTGAGCGCACTGTGCCACACAACCGGCGACCCCAGTTCGATTCCCACCCACAACCAATAACGGTCCTGGGCCTCCCCTAAGTGAACTCAGCGTTAAGTGAGTACCTGGTGTGGCGTGTAAACCATCAGCTTTGGGGAGACAAATGTGACCGGGCGTGGTATTGGCCACCCACCTCCTTAATGTGCCCTGTGGACCTCCAAAGGTGCTCGCTAACAGCACCTGATTCAACAGTCTGTTGAAGGCTATACGGAGAGGAGTCTGCATACGTGCGTGCGGCTGGAGTAATCTACCAGTCATCTCAGTCAACCCATGGCATCTGGGTCTGTCCCGTGACCTCCTGCCAGAGAGCCTTCGGCGCTTCACGTGAGAGCCTTAAAGTGCACCTGGTCTGGCACAGGCACCGTGTGGACGTCACCGCCATTCGGTGGCGAATGCCGCCTGTTGTTGTAAAGTGCACCTAGCCTTGTACAAGCACCGTGGTGACGTCACCGCCACTCAATAGTGAATGGCGGGTGGTGTTGTTGTTGCAGCACATAGCGGCGAGCTCGGGGAGCGGCCCGAGCGACATGGAGCGGCTGGCGGCCGTGCTGGACGCCGTGCCGGCCGTGCGCTACATCTGCCTGGACGTGGCCAACGGCTACTCGGAGCACTTTGTGGAGTTTGTGCGCAGCGTGCGCGAGCGCTTCCCCAAGCACACCATCATGGTGGGGCCCCCTTCCCGCCATCCCACACCGCCATGGCCACACACCGCCAAACACTACCACTAACCCGCACCACCGCCAACCCACACCATCTCCAACCCGCACCACCGCCAACCCACACCGCCGCTAACCCAAACGGCGACCGCACACCGCCGCGAGCCCACACCAATATCACACACCACCGCCAAATATCACTCAGCCACACCGCTGTAAACCCACCCCGCCACTGCCGCACACCACGCCTAACCCACACCACCACTAACGTACACCACTGCCAAACACCACCACTAACCCAGACCACCGCCAAACACCACCGCTAACCCAGCCTAATGCCAAACACCACCACTAACCCAGACCACCGCCAAACACCACCGCTAACGCAGACTAACGCCAAACACCACCGCTAACCCAGACTGATGCCAAACACCGCCGCTAACCCAGACCAACGCCAAACACCACCGCTAACCCAGACCACCGCCAAACACCACCGCTAACCCAGACTAACACCAAACACCACCGCTAACCCAGACCACCGCCAAATACCACCGCTAACCCAGATCACCGCCAAACACCACCGCTAACCCAGACCACCGCCAAACACCACCGCTAACCCAGACCACCGCCACACACCACCACTAACCCAGACTGATGCCAAACACCACCGCTAACCCGGACCACCACCAAACACCACCGCTAACCCAGACCACTGCCACACACCACCGCTAACCCAGACCACCGCCAAACACCACCGCTAACCCAGACCACCGCCAAACACCACAGCTAACCCAGACTGATGCCAAACACCACCGCTAACCCAGACTGATGCCAAACACTACCGCTAACCCAGACCACCGCCAAACACCACCGCTAACCCAGATTACCGCCAAACACCACCGCTAACCCAGACCACCGCCAAACACCACCGCTAACCCAGACTGATGCCAAACACCACCGCTAATCCAGACCACCGCAAAACACTACCACTAACCCAGACCACCGCCAAACACCACAGCTAACACAGACCACCGCCAAACACCACCGCTAATCCAGACCACCGCCAAACACCACCACTAACCCAGACTAACGCCAAACACCACCACTAACCCAGACTAACGCCCAACACCACCGCTAACCCAGACCACCGCCAAACACCACCGCTAACCCAGACCACCGCCAAACACCACCGCTAACCCAGACTAACGCCAAACACCACCGCTAACCCAGACTGATGCCAAACACCACCGCTAACCCAGACTAACGCCAAACACCACCGCTAACCCAGACCACCGCCAAACACCACCGCTAACCCAGACCACCGCTAAACACCACCGCTAATCCAGACTGATGCCAAACACCACCGCTAAGCCACACCGCAGCCAAAAACCATCACGAACCCATACAGCTGATAACCCGCACCACCTCCAAACACCACAACGCAACCACACCGCCAGACACCACCGCCAAACCGGGGTCCCTCCCTGTACATACGAAAACAACATTAAAGTTTCCCGTCTAGCCATACAGATTGCAAGTGCTGTAAGCGAACATCGATTAATATTTACTCAGTGCAGGGGAACGTGATACTCTATAAGCATTAACACGCACGTACCGAGTGCTGCAGCTGACACAAGCCGCACCTGGTACTCATTTAAAGTTGAATTTGACTTCGGGCAATTCCGGGTCAATTTCTGTAATTAGCGTACACCGTGCGTGTAGCACGGTGCCACCACTCTCACCTCGTGTTGTTTTCCAAAATGTGTTCCAAATGTTCGATATCCTACACGACACGAGCAAGTGTCCATCACAACGCTCGCAGAGAAGGGATTTTTTGGACGATCATATTGCAGAACTACTTCTGAGATCAATAATAAAGGTTTTTGGGTTAGATCGCATAAGTATAAATGTGTTGTAACCCTCCACCACCCGACAGCCAATTAGTAAGGGATTTGTCACACAACTAAAACGCCAATTAGTTACTACTTCAGGCCACCGGTGTGTTGGAGAGTAAATCCACAACATTTACAATTTGAGTACGACGTTTCGCTGATAATTACATCCAGCATCATCATCGGGCGATTTGCCGGAATAGTGAAGCAATCCACCTGCTTCCGGTCTTAAATCGAGCAGCAGGACGACGTCATCACTGAAAGTGGCATCTTGTCCACAAGACGGATAGGGCACTCCTCCATGCACCCTGCTATTGAGCTGATCATATTCAATAGCAGTCAAACCAATACATTTAATTCTCAAATTTGCCAGAGTAAATTAAAAACCGTATTTGATCTTTTCTAGATTTAAAGCTTTCGTGACTGCTAGGATCCATACTCTTTTGTTCTATTGAGTAAAGTCACGTAGGTGAAAATAAAATAAAATAAAAATGTTGTTATTTTATTTTCACCTACGTGACTTTACCCAATAGAACCAAAGAGTACGTATTTGATCTGTGTTTTTTTTGTGTGCGATCATGAGTACACATTAACTCTCATCACTTGAGAACCCGTCCTATTCTCGGACGGCCGACACCCAAATTCAATCCCAGGATCTCCGCAATGTCGGCTCACGGCTCTGACATCTTGACCCAATCGGCCGCCTCTGTAACCACCACACTCCAAGAACCCACGAGCTTCCTTCTCGCAGCACCCTAGCGAGATGTTAACTACCTCGCCTGGTCTACAGAAGGTTTTGGGTTCGATCCCGACCCTGACGCGTGATGTATATATGGAGTTTGCGTTGTTCTCCCCGTGGTCACGTGGATTCTTCTCCGGGTTTACCCTCCACATTTATAAACAGGCGTTAAGAGTATTTGGCTGCTGTAAATTTCCACATTTATGAGCCACTTCGTTGAGCGATCATTTGTGGCCAGGTCGCTTCTGAAAAAGAGCTATATAGGTCAGCGGGCCTTACCTGGTCAAGTAAAATAATAAAAAAAATAGTTTAAAATCCTCTCACCTGAAGACGGTCGCTTGTGATGCGATCGAAACGTCGCGATCTATTATTTTTTCTACCTACGTGACTTTAACGAAAGAACCAAAGCGTAAAATAGTTTAATAGTTTTAATCTGAACCCCCAGGCCGGGAACGTGGTGACGGGGGAGATGGTGGAGGAGTTGATTCTGACAGGGGCTGACATCATCAAAGTGGGGATCGGACCAGGTAAAGACATCGTCGATAACCGTTAAGGTCACTGACTGCCAATGATATCATCTGCTGCATCATTGTTGACTTCTAACAAATAACAGTGAGCCGTCTCTGTTACTCGTGACTGTGCAATTACTGTTGACAAAATCACAGGCGTTAATTAAATCAGACGAGAGCTTGCTGGGATGACAGGTTTGTTCTGCAAAGGGGGTTTGTGTGTGTACTGGCGGCATATGTGTTTCCAGTTTCAACATTCATGCTGGCGTGCGTGCATATGCAGAGATGCCTCCATGGAGCCCTCGAGACAGACACACAAGATATATATACTCGGAGAGAGACACAAACACACAGAAACAGATACACAGAGGCCTGCAGCAGAGAGATAGGTAAAGCAGAGACAAATACACAGTGAGAGACGTGAAAAAAGATAGAAACAGGGAGAACTATGGAGAGAGATGCGGAGGGAGACAGACAGAGATGCCCAGAGAGACACTGAGAGAATGTTCAACACGTATTTGCGGTGAATGTGTGCACGCGTGGAGCCACATCAACGAACGCACGAGGGTGCACACGTGTGTGAGTGTACACGTGTGTGAGTGTACACGTGTGTGAGTGTACACGTGTGTGAGTGTACACACGTGTGTGAGTGTACACACGTGTGAGTGTACACGTGTGTGAGTGTACACGTGTGTACGTGTGTGTGAGTGTACACGTGTGTGAGTGTACACGTGTGTGTGAGTGTACACGTGTGTGAGTGTACACGTGTGTGAGTGTACACGTGTGTGAGTGTACACGTGTTAACACTCATACACACGTATTAACGTGCGTGAGCCCTCACATGTTAACACGCACGTGTGTGTGTGAGTGTACACGTGTCAACGCTCGCGCGCACGTGTCAACGGTCGCGCGCACGTTGCACACGACGTGTAGAGAGAGAGAGAGAAAGCGGTTGCGTGTGTGGCAGGCTCGGTGTGCACGACTCGCCGCAAGACCGGGGTGGGCTACCCGCAGCTGAGCGCCGTCATCGAGTGCGGGGACGCGGCACACGGCCTCAAGGGCCACATCATCTCGGTGCGTGCACGCACACGCAGAGACACCCAACCACCACCACCACCACCCCTTACACTCACTGCCTTCGCAGAGACTGGTGGGTCCAATTGCCGTTCGCGAACACCGATGGAGGCCGGCGCGGTGACGCAACGGGGGTGCCCGTTGCCAGCACCACTACACCCGTCCGCCTTTGTCTCTCCCAGTGGTGGCGTACACATCGGGGGAGCGGTGGTGTAGCGGTTAGCGCTACGCTGCGCTGCAGACCTGGCCACCCGGGTTCGATTCCCGCTCACGGCCAACACCAACAGTGACGATTATCTGAACCGGTCCTGGGCCTCCCCTAGGTCGACTCAGCCTCAAATGAGTACCTGGTGTGATGTCTAAACATCGCCACTGGGGAGACACAAAGGCGGTCGGGCGTGGTGTTGGCCACCCCACCTCCTCGTGTGCCGTGCCGGCCGTCATAGGTGCTCGCTGAACAGCACTTGCCCCCAACAGTCTGTTACAGGCTATACGGGGGGATCCTTGTCTTTGTACACATCGCACCGGGTGCTATTTGAGGGCTGAGTCGACCTAGTGAAGGCCCAGAACCGGTTCAGATAATGTTCGCTGGCGTTGGCCGCGGGCGGGAGTCGAACTCGGGTAGCCAGGTTCGTAGCGCGGCGCGCTGACCACCACGCTGCCGCTGCCCACACAAACACACAAAAAGATAACGCGCGCAGCCACACAGACACGCACACATGCATGCACACATCATGATACACACACAGGATACACACGCATGCACAAGTGCACACACACACACACGAATACAATTTATTGTAATGCTGTGGAGGCACAGACACTATCCGTTGCGCCCTGTTCATGTCCCACGTATTTGTTGAGAAAGTGATGCAGACGTAAATCAGAAAGAGCAACATTGGGTTGGGCACGTGTGCAGGATAACATTCTGGTTTATTTTCTTTAACTGGGTTAGAACTCAAGAGACCAGGATAGAGTCCTATTCGCAAGAGTGACCTGAGGCATTCATCTGCCAGTAGGGGGCGATGGTTGCTTGCTGTGCATAATCCCGAATTGATTCATTCGCAGTGTCATTTTAGAATTTGGCAAATTTAGATCCGAACACCAGCACGCAACGACCTCCTCTTGCGAATGTCGATCAATGAATTTTCAACGTACACTACGAGTGAAGCAGACGTAGTATTATTGCGGGTATTACACCCGCAGTAATAACCAGGGTGGCCCATGGAATTCGAACCGTGAAACTCTACAGCAAGCGCCAATGGAAGAGGGTGAATTCACCAAGTGCCGCTCGACACATCCCGTCCAGCGGGGCGCACGTGGGTGGGCGTACAAAGATCAGAAGGGAGAAACAAAAAATACCCCAACTGTTGTCCTGTTATCCCACTGGTCGAGTAGCGGAACCGATCGTCCGGTCGAGTAATCGATTCGATTGCTCGAGTCGGCTCTAGTGGGGAGGAGGGTGGCTCTCATAGCTCGCTCCGCGCTCTTCCCTCCCTCCCTCGTTCCCTTGCAGGACGGAGGTTGCACATGTCCCGGAGACGTCGCCAAGGCGTTCGGTGAGCGTTTGTGTCTCCGGGTCCGCACGCGTCCCCCATGCACAGAGGGAGGCGGTGGTCGCCGCCGTCTCCCACACCTCCCCCCCCCACCTCCTCTCGACACAGAGGAAGCCCGCACGCTCTTGGGAGAAAAAAACACCGCGACAGACACGGGCGTGCGCTGCCTGGCAGGCACGCAGCGACCCGTCTCTACAAAGCAAGTGTTGCACGCCTCATCCCGATACGTGGATCGCGTTGCGCACGTGAGAGCCGATTATTTATAATTTGTGAAAATTCGAAGAAAATTAAAATGCCAATGCTACGTTTATGCCGATAATATGAATTTAGCGAATCCGCTGCAGTCTGGGCTCCTCCAACGGAAAAGGAACAGCCAAACGACGCGAACTCTCTATCCTGAAGCCCTCTGGCTGCGAGCAGACCTCGACACTGGCGCTTGGCTCCTGGACTCGCTGCCACTCGCAAGTGCAGTCGTAGAATGCGAACACATCTCTACAAACGAGACAGCAAAAACCATAAGCGACGCAAATGAGATGGCAAATAAGTTACATTTATTCCATAGAGGAGAATCGTGACAATTCATCGAATCATCGGTTGGGGTGGAAGGGTGGGGGAAAGGGAGGGGGGTGAATATTGACTCGCGTAAATGTCTATTGATCTCGTCTTTGCCATCAGGATTCCACCGCGCCACTTTATAGAATCAATAGTTACGACTACCGTACAACTGTTTCTCTGTCCACACAAGCCTCAATCGTCTTCGCAGTAAAAGTCCTGCACTTGGATGTTCGGCCAGTTCCTCCGTGTCATGCAATTTCTCACGTGGAAGAAAACTGGGGTGCCCAAAGAAAAAAAAACCCACCAACGTTGGGAAACAACACTCACAGGTCCACACAGATGGTTTCACGGAGCCCACTTGCTGTTTCGCCATATGCTCGCAGCCCACTGGGTTTTTTGGAAGTCTCAAATCTACGCACTATGATCCAGCAACCCTGGCCTCCAAAAGCGCTGCGTACGATGAGTGCGTCAACACACACACGCAAAAACCCAAACCGGTTGCTTTGTAATTTGGTGTCGGTAATGAAAGTGGTAAAACACAACATAAATGACAAAGAAACATGGGGAAACACTGTGGGTAGAAATTGAGGTGCACGATCTCTCTGGGAAATGAAGTGTGTGTGTGTAATTAACTGATGGTCCTGGCAGTGCTGTGATCACAGGCAGATGGATTATGATAGCATTGTGGGCTCTAGACCATGGTTTACAAAGGCCAGAAGCCACCACATTGTGTTAAATAAAAGCTGCCAGAATGATGATAAAATCATAACATAGAAAGTATCAAACTCTTAAGTCACTCTCATCTGCTTTCCCACTCTCTACAAGAATATTAGCTTGTATAGTTTTTTTCTTCATTTAATATGCGATTTGTACCAATGACCTGGAGCGGTTAAGTTAATTTTAAATTTTCCAAATTCACATTGCCAAGTTATTTGTTTATAGATTTGAACTGCACATCGTGGCACGCATCTATTATAAGCCCAACGTTTTATACCCTCTTGGACTGTAAGATGGTAAGACAATGACAGGATAGCAAGTGGTTTATAAACTCATCTGTGTCCCCTCCTTTGCAGGGGTGGGTGTTCCGCTTCACACAAACAACGCTTTCAAAATGAATTGGCCAAACATTCCAAAGCAGAACTCTCCTGAAAAAATCCTTTTCCGGATAAATTTTATTTTTATAGTTCGTTTTATATTTTACCATGGTCCACATCGACGTTTGTTCGTGAAAATTACTTTATAAATAAATTAAGTATTTGTTCTCTGGGTTTTTTTTGTACAGTCACAAGATTTTAATTCATTTCAGAGATAGTTTAAGAAGAGATAATCGGTGGCCACGTGACTCGTGGATGGGTTTGAATAGCCACAAGAGGGTTTTTTTGGGATTAGATCGCGTAAATATGCGTCGTTAAACCCGCCACCGCCCGACTTTGCCAATTCGTAAGGTTTGTCGTGTAAACAAAACATGCCGATTAGTTACTATCTTTTGGTTCTTTCGGTAAAGTCTCCAAATGGAGCGCTGTCTTTCCGACAGATCTGTTTCTTCACCTGAGGACGGCTGCTTGTGTTGTGGCCGAAACGTCGTGAGAATTTTATTCTGTTATGTTTTATTTTTCTTATTTTATTATTTCCCTTCTACGTGACTTTACCGAAAGAACCAAGAAGATGAAGCCCTGCAGTCACGAAAGCTTTAAATCTAAAATTAGTTACTAGTTCAGCACAGCAGTGTGTTGGAGAGTAAACCCACAAACATTTACCGTTCGAGTACGACATTTCGCTGGTAATTACAACCAGCGTCATCATGCGATAGCCAGAATTGTGGAGAAATCCTCATCCTGTTTGTTTCTTAAATCGTGGGCTGAATGTGATATCGTCACTGTGAGCCAATCAGGTGCGAAGACCAGAAGGGGGGTGGGGTTCATGTATTCATATACATCACAATGGATATATTGGTTGCATATGATTGCACCAAAAATAAATTTAGTTCATTTTTATAACTTTTAGTTAGTTAGTTTTTAACTTTCTGTATAAAATGTCAGTTTTTAAAAAATATATTATATACTCTATGTGCATATACTGGATACAGTATATCAGTTTGATTGACTTGTGGTGATGCATTAGTTTGCAGTTTCTGAATGGACACGTTCGTGTTTCACCTCGATATAAAAATTATCGTGATTTTAAACAAAAACTTAAACAAATGTTCCAATGCCACTTGGCTTCCCTGCATCACTAAAGTTATCATGTTAGGTAGGAATGTAATATTTTAAAACGTGAGGTCCCCATTTCATTTTTCACCCCCACTTCAAAGACCAGATATTGACCGTAGCAGGCTGAGGCTCCCCTGTCCTGACCTCACACTCTTCTGTAGCATCTCACCCATATGTAAAACTGGTTGTTATTATTATTATTATTTTTGTTTTACGACGGAAAAACAAGTGGGGGTGTTTTTCTTGCTCTCTATATTATATAACCTTGCTCCAACGATTCCATGGCGATTTTTTTGTTGTTAAATGCACGCAATGTGACACCGTCACATTGGCTCTGCGAGCACTGTCCCCCGAAACTCCTGGCTCTCTCTGCGTGCTTCGCGCGTGTGGAGGCGCGGGCGCGGACTTCGTGATGCTGGGCGGGATGCTGTCGGGACACGACCAGTGCGGTGGGGAGACCCTGGAACGCAATGGCAAGAAGGTGAAGCTCTTCTACGGCATGAGCTCCGACATGGCCATGAAGAAGTACGCAGGAGGAGTGGCGGAGTATCGGTGAGCGACAGCGCCAATGCCACCACCACCGCCGCCACCACCGCCACCATCACGACCGTCAACACCACTGCCACAACCATCACCACCACCATCACCCACCTCCACCACCCGCTCCCTCTCCTGCATTCACACGCACCGCACACTGGGCATGCAACAGTGCGTTGATTCATCAAGAAAAATAGATTCTGACCTTCACAACAAATGCCTTCAAGAATCGATTATGCGTTGACGTAACTAAAGGAGGGGTTGTGTAAACGTGAGCCGTGGGGAATACAAAGGTAGCTGGGGCGTGGTACTGGCTACACCATCCCCTTGTTCATAGATGCTTGCTAATTGCCCTAACAGTCTGTTAAAGCTAGAGGAAGACGTTTGTCATTGAGTGCCACGGTGGCTACGAGATGTTAACTACCTCGCCTGGTATACAGGAGGTCGTGGGTTCTATGCCAACCCTGATACCTGTATATTTGGAGTTTGCATGTTCTACCAGTGGTCGCGTAGATTTTTCTCCGTGTCCTCTGGTTTACCCCCCCCCCCCCCCCCACACATTTAGAATCACAATGAGTTTTAGAGTATTTGGCTGCTATAAATTTCCACTGCAAGGCACGTCATCGAGCTATCATTTGTGGCCAGGTTGCTTCTGAAAAAAAGAGCTACATAGCTGTGGGCCTTAGCTGGTAAAATAACCAGACATTTTTTGTCGAATTCGGTTTTTTTTTTCTGTGCAAGTGCACGCACCCCCGATTCACGCGAACGGCAACGTTACCGCGCGCCCAAAGTTCAACATACACACGTGGTGCACTTATGTCCCGGCGTGTGCAGCGCATCGGAGGGCAAGGCCGTGGAGGTAGAGTACCGCGGCGACGCGGAGCACACCATCCGCGACATCCTCGGGGGCCTGCGCTCCACCTGCACCTACGTGGGAGCCGCCAAGCTCAAGGAGCTGAGCCGACGCACCACCTTCATCCGCGTCACGCAGCAGCTCAACAGCATGTTCAGCTGAGCCACCCGGGGCGTCGGCCGCATGCCAAGAGTCGGGACGTCGGATGATTTAAGCCGTCGAATATTCCGCCGGTTGTCGGTTCCATTGCTCGACCAAATCGGAGAGAGAGCGCGAAAGACGGTTGAGAAGCAAATGCCTCACCTCTGCTACCCGTTATGCCGCTGGACGGGAGGTTATGGCCTTCGGCATCATGAGCTCACGTGCCCAGGAAACTTGGAGCGTTGAGCCAACTTTGGTCCAACGCCAGTCCAACGGTTCCAACCACTCGTGAACGTTGACCCGACGTTGCGTGTTTTTACCGGTTCGTGGCGGGTGTGGCGCGTCGGGAGTTTCCGACCTTCAGGAGGCAGGGTGTTGTGGGGGCGCCTGCCATTCGAAAAGGAGCCCCGAACAATCGACCACAAACATGATTTAAGTCGGTTATACGTTCACATCGATTAATCGAATGGACCGGATCATCATCCCAGCTCTACCAAACCCCCACCCCTGAACCTCCTCTACCCACACAGACTCGTCAAGGTGGCCCGTAGCTGTGAACTCGCTTGTCGTTGCGCCTCTTCTAACACGGAAGAAAATAAAATGGTTCAGTGTTATAACCTTTACGGCTGGCCATGTAACCGACACACCCACCCGCCCGGCGACTCGGTGCACTGTCACGATGGATGGTCGTGATTTGAATCCACAATCGATTTTTTTTGTCTCGTTTTTACCGTCTCGTTTGTATTTTCTCGTTTTCTTTTCCATCCCATTTCTACAGTTGTGTGCGATTAACATTCGCATACATTGTAAATAATCAGTTCTGATACGCATGGCTTGATGAATGTATTGTGATCTAAATAATAGATTGCAATCGAAGACTTGGCGGATTGCTACACGCCGAGCTCCTACAAAAGCATTTAGGTCAAATGAGACGATTTAATTTATTTTCTCCGTGCGAAATATTCCACTTCGAGCAGGTGGTTTATTCCTCTGAAACACTCTGGGAATAATTGGTCTTCCCGTGTACTTGATGTTTACTTTCTATCTCTAATACCTAACGAAGTGAGCATCGCGATCGAGTCAGATCACTGAAGGGATCCAGGTTGAGAGCATGGCCTAGATTAGTTCGAGACGTCTGTGCTACCCACACACACGCACAATAGCCGGCTCCAAGGCGGGATGATCCGTGCGTCCGTGCGTGTGATTCCGTCAAAAAGGCATGCTCAGAAAAATTAAGATGTAAAAAAATCCCATGTCCTTTAAAGATAAGTTTATTTAAAATGCATATTGTGCCGTAAAAACAAACTGGAATATAGTATGACATTTCAGAGGTACGGGGAATTTTTAATTGTCACTGGACAGGAACTCGCAAAAGGTTCCACCCGTCGTCTCACAGCCAATCGCACTCGGTGCTCGCTGCAGACCGTGCCACCACCACCACAGGACCTTTTGAGGTATGCCGAGCAAGAACGGTTGAATAACGTTTCCACGATGACAGATTTGGGGGCGCAGCCACGACTGCGGAAGCTGGTGGTGCCCGACTTGCGAGTGGGTTCCCGGTGGTTGTTGGCCCAGTTACGGACGGGATTCGTAAAGTTCACCCCCCACTTCGTCACAGATTAGAGGAGTTGAACTGCGCTATAATTATACTAAGTGTACGCAACTGCTGCTGGCTACTGACGCTGTACTGAGTACGTGCCACCACGTGTTTTAAAGTTCCGTCGTCAACAGTAACCAGCAAAAAAAAAAACCAACACGATTTTTGTTCGACATTTTTATGGCCGCATCTAAAATGTTCTGTATCTCAATATCTTAGCATTAATCTGCAAACGTTCGGGGTGACTGGCCACCTTCGACAGCCACGGTGGCTGCACCCCCAATAGTAGGCGTCCGTGCGTGGAAATGTTTTGACCGATTACTCTTCCCGAGCTCTGCGAGACAGGCACCACAGCGCGACCGTTCCTGGTCGCCTGAACTGCTGCTCCGCAGGGAGCTACACGAGGGAGAGGGGGGGGAGGGGTTTGGAAAGTCACGGAACGAAACATTTTAAACGTTTTTACTTAAAGTGCCACGTTAACCTGCATCGCTTGCACGTGTGTGTGTGTCGTTTGTTTTGAAATGGGGGAAAAAAAAAACGGGATTTCTTCAAAGACACTGTTAAAATTAATGAGACATTGAAATGCCTTTGGCTCAGAGGCATTGGTTACGGTATGCGTTTATAATACAGGACTATCAACAATAAAAAAAAGTTTACAAAAAAATATAAAAATTATCAATATAACAATCATAATAATAATTTACTGAATTTCAGGTAGCGCCAAGAGGTACGCTTTACATTTCAACTATGTGCAGACTTTTAATCGTTTTATCGCTTAAGTAACACGTTACAGAATCAGAATCTTTATTTATCATGGAAAAATCCGATGAGTTATGAAGCTCTTTGTCACAGATATCCAGTGGGAGCATGGCCAGAAAGTTGCGGCAATATACCAAAGAGCTGTAGGAGTGCAACGTGGAGGGAAGGCGAGAACACCACTAAAATAAATAAATAAACGCACGGAAACTGAACTACATCTTTTTTTTTCACCAGGTAAGGCCCACTGAGATATTAGTTATTTTTCAGAAACGACCTGGCCACAAATGATAGCTCAACGAAGTGGCTTATCACGTGGATATGTATAGCGCGCACACACGCACACACGGGCTATGTACCCTGTTGCCCGAGCTGCTCGACGCGTGCGCAACAACGCGACGGCTTTGTCCCTCGGGACGATTCGCTGGTCCCCGCCCCCCCACCACGCGCGCTGCTGGTTTTGCCTTTGCTGACGAACAGGCCGTACCACGGCACGTTTTCTATGCAAAATAAAAGCGGTGATAATTGCACGACAAGTCTGCTCTCACACGACTCCTAGCTGTTGCTGGCGGCTCTGCGGTGGTCAGTGGCGTAGCGGTCATTGGCATTCGACCCATTTGTCCAAGGAGTTCATTTCTAACTTCTGTGTAAAATTTCTCCCGCCTTCTCTTCTTCTTCGTAGGGTCTGAGCCTGGGCCCTCTCTCTCCGGCCCCCATGGGCCCCAGTTTATTTGCACCGCATGCACGCTCGACAGCAACGTGGCGGTTGTGCATCTGCAATGTGTCACTGGTATCGCTTTTTGGAGGAATTTACTAATCGTACATGATTATGATGTGCTCCTGGCTGAATCGCATCGTGAAGCGATGGAGAAACCCTCACGACTGGTGCAGTCGATCGACTCTCATATCGTGTCAGGGAACGGAAACTATAGAACTACTTCTGAGTCACTTAAAAAAAAAAGGTTTCTCTTACAGTGGCTCCTCCCTGCTCTCTCACAATACACCCCGAGGCAATATGATCTATTGTCTCGATTGTAGATCGAGATTTAATTCGATAATGTATTTCTATACGTTGTTGAAGATAGCTGCCTCTAGTGGTTGCTGAGGTCACATTAACCCATGAGATACAACATATACATTTTAAACATTCCTGGAAATTACCAAATAAACATACCAACAGTGGGCCAAATTGTTGGCACGTGGTTGGAGCCGTTGAACCAATGTTGGCCCATTGTTGCATGTTTACTGGGGAGTGATTTGCTTCATTTTAGTGTTATAGACTATGTACATTTTAATTGTCACAGCTGAACATGGCGGCATTAAGTGCGAAAGTACATTTTGTAGGATTTTCTTGCACAGCGAATGAACCGACACCCAAGGGCTTGGTTCAAATTTCGAGTGGCTTACTGGCTTCTCAGTGCCCTGACACGGGTTTCGTGATCTCCCCGAGCCACCTGGCCTCTTCAATCACAGATATAACTCAACACATTTAAATCCCACTACAGCAATGCCACTGACAGCCACAACACCACCATAAACAGCTGCAGCGAAGGCCGACACCGAAACGTGGTCTCTAAAGCACACGGTCCCAAAGCAAGCACTCACGCCTTCCCGCATCGCGGTAGTTAAGTGCCCGCGACACGTAGCACACCGACAGGACAAGCACGAAACACGCTTCACAGACGGAGAGTTGGGCCCTTAGCTAGCACAATATTTTGGACCCAGAACCGAGCGATGAACCCTATTGGTGGGCACTGTCAGCGAACCGGTGTGGCAGTGGCCGATCTGGGGTGCGGGGGGGGGGCGAGAGGGCAATTGCTCCATCCCCTTGAGACCCAGAAAATTGGCATTTTCTTTTTTACCAGAAAATATGTATATACTTTTTTTATTTTATTTATGTAGGGCCCAGTTTAAAAAGATAATAATTTTGTGGCTTCCCACCCCCTGGAGCTCCCCTGTCATTTTACTGGACCTCTCTGCACGTTGGGAATCTTTAATCTTCTTTTCGATGTGAAAGAAAAGAGGATGGAGAGAGCTGGGGCCGAAGACACTGCCATTGGGCAGAGGACCAAAGAAGAAACGTGGCCTTGGGCACTGGAGTCTCAGCACAACAATGTGCTCATGATGGCCAGCACAGGTTCGCTTGAGTGGCACCACAACTTGACAAGTTGGGGATGCAAATGACCTTCACGTCCACTTACCACCATCCATCATCGGTCCTGGGAACCATACTCCAGAGTGGAGTGACCATCTCACTCGGATACAAGGAATTGCCAAGAAAGAGAAGAGCCAAGATGGGCTGAACTCGCTGACTTCGCAATGTTGGTAGGGGCGGGGGTAGGGGGACGAGGGGGGGATTGGGGGAGTAGGGGCTGGGCAAAAGGGCTGTGGTTATGCCACAGATGTTAGTTATGTGGTGTGGTGGTGGGGGGGGAAATCGAGCAGCTACTGTGTGGCGGAGCTTTAGCTGATGGGATAGGACTTAAGGCAGCTTTAACGAACAGGTCAAAGATCAGTTTAACACGTGGATGTCAAAGATGTGGACTCTTGATTCAGTATTTTTGTTTTACCCACAACTCAGCTACATTGTCTTCTCCACTGAGCGCTCGCCAATCTTACGAGCCGACGATATTGCGCGAGTGAAGCGTACGCATTGACAGTGGGTGGAATGCGCCACTGGAAGGCAGACATGGCCGGTGGTCAAGGCTAACGACGGATTGTCAGCCGAGGGAGGAGGGAACGTGCCGGAGAGGGCGACATCGGCTCGTGCGATGGCGTTGGCTGGATTGTGGCATCGCAAAAAAAAAACGCGAGAAGGGATGGCGACAGCTTGGGGGAAGGCCTTAGTACAGCAGCGGATAGATCATGCATGATTACGATGAAGAATATTAATCTATACTTTTTACAGTTAAGTAGGGGGGAGGGAGGGGTGGGTCAGGGTGAGTGCTATGTCCGTGGCTCTACGTATGAAAGTCGGGATGTTCCGTGTCAATGGTTTGTTGTCCTTCCCCCCGCACCTCCGATTAGCACGGTTGGCTACGTACAGTGCGAAAGAAGTTCAACGCACACACACACACACATTGGAGACTGGGGACGAATGAATCGGCGTTAACTCGTGGATAAGGAGGAGCAACGCTGACCTGAGTACAACACAAACCCCGGCGCGCGAGGAGCGCGTGGGGGAGCGCTCCGCGACTGCCGAACGATTCCAGAGGGGCTCCTCGTGGAGTCGACGTCGCTGCCGGCGGGCGAGAGAGAAGAAGATCGACGTTCGCGCGGCGGCGGCGGTGACGGCGGCGGTGCGTCGCCGCGGCCGCCGCGTTTTTACAAAAAGAGGTAAATAATAATAAGGCGACTTGATGCTTCTGCGAGTAGCCGAGCGTCCGAGGAGAAAAGGGCATCGACGGGGAAAGGGGGGAAAAAAAAAATCGCTCGCCCAAACCTCCCCGCAACCACAGCCCCGAAGCCGACTTCCTGACCCTGATAATGAGCCCTAAGCCTCATCTCCATGACCAGTGGGGATTCGGTGCCAATGCAAGATTGGATCATGACCCCCCTCCCCACAGAATACTATTATTTTAACCCTCCCCCCCCCCCATGATGCACCCACCATGTAGGCGTTTAAATCCCCCCACCCCTCCTCCAGCCATTTTGGGTCATCCTTCTATCCTCATGGCTGCAATAATGCTGGGAGTTGGCCTGGTCAGAATACAGCACAGGAACAATGGGCAGACCCCCTAACCCCAAGTGTACGTAGCACTGACCCAGACAGGGAAGGAACATTTTTCGATGGGGAACCCATATTGCTTGAATATAATTTGTACCCTGGAGGTTCAAATCACGTAAAGTATTATGCCCGGGGGGCGCGCATTACAGTCTACGGGGGTCAAAATACTTCCTCACACTGGCTCCGGGCTGGGCCAGAGAGGCCACCGACTTCTCTTCTCAAGCCCGAGTCACTCGCTTGGAGAAGAAGGACGAGCCCCAGAACCCGCTGCGATGTCAAGGGATCCAACGTGGGAATGCGACGCGCGTCCTGTGACACCGCTCGCTCAGATCAACTTATCGGCTGCGTCAAAAAAAATTGCGCGGCAGAAAAAATGCGCACAAACTTCATCTTCGATACGGCCGAACCTTGTGTATACCTGAGTCAAAACTCGGCGAACACCCACATCCGTTGCCGTGAGATCGCACCTTGACCACGGTCGCGCGGCCGTGTAAAGTCGGGGGAGGTAATGGACGAATTTGGGAGCGGTTGAGCTCACGGGATCATCGAGTGTGGGGACCGGGGCCTGGGGCCTTGGGACCCAAACTGAAGCCACCATGGCCCCAAGTTCCCAGCGGTCATGGAAACGAGGCATCTAACTCCCTTCGCCGGCTTCTACCTCGCGCAGCCTGGACCAACTGCCTCGGCCTCCCCACCCTTCGGACCAAGAAGGTCGCTTCATATCCCGGCAGTGGAGCGCCCCTCAATGGACACCTTGAGGGCGTGGGGGATGAGCCCCGGGCGGTGCGGCGCGTGGCGCGGTGCGGCACGCGGACCCAGGCCCCTGTCGGTGAGTCCCGCTCCCTCCGGCGCCGACCACCGCCGCCGCTTGCGGCTCTCGCTCAGCTCCGTGACCTCGTCGGCGCACGAGGCCGCCGCCTCCACCAGGCCCTCCACGTCGTCATCCTCCTCGTCCTCGTCGTCGTCGTCGGCCTCTTGCTGCTGCCACGTCACCGAGTGCCGCGCCCCGTGGTCTCCCGGCCGCCGCTCCGGCTGGGCCCCGTTCCCCTGCGGCGGTGCCACGGCCCAGCCGCCCCGGAGACCCCCGCGGCCGCCCCCTTCCCCGTGCCCGTCCGGGACATCATCCCCACCGTGACCCCTTTCCCACGCGCCCAGCGACACGCGGCGACTCCAGCCCAAGTGCTGCTGCTGCTGCAGGTGCTGGAGGTGCTGATTCTGTTGTTGCTGTTGTAGCTGCTGCTGCTGCTGTTGTTGTTGCTGAAGCTGGCGTTCCTGCTGTTGTTGCTGCTGATTCTGTTGCTGCAACTGCTGCAGCTGCTGCTGTTGCTGCTGTTGCTGCTGCTGAAGCTGTCGTTCCTGCTGTTGCTGAAGCTGGTGCTGGTGCTGCAGCTGGCGCTCCTGCTGTTGAAGTTGATGCTGCTGCTGAAGTTGATGCTGCTGCTGGTGGTAAAGCTGTTGCTGCTGCTGTTGATGGAGTTGACACTCATGCTGCTTCTTATGCTGCTGCTGTAGCTGCAGCTGATGTTTCTGCTGCTGCTGTTGGAACTCTTCATCGTGCTGCTGCTGGTGGTGGTGGTGGTGCTCGGTGTCATCGTCGGCGCCGCTGGGCTGCGTCGTGAGCGAGACGCACATGTCACCCACGCACAGCTGTCGGCAGGCAAGGCCGAGGAGGCGCAGAGAGAGCGTCGGCTCGCATGATGCCCAGCCGCGGCCGAACACGAAGAACGGGTGCTCCGCTTGCACCTCGAGCGTCACCTACAGAGAGCACGACATCACGCCCATTACCTTCGACGCGCGCAGATCACGTGAAAGACTTTACTGCACTTTACTTTCCCCTTGCCCTGAAATGTTACATGGATTGTGCTGCCGATCATGAGTTGAAGAACCCACGAGGTTCTCCCGCAGAGTGAAAAGAGGACCTGGAAGGATTTTGCCCACGTGAGTGGGGAATAATTCGAGGGGGAACAGGAAATGTTAGACAGCATTATAATGTTCACGTTTATACATCGCACTGCCGTTCATGCAAATTGCATCGCACAATCACCGAGGAACCAACAGACACACTGGAAGGGAAACGGATATGGTAAACGCGCACTACCAACAATTGCTCAAACTGCGTTTCTTAAAAAATAAGATATTTTCGTCTTTTATATAAACTAGACTATTTAAACTATTTTTATTTTACCAGATAAGGCCCACTGAGCTATGTAGCTCTTTTTAGAAGCAACCTGGCTACAAATGATAGCTCAACGAAGTGCGAACCACGTGGAAATTTATAGCAGCCAAATAACGAATATGAATGCCGCTCCATGCTCACTCGAACAGCACCTCCGATGAGCACGGTTGGCGAGGCACGGTGCTAAAGAAGTTCAACAATCAGTACATACATTCAGAATAATTACTTTCCTTTAGAAACTTAAAACACCTAAACACAGTGATTTTCACATCTCTTGGGAGTAAAATTGTCATTTAGGCATAGATCCAAATTGGTGACCATCAACTCAATGACCTTGAGAATCCGAATTGTTTCCAGGTGGCTGCCTGAACTGTGAGCAACTATGCTACTTCTCTAAACCAACATCGTCAATACAACTGCATTCCATGAGTCGCTGGAAAAAAATGTAGTTTATAAAAGTTTACTTCGTCCATAGTGGAGGCTGGTACCATACGGCTTTGTGCGGGTACGCACGTTGTGTGTGGGCGGAGTGCTGACCACCCACCCCCTCGTGCGCCGTGTCGGCCTTCATTGGTGCTACTCGCTAACAGTACTTGTCCCAACAGTCTGTTAAGGCTATATGGGGGATCTTTGTCTTTGTACAGTGGCGCACCCAGTTAAATGCTTAAGAGGCAAATAATATCCACTGTCATCCAAGAATACGCAATATTATATAATATTCAATGCATTAAAAATTAAATGTCATCAAGAATTATGAATTATTCATTTAGAATTTTACAATCATGAAATATTTTTTTAAATGGCCAACTAAAGATTTAAGGGTGGGGGGGGGGGGGGCAGAGGGTAGGTCAGACAACTACTGATTTTGTCTCCTCCCTGCGAGTGTGCCCTCTGCGCGTGCCCTCTGCGCGTGCCCTCTGCGCGTGCCCTCTTGTTGTGCGCGCGAGCGGGGGGCCGGCCGCGCCATCACCTGGCCGCGCCGCTCGCCCAGGCAGAAGTGGAGCCGCACGCGGCCTCCCGCGGGCTCCCCAGGCTCGCCGGGCAGCGGCTGCACCGCGGCGACGCGGCTCGCGTGCACGCGCACGCTCGCACACAGACGCGCGCTGCGCACAAAGTCCTCCGTGCTCAGCTCCTCCACGCGCTTCAGCTCCCCGCTCGCCAGCGCGATCACGGCCCCGCGTGTCAGGTGCGGCGGCGGCGGCAGAGGAGGAGGCGGTGGGGGCGCAGGTGCCGCCGCTCTGCAGTCGGACGTGTCCGGCAGCTGCGTCTGCACCGCCCCGCGCCCGTCTTGTCCCGGCCCTGCGCCCGCGTACGCGGCTCCAGCCACGCCCGCCGGGCGCGCCTCTTGCCGGCGGTGAACCCGAGCGGCACCGGCGAGGTCGGCGGCGTCGGCGGGCGGCGACCTCGGGGTCGGCCCGGAGGTCACGACCCCGAGGGCGGCCACGGAGGAGGGGGCCGAGAGAGTGCGGGCGGTGGCGCCGGGCGCCGACACGAGCACCGTACCGCGGCACAGGGGCCGCTGCGCCGGCGACGGTCGCCCCTCGTCCGCGGCCGTCGACGCTCGGGCGTTCCTCCCACCGTTCCCGCGAGGGTCGCCCGTCCCCTCCGCGGCGCCCGGGCCGCCCCGGCCAAAGTTCTGCTCGCGTTGCGCCTCGAGCCCCCGTGCCGCCACGACCGGCAGACCCCGTCCATCCGGGGGCGGCGCCGCTACCGCGCCGCCGTCTCGGCCGCCCCCATAGGCGCACGCCGAGTCGCCAGATGCTCGGTCGCGCTTGAGGCAGAAGTTGGCGTCGCCTGGGAAGTCGAAGCCTCTGTGGGCCGCGTCGCTGTTTCTGGCGCGGTCCGCGTACGCGGCGGGGCCCTGCGCCTCGCGGCCTCCGTCGCCGTGCCCCGCGACGCGGGAGGGCGGCCCCGGCGAGCCGTGGAGCGGCGGGGCTGCGCCCTCGAGGGGCAGGCTGCCCTGCAGCAGCTCACGCTTCTTCGGGGGCAGGCTCTCGTTGCTCCACTCCGTTTTGGATGCCATCGAGAGGCGGCGAGCAGGGAGAAAGGGAGGCGAGAGAAGAACGTGCGGATGTGTCGGTTTCCCCGATGACTTCTACTCGCCGGGGTTTGTGAAGAGACGTGACTCTGCGAGATGGGACATCACGGCACCCCGAGCGCCACGATGACCCGCGTCCGATGCAGCGCCACGCGGCACCATTCCTGCAATGAAACACAGCGGCACAATCACCGGTCATTTCGCTTCTGGCCATTTGTTACGTTCTACGACTTGAATGCGTGGGTTTTCATAGCCGCTCGTGAGCCAAGCGTGGTTTTATGGGTTGGGCTGCACACTGAGCATTTTTTTTTTCTCTTGAGCTGTGGCCACGTGCTACTGCTCCGGGCACCTTCACGAGTGGAAGGTCAACTTCAGCAGGCGCCTGCAGTAGGGCAGACGACCATTCTATCAGCGGAAACCCAAACCACCGACTGTGACCAGGGATACATTTCTGAGTTTAACACGTGGTAGGCTTTTGCGACCAATATCATCCATAATACAGGTTTTTTTATTTGGGTTGGATCGCGTAAATATATAAATTTGTCATTAAACCCGCCACCACCCGACATCGCCAATTAGTAAGGTTTGTCACGTAAACAGAACATGCCAATTCCTTACTAGTACAGCACACCGGTGTGTTGGAGAGCAAAGTAAATGTTGTCGCTTGGCTCTCCAACACACCGGTATGCTGTACTAGTGACGAATTGGCATGTTCTGTTAACGTGACAAACCTTACTAGTTGGCTGTGTCGGGTGGTGGCGGGTTTAACGACACATTTATATATTTACGAGATTTAACCCCCCAAAAAATACCTGTATTATCGATACATTTCTCACCGAATATTTTCCAGGTCGATTGGAGTAAGCACGTCTTTAGTAGCCATATATAGTGATGCGGGATGTTGGACGTGGCGTGCCAGGCGCAGAAATATTTTCTTGGTCGCAGTCCTGGACAGACGCAGCTGACGCATCTTACCAAGGAATAGGTCTGGAATGAGACACTACCGGACTCCAGCAATGAAATACTCTAACTGGACCTACAGAGGGTTCTCTTAAGCTGTGCAGGAAGGTGTACATATATTAGATCCCTGATGACGAATTTTTGTAACTCCCAAGAATGTAATTTGGTACAATTACAATACCAGTATATCGTGGGCTTTTTAATTGTTCTGTGATTGTTCTGATAATTGTCTTCATTTAAATATTGTATTGTAGATTAACAATACAATAAAACTTGCATTTTATATAGCATCATAACGGTCTCAAGATGCTGTACGGAACATAGGGCATATTATTATTTTTATTTATAGATAGAGAGGGGTATTCAGCCCAGGCAGAGGATAGATGTAAAATGCCTCCAGGCTGGAACTTAAACAGGGGAAGGGTATCGAGAGCACAGATGGTATGGGGGAAGGGAGTTCCTGGTAATGCGGACAGCAGCAGAGAATGACCATCACGAATCCTCTCGGTTTAAACACGATCCAAGTCATCGACAAGAATCCAACAGAGTACCACGAAAGAATAAAAAGCTAAGACGGCCGGGGTTGGTCAGGGGACTTGTTAAGGCCGTGTTGACTCACTGCTCTGGCATCACTGAGATCCTGGCTTTAAATCTGTGTTTCTGCTGCCAACTGATTAAACTGGGTTCTCAAGTGCAGCGAGAGTTGATTGGTCTCATCCAGTTACTACACAACAACAACAATAAAAAACTCACCGCATTAAATGCTATTTTTTTCACTTGCGACTATTCCAACCCTCGTAGAATTAAAACTGTAGGTTTGACTGACACGCAACGGACATTCCGTAAATGACATTAACAAGCTTGTCTTGCTTGAATAGGCGAGGGCTAATATAGCTACTTCAGTAGTATGTATGTGGTGACATCATCATCACACTGTCCGCTTGTTGCTGGAGTCCTGAATGGAAGATTCTTGTTCCCACGACTAAATGCCGGTGTGGCTGCACAACGCGGCATATCGCACTTGCTGGGTGGAGATCGAGGTCAAAAGATGGGAGGGATTTCTGATTATCTGTTAACAAATGCCAGTTACACCGTGCACAAATGCAGCAGTGGGTGAGATCGGTTAATTGGTCTGGGCGGATATGCAAGGTCGGATTTTAACCGTTATACTTTTTGTTGCAATTGGGGGTGGGGGGGGGGGATTGGAAACAGATGAACAAAAATGTTAAAAATTATTTGGGACCATTCTATGACGGTGTGGTGCACAGCTCACTGCGGACAAGCAATGTATTAACCTCATGATACCATGCTGATGCAAATGGGAATATAACTGGCTGGAAAAAAATCTACTTAAATAAGGAAAAAGAGGAGTATGCACGAAATACACTTTATATTACTGTAATAAAACAACATTCGCTCAAATAGGTTTACTGTTTTTTGGTATTATTGGTAAAGCTTTCTAGGTAAGTGCACAATCTTGACTTAAAGCTGTCGTGACTGCAGGAATAAATATTCTATGGGTCTTTCGGTAAAGTCACGTAGATAGCAAAAGACGATTGCTTGTGTTGCGATCGAAACATCGTGATATTTTATTATTTTTCTTCTATCTACGTGGCTTTACCGAAAGACCCATAGAATAAGTAGGTGCACAAGTTAGTATTTTAAACACACGCAACCACTGCACAAGCAGATAAACATAGCATCATCGTTACCCCATGCTCATCACACGCAACAACAACTCACTCCTACGTCACTCATCTCATTCATTATTAACATACATGAAGTCACTTTGCTAAAGGGGCACGGGAAAGCGAATGCTCACACACACGCGCATGCTCACATCACATCACGCAGTCACTGAGTGTGTGTGCGCGTAGAGACTGCAGCTGGCAGTCTCGATATGTGTTTAAAAGTCCAATGAAATAGAAAAAAATGACGTGTAAATATTAAAAAGCTGAGCTTTTGCTAACCACCTGATGATGATAGGGGTAATGCACCCCTAGCATCATTGGAAACATCGGCTATAAAACTGTCGAATGTTGCTTGCCCTTCAACATTCCTCCGGTTTGCTGATAAACCAAATCAATTGGTACAATATGCCCCCGTATGTGATTGACTGTCGGATGGTGGAAGGCAATCGTTTAAAATAGACATTATACCCACACGATGATCCAACCCCTAAAGAAACCACTTATGACTCATGATGGTCGTGAAAGACTGCGTACACAATGATCCTCCACCACATTATGCATTTAAATAAATCAATAAAAAAAACAAGAAGCAGCCGACTGTCATTATTTTGTTCCAGCCACTGCTGGCGGAAGAGCCTCCACTAGAGGAAGCTCTGGAGATGTATTTATTTATTTTGGTATAGCCCTGTGAGCCACACGTACGGGGACTTTTTTAAAAATCCTACTCTTCCACGTCTTGGCAGTGTCTACTGCTGAGTGGTGAGATTTTAAGCAACGTGCCTTTTGTTTAAACTGCCCCCACCACCACCAGCACCCCCAGCGACGTGGGGAGGTTGTTACAGAACTGAGACCATACATACGTTTACAGTGGAGTGCAATCACATTTGCAGAAATACAGTCCCGTAAGGTGGTGGGGGTAGGTGGGTTTGGGGGGGTGGGGAATAGATGCTTGGAAGTGATGACATTGAGAGACACAAGGAGCAACACACAGCATGGACGAGAGGACCGATGCCAGGGAAATCCACCACGCTGGGATGTGGGCAGGACACACGCCTAGGAATGAGACTTGTCCCGGAGCGCGTTCCCCGAGGAGACGGAGCGATGAAATGAGCTCGCGTGCAGGTGCGAGTCGGTGGATTGTTACATCGTGGGGTTATGTTGGGGGAGGGGGGGGGGGCTTCATTCAGCAGTGGAAAGGTCATGGCTGGTGATGATGATGATGATCATGTATATACAAAGGGAGATGCCAAAGCGTGAGCGTGAGCGAACCGCGTACGGCTGATGATGATGCACAAACACGATAGGGATGAGTCAGGCAGAAGCTGCTGCAGCAATAGCAGCAAGCAGTAGCCTCTGTTGTATAACGCGGTAAGGTTATAAAGACATGCAACGAAGGAGGGAAGAGCACTCGAGATGTATTAGTGAGAACACTTTGGATAAAAAAAAACATAACCCACAGCAACAACAGCAGCAATATCGACAACATCGTTAACAACTACAACAACTGTAACAGCAACATCAGCCCCATCAACAACAATCCCATGCCAGATGAAGGCAATGAATGAAGATCCTATTGTTCTGTTAAACACAATCATGATGATATTAAATTCTATCTGGGATGATGATGATAACTTGGATTGAGTGATGATGATATTAAACACATAATGGGATTACGATACAGATGATACGTGTTGTAGCGTGTCAAACAGGTCATGGGATTAAGATCACCATGAAATGGTTTGTGTGATGACGACAATGTTTTTGCATGATGATGACATTTAATTCGTAACGATAAAAGTATTGCATATTTACTGCGAACTGGTACGAGGATGATGCTGATGCTGATGATGCTGATGCTGCTGCTAGGCGTTGTATTACGATGTGCAGTGTGTAAAGCGATAATGATGGATGTGTGACGATGATGTCCATGCCACCGACGACGAGAGCTGTGAGAGCACGTGATGGTGTTCCCGAAGATGACACGAGACGAGAAAGAGAGAGAACAATTGATGACTTCATCGACTGTGCCCTCCCAACACACAGGGCACGATGTTCACGCTCCAAGAGTTCGCCTGAGTTATAGCTCGGCTATTATAAGTGCAGCCAAGAAACCCACTGTGTGTGTCTGTGTGTCTTTGTGTGTGTCTGTGTGTCTTTGTGTCTTTGTGTGTCTTTGTGTGTCTTTGTGTGTCTTTGTGTGTGTCTGTGTGTCTTTGTGTGTGTCTGTGTGTGTCTCTCTGTGTGTGTGTCTGTGTGTGTCTGTGTGTCTTTGTGTGTGTCTTTGTGTGTGTCTGTGTGTCTTTGTGTGTGTCTGTGTGTGTCTCTCTGTGTGTGTCTTTGTGTGTGTCTGTGTGTCTTTGTGTGTGTCTTTGTGTGTGTCTGTGTGTCTTTGTGTGTGTCTGTGTGTCTTTGTGTGTGTCTGTGTGTGTCTCTGTGTGTGTGTGTCTTTGTGTGTGTCTGTGTGTGTCTGTGTGTCTTTGTGTGTGTCTGTGTGTCTTTGTGTGTGTCTGTGTGTATTTGTGTGTGTCTGTGTGTGTCTCTGTGTGTGTGTCTCTGTGTGTGTGTGTCTTTGTGTGTGTCTGTGTGTCTGTGTGTCTTTGTGTGTGTCTGTGTGTGTCTCTGTGTGTCTTTGTGTGTGTCTGTGTGTGTCTCTGTGTGTGTCTCTGTGTGTCTTTGTGTGTGTCTTTGTGTGTGTCTGTGTGTCTTTGTGTGTGTCTGTGTGTCTGTGTGTCTTTGTGTGTGTCTGTGTGTCTCTGTGTGTGTCTTTGTGTGTGTCTTTGTGTGTCTGTGTGTGGTTGCTGCCCTGTGTTACGTGGGGAGCGGTGGTGGAGCGGTTAGCGCGCTGCGCTACGAACCCGGCGTCCCCGAGTTCGATTCCCGCTCACGGCCAACATCAGCCGGTCCTGGAGCCTCCTCCAGGTCGACTCAGCCTCAAATGAGTTACCTGATGCGAGTGCGTGTAGTAAACATCGCCACTGGGGGAGACAAAGGCGGCCGGGCGTGGTGCTGGCCACCCATCCTCTTCGTTGTGCCGGGCCGACCTTCATAGGTGGCTCGCAAACGGCACTTGGCCCAAAAGTCAGTGAAAGGCTGTACGGGTGACCTTTGCCTGTGTCTCTATGATGGAGTGGTCCTATTATCCCAGCATCGCCTTTGTTTGTATCCTCTCGCTGCCCCTCCCATGCAATAACAAAGGCAAAGATCCCCCGTATAGCCTTAGCAGAGACTGTTGGGGCAAGTGCTGTTCGCGAAGCACTTAATATATACACACACAATATATGTGTGTGTGCACATAGGCGGTGTGGTACAACTTGTAACGGTTATACCATTTAAAAAAAAATGGTACGACGTAACAAATAGAGGAATCGTTAATGTCACAATTAATTATAGATGCATCGTTATATAATTTGGGAACATTGAACGTGCGATGATGGTAGAATGATGCCCTTTGCTGTGATGTCGGTGTGACATCGACCGCGGACTTGGGCGATGTTAATGACGATGGTGGTGGTGCTGCTGCTGTTGACGAGGGTTGATGTTCAATATTCGGATGATGTTAATGAGACTGATGTTTCTAAATGGTAAAACACACAGCTAGACACACACACACACAAGACAAAGATCCCCGGTACGGCAGGTGCTGTTAGCGAGCACCTATTAAGTCCGGCAACACGCCAGCCCCCCCTTTGTATCCAGAATCTTGATGGCTTACACACCGCACCAGGTACTCGTTTTAAGGCTGAGTCGACCTGGGGGAGGCGCAGGGCCGGTTTCAGATATTTGTCACTGTCGTTGGCCGTGCGCTAACCGCTGCGCCACCGCTCCCCTCCAACACACACACACACACCCTTCACATACACACAAGACAACACACACCCTTCACATACACACAAGACAACACACACACACCCTTCACATACACACACACCCTTCACATACACACACACCCTTCACATACACACAAAACAACACATACACACAAAACAACACACACACCCTTCACATACACACACCCTTCAGATACACACACACCCTTCACATACACACAAGACAACACACACACACCCTTCACATACACACACACCATTCACATACACACACACCCTTCACATACACACACACCCTTCACATACACACACACCCTTCACATACACACACACCCTTCACATACACACAAGACAACACACACACACCCTTCACATACACACACACCCTTCACATACACACACACCCTTCACATACACACAAGACAACACACACACACCCTTCATATACACACACACCCTTCTCATACACACACACCCTTCACATACACACAAGACAACACACACGACACACACACACACCCTTCACATACACACACGACACACACACACACACCTTTCACATACACACAAGACAACACACACGACACACACACACCCTTCACATACACACAAGAAACACACATACACACCCTTCACATACACACAAGACAACACATACACACCATTCACACACACCCACCCTTCACACACACAAAACAACACACACCCTTCACATATACACATACACACAAGACAACACATACACACCCACCCCTACCCACACAGCACAAGGCAGCACACACACCCCACACACACCCTATACACAGCACACCCACCCTACACACACCCTACACACACCCACCCTACACACACAGCACAAGGCAGCACACACACCCTACACACACACACACACCCTACACACACACACCCTACACACACAGCACACCCACCCTACACCCTACACACACCCACCCTACACACACAGCACAAGGCAGCACACACACCCTACACACACACCCCACACACACACACACACCCTACACACACACACCCTACACACACCCTACACCCTACACACACCCCACACACAGCACAAGGCAGCACACACACCCTACACACACACACACCCCACACACACACACACCCTACACACACACACCCTACACACACACACCCTACACACACCCTACACCCTACACACACACACCCTACACACACACACCCTACACACACACACCCCACACACACACACCCTACACACACACACCCTACACACACACACCCTACACACACCCTACACCCTACACACACACACCCTACACACACACACCCTACACACACACACCCCACACACACACACCCTACACACACACACCCTACACACACACACCCTACACACACACACCCTACACACACACACCCTACACACACCCTACACCCTACACACACCCTACACACATAGCACAAGGCAGCACGACCTGCCCCGCGCAGACCCAGCCACAGCAGCGTGAATGGTGGAGGTGCCGAGACGCCTGTACCGCGTTATTGTCACATGTCCGCACGATGCCGACCTTGCCACACACGACTCCTGCTGCTGATTCTGCTGCTGCTGCTGATGCTGCTATTGTTGCTGCGAGCGCGTCTCTGCCCAGCGGCGTAAATGATGCTGCTGATGGTGGTAGCGGTGGTGGTGTGGTAGTGGTGGTGGTGGCTCCACCCTCGATTCACCCGACTCCCCCTATCAACATCACTCGGCGCAGCGCAGGGGTGGGGGGGGGGGTCCCTCGCTTCGCGATCCGCTTCTCTCATCACATCCACGGGTTTCATCCCACCGGCTCTGACGTCACGTGTTTAGACTTTTCAATATAATGGGTGGTCCAGATGTCTTGTTACCCCCCCACCCCCACCGCTATTTAATTATCTAAAACTTATATTTTTGAAAGGTTTATTTAAAACAGAAATTAATATGGAATGGGAAAAAAATGTTAGGGAGTCAATTAATTGGGGGTGCACAAGACATCTGGACCACCCTCGACAGTGCATCACCTTCCCCAATATCGTATTCTTCACCACCATCATCACCACCATCATCATCAATCATATCACCACCACCATCATCACCATCATCACCACCACCATGATCATCAACACCATCATCATCATCACCACCACCATCATCACCACCACCATCATCATCACCACCACCATCATCATCATCACCACCATCATCACCATCATCACCACCATCATCACCACTACCATCATCACCATCATCACCATCACCACCATCATCACCACCATCATCACCATCATCATCACCATCATCATCACCATCACTACCATCATCACCATCATCATCACCATCACTACCATCATCACCATCACTACCATCATCACCATCATCATCACCATCGCCACCATCATCACCATCATCATCACCATCACTACCATCATCACCATCATCATCACCATCACCACCATCATCACCATCATCATCACCATCATCACCATTATCATCACCATCACTACCATCATCATCACCACCATCATCACCATCACTACCATCATCACCATCATCATCATCACCATCATCACTATCACCACCATCATCATCACCATCATCATCACCATTATCATCACCATCACCACCATCATCACCATCACTACCATCATCACCATCATCACCAGTGTTGCCGTTTGCCCATTGGAGGTCCTGAGCGGAAATTTAATTTTGGGTTGACACCGCCCCCCCCCCCCCCCAAACTGTTCAATGAGTAAACTCGTACAAAGTAAAGGTCCCCTTTGTAGCCTTTAACAAACGGTTGGGGCAAGTGCTGTTAGCAAGCACCTATGAAGGCTAATTCTGCACACGAGGGGATGGTGTGGCCAGAAACCAGTGCTGATGTTCACTCGCCACTGATATTGGCCATGGCGAGGAATCTTGGAAACCCACGTGGCCACAGTTCGAAGCCCGGTGTGCTAATCACTGCGCCACCGCTCCCCCATGCAAACGTACGCATAGATGCGCATACACAAAGTCACGGGTTATTTTTAAACAGCGTGCTATAACAGATAACAGAAAGAAGCAGAAAAGTAACAGGCAGTATTACAGACAAGTGCCTTTTTTGAATCATGCATAGAAAGGCAAAGATCCGCCGTATAGCCTTAACAGCCTGTTGGGGTAAGTGCTGTGAGCGAGCACCTTTAAAGGCCGACACGAAGAACGTTGAGGTGGGTGGCCAGCACCACATAAACGCACATATATGTGCAGAGTTAGGGTCCGGGACACACACTAAAGGTGGACAACATTTGACCAATACTATAGAACAAAAGCGAAAAAGGAACCATGGAATTACATTCAGAAACAGACAGAGAAATACAATGATCAAAGAACACGCAGACGTTAGAGACAACAGATCTTTTTCTTCTTGTCGTCTGGCTGATGTAGATACAGACCAACAGCTACAATTTCACATTCAGGTGGTCAAGCTCAGATAACTTCATCTGGAGTAGCGGAGTATATCCCTGTGATGTCTCCTTCGTATATTTGTGGATCAGGCCATTGCGTCGTTATATGCTATATGGTCTGTTCCAGATGACCACAGTTGCACAGTACTGGAAAATTTGTAATTTTCCGTCCGTGCATCAGGTATCCGCATCTGCCATGGTTTGTGCGGATGCGATTTATGGCGGACCATGAGCTTCGTGGTAGATCAAACTCAAGGATCTTCTGCGTTGGGTCTTTCACAATAAGGTGCTTCTTCTTTGGTTCTTTCGGTAAAGTCACGTAGAATGAGAATATCAATTATCAATTTATTATTTTATTCTCATTCTACGTGACTTTACCGAAAGAACCAAAGAAGATGAATCCTTGCAGTCACGAAAGCTTTAAATCGAAATAAGGTTATTGTTCGTGGCTTTCTTTCGAACTCCATTCAGCTCTCGAAGCCGAGACGTCAGATAGAGATGAGTGGTTTGAGCAGGGATACGATGGCCGGTGGTCGAGACTAACGGCAGAGTGGCTGTCAAAGGAGGAAAACGCACCCGAGAGGACGTCCACCGTGCTGATTTAGCCGTGGAATCATCTCGCGTCGCAGGATCGTGAGATGATGGCGACGAGCTTGGGTGGTGATCATCCAGCAGTGGATTGATTGTGTGTCTACTGACAAGACTGTTGGGACAATGTAAGTTCGCAAGCACCTATCAATTACAAGTAAAATACATAGATGAGCCGGTGAGTGGAGGGGGGGGATAGCACCACACACGATCCATCCACGTGGCACAGGACAGGTTGTAATGATTTGCACTTACGCTGTGCATCTTTGCGCCAGAGCAGGAATAATATGCATTGCTATGAAAGGGCATCTTGCCTATAAACATCAGGTAGTTTGCCAGCATTGGTTCAAGCAAGCCTGGTCTGTTGATGAGACGATGAATGTCTAAACCGGTCCCAGAGTTTGCTCGTGTTGAACCAAATTCCGTGGACCGATGGGTTGCGTAAGAAAATGTACGCGGACAGACACAAATATGGGAGAGACGCAAATATAGGAGAGACACAAGTATGGGAGAGACACAAATATGGGAAGGAGGCTCTATTTCGTTATGAACATATACAATGACGCTTAATTGTTGTTTCTGTTACACTTGTTCACCCCCAAAAACATCATGAGTCTCATTATTCTTTTCGTGGAGTGTTTTTGCAAGTTTCTGCCGCTGCAGGTGATGATCGCTACATAAAATAGAATTTCCATTAAGTAATTTGTAGGTAATTTCTTTTTTATTTGGCAAATAAGGACCATGAATGTTTAGTTATATAAGTGTGTCGTAATCTGTACGTGTATGCATGGTTTGTATGTATCTATGTCATCCAGATCACTCCTCCTAGACTGCTCCACAAATTTCAACAAACCAGACGTGATAAAGTTTTGTGATGTGGAGTTATGCAAACGGTGCCGAAATGAAGTTTTTGTTTTTTAATTTGTACTTTGATAATGATTTGGCTCATACAAGTATCCCTCGCATAACGCGGGTCCGGTATGTGCGATATACACGCGGCCAACCTATTTCGACCCAAAATTCGCTATATGCGGTTTGAAGTCACGCAAATGCGGCCTTGCGGTCGGACCTGCGACAACAGCATGTGTACTGTGCGCGCTACTCGGCAGGCAGCTGTCTCGTGCGGTTTCGCTCCGTTTGCACCCGTTTTTTTTGGAACGCATCTACTACACTGGTGCGTTGCCTGTCTCGTCCACCACTTACAACATCCTTCTACTTGATATGGGCCCTGTTTCAAAGTATTACAACCGATAAGCATGTTCCGTTTGTTACCGATGAATCTCAACGGGATGCCTAGGAATACAACGAAGATCCGGACAGCATTGGCCCTATCTGTAGGGTAGAATGAGATCTCTTAGACTCAGGCGAAGGAAATTATTCGGGTAAATTGGGGGCAACGCTATGGCTGAGAATATAAAAAAAATACACCCCAGTAATAATCTCCAGATTAAGAGATTTATTCGACGCAGCTTTGGCTGTATTTATTTGTTTATTTAGGAAGAGATTGGTGGGTCGGGGGTTGGGCCTGGATTTACAGATGGGCTTCCAAAAGCCCACCCTGGCTGGCTCTACTGCCCGATGCATCATCATTCGCCACGTGGGCAGGCATATATACCGCATGACCACCCGTGAACGAAACGATAACTAAATTGTTTGGTACATTGCTCATTATTTAGTTCGTATTTTTTTAAAAAGTGCAAATTGAGGTAGCTGGCTGGCTGAGACGACACAGCGCCGAGTAGGCACTGCTTAGATATTTTATTGTTTTATATATAATTTATTATTTTATTGTTTCCCTTCAACGTGACTTTACCGAAAGAACCAGGAATATAATTGAGTCGTCGTTTGGCAAAAGTTGATAGTTGCGAGGGCAAGAACTGGTCGGTGGGATGTAGACATTGATTATAGTGAGTGGGCCTCGATGGCATTCAATACGGACGCTAAATACTTCTGTGGTGATGTCAGAAGGAGGCATTGGGATTTTAATTTCTTCAAATTGAATGCTGTTATGGATGAGAAAAGCTAAACCGCCACCAACTGTTGGTCGGTCTCAACGGAGGAAAGTGAAATTTTGAAAGTTGGGCGGTCGAGAAGTTGATTTAAATTGTTTCTTGGATGGCGGCTATATTAATGGAGTTTTGTTGTAGAAAGGTGCTTAGTTCAAGAGATTTGTTGTTGACGCCGTTGATGTTTAGTTGAAGGATTTTTAGGTCGTTTTTGTTGTGGACGTTTTGTTGTGGTTGAAACGGTGGTTGCGATGGATGAGGTGGTGGTGTTAGTGTGGTTGTGCAAGGTGTATTTGTTGGAGTGGATGATGCACAACATTTGCAGAAGCACCTGGAGTTTGAACTGGGGATGCGGGCTAAAGTAGTGCAGCGTTTGTGGTACCAAGCTTCACAACCGTTGCATTGGATGGAATTTGCATTGACGTTCTTGCCGCAGCCGCCACAAGGGAAAAACGGGCTTGGATTCACTTGCACACCGCTGCCAACATGCACTGCCTGAACGCCTACAAGCCCAATGTCGTGCTAGGGGATTGGTCCCCACCCAGAGCAGACGACGAAAAATCCCTTTCCCGGGCAACTCGCACAAAAATGGCTCAACTCCGTTCAGGTTACTGCTCCATGTTAGCCGATTACCAAAATCGAATCGACCCAAACGCCCCAAACTGCTGCTGCCCTTCGTGCCAAGCAACGCCAGAAGACGTCTCCCATTTTCTAAGTTGCCCAAAACGCGGAGCAAAAATTAAATCGATTGATTTCTGGCTAAACCCTTCCAAAGTGGCGACACAACGCCACCTATAAACATAAAGTGCGAGGAAAACAACAACAACCGACAGCAGTCGGGTATAAAATATATAAAGTCAAAAATCTAGATAGTAATAGATGTTCAAATGGCTATAGTTGTTTTATGTTTAAAAAGTCAAGTCGATGTTCTCATTCTGTAAGTGAAAGTGTTGTGGTGCTCATATCCGATCTGTTCCTGGAATTGTATCCACGCACATGGAGTATGCTGGTCCTCTTTCTCCACTCATTCCTGTCCTGGATCACCATCTGCACGTCCACAGTCCTTTCATATCCAGCTTTACCACAGCGAGCCACCTCTTCCAAAGCCAGCTTCTCGGAGCCCGTCGTCAATCCGCTGCTGGATGGCAGACTCTTTACACACAGTTGACTATGGGAAGTTTAACCATACTGATCCACGCTGGTTCAATTATCACGGTTGGCTACGTACGGTGAGAAAGAAGTTCAACATACATACATACAAGTGGGTGCCCAGGACCTGTTCAGATATCACTCGCCACTTGCCTTAGCTGTAGCTGGGAATCGAACTCAGGTAGCCTGTTTTGATGGCGCAGTGCGCAATCCACTACACCGCCACTCCACACCCCTTTACTCGAATAAATAGCACTTATTCAAGACAATACGAGTAATTAGAAACGAAAATGAATCGATTGAGAATTGTTTTGATGTTTGCCAACTCTTTTGTGTTTACGTGTACTGTATAGTTGGTACCTGCACAATACTATTAATAGTGAATAACACGCGGGCAAGAGGTGGGGGGGGGGAGGTGGAGGAAGGAAGGGAAGGTCCCTGCTTGGCCAATTCATTCTGAAGGGCCCCCAATTCTCCGGTGTATCGCACGGTTTCACAACTTCCTTCCTGTCTTTTGTTGTTAAAATAATAAAACGCACGAGAAATAGCATACACGCCTTGCACCAAGTCGGATAACAGCGCGGGCCGAATGCATTGTGCCACTCTAAACAGTTGTGTAAACGTTCCTATATAGACGTATTGGAGTCAATAGGTGATTTGAATAAAGCAAATTGTACGGGTGCAAATTGTATATTCGTTACATAATGTTGTGTACAACTCACAAGCAGTGAACGTTACCTAAATGTGACATTTAATATCACGTGTAAATTGTGACAATGTCTTTCATGTGATATCTCATATAATTCACATATACAGTAGTGAAGTAATTGTGAATGGTTGATACCCGATGCACATAGCAATTAAGCTATTACGTGATACTTAAATATATGATATGTATATTCTTGGTTCTTTCGGTAAAGTCACCTAGAAGGGAAACAAACAATAAAATTCTCACGACGTTTCGACTGAAAAACAAGCATCATCAGGTGTGAAAACCACAGCAAGAAAATTTGAAAAAAGTGGCGGTTTTTTAAACGTTAGCACCACGGAGAGCGATTTGGCAGTTATTCAGGTGGACGAGTCCATCTATGTTCAGAAAAGAGGAGGGGGGAGACGAAAATAATGGATGCGGTCTGAAAGCCACCATAAGCGTGAACAATCAATTAAGACCCGAAATGGTTTATCAAATCCTTCCAATGATTGCTAAGCCAGAATCCATCTTCTCGGTTGAAATTGTTTGTGTTTGTATATGTGGATAGCCTCATGAACGAATCTCTCATGGTAGCCAGATGGCTTGCAAATAACCTCTGTCTTGGAGAAGTCAATGTCATGTGAGCCTACTGAATTATAACAGTGATCTGCCACGGCCGAGGTGTTGGTCCTACTGTGTTTTAGGTCTGCTTTGTGTTCACGAATGCAGTCCGAGACATGTCGTTTGGTTTCTCCAATGTAACTACGACCACAGAGGCAACTTAGTTTATAGACGCCAGGGTACTGAATGTCCGGAATCACATAGTTTACAAACGGAACCGGATCACGGATTTTATGTAATGTATTGAATCGGACCTGGATCTTGTGTTTATTCAAGATTTTGGAGATCTTTTTTGTGATCCCCGCAATGTAGGGTAAAGTGATGGTTTTGAATGGCTCCTCAAGAAGATCTCCAAAATCTTGAATAAACACAAGATCCAGGTCCTATTCAACACATTACATAAAATCCGTGATCTGGTTTCCTCTGTAAAAGATGCGATTCTGGACATACAGTACCCTGGCGTCTACAAACTAAGTTGCCTCTGTGGTAGTAGTTACATTGGAGAAACCAAACGACATGTTTTGAACCGCATTCGTGAACACAAAGCAGACTTAAAACACGGTAGGACCAACACCTCGGCCGTGGCAGATCACTGTTATAATTCAGTAGGCTCACATGACAGACTTCTCCAAGACAGAGCTTCTTTGCAAGCCATCTGGCTACCATGAGGTTCGTTCATGATGCTATCCACATACAAACACAGAGACAATTTCAACCGAGAAAATGGATTATGGCTTAGCAATCATTGGAAAGATTTGATAAACCATTTCGGGTCTCAATTGATTGTTCACGCTTACGGTGGCTTTCAGACCGCGTCCATTATTTTCGTCTCCCTCCTCCTCTTTGTCGAACATAGATGGACTTGTCCACCAGAATAACTGCCAAATCGCTCTCCGTGGTGCTAACGTTAAAAAAACCCCGCCACTTTTTTCAAATTTTCTTGCTGTGGTTTTCACACCTGATGATGGTTGCTTGTGTTGCAGTCGAAACGTCGTGAGAATTTAATTGTTTTATATTTTTATTATTTTGTTTCCCTTCTACGTGACTTTACCGAAAGAACCAAGAACATGAATCCCTGTAGTTACGAAAGCTTTAAATCAAAATTTATTTGGTATGTGTTTACACCTTACCAGTAAATGATTATGGGCTTCTCACAATATAAGCTTTAGCCTCACATTCGACAAATTACTTGCTTCACCGCTGATGGGTGTCGTCTATGTTGAGCAAGAGACTTTCAGGCCGACCCTATCAGGCTATTTCTGGTGGCCCAAATTAGAAAGTTTCCTTTGAGTTGGAAGTAGATTGGATATTTTTTTTATTTAAAGCTTTCGTGACTGCAGTGATTCATATTATTGGTTCTTTCGGTAAAGTCACGTTGAAGGGAAACAATAAAATAAAATATGTTTAATAAAACTTCAGCTGTATAGCCCTTCTCGAATTTGTATCAGACAGCCACTCACTTTTGCCAGTCTACGTGTATTAGATGTCCATCATCATCATGCACATTCAGTGGTGAATGCTGCATTATAAATCCACTCATCCCACTTTGCTCACAGCGGATGGCACGCAGCAGAGGAGATCAAAGTTAAATAAATACACTTTATTACCAAACAGAAAAAAGTGAAAGAACTTAATCACATCACACACCGTTAATTAACGCTACATCGATGCTACACACTCCCTCCGTGCACCCATATACAGGATGTTTCAAAGAAATGGACCCGACTTAAAATCGCTATATCTCTGCAACCACGAACCGCCCATGAATGAAACTCTTACCACTTGAAAGGGTAGGGAATAGAGTTTCATATGATTACCGCGAGATGCCTCTCCCAGCGCACAAACAGCCCCTAACCTCAGTCATTTGCAAAATAGTGACCCCGCAACACAAGGCGTTTTGCGTTCTGCAGTTCAGCAAGATCGTAATTGCGGTGCAGCGTTCGTTTAATCACACCCTGCAACTTTTTCTTGTGGGGATACATCAAAGACCGTGGTGTTTTTGTGCCACCATTAGCGACTAATCTGGAAGACCTCAAAAACAGAATCACGGCAGCAGAGACTTCAGTGGAAGAAGACACTTTGAGAGGCGTTTGGGACGAATTCAACTATCGTCTCGATGTTATCCGTACAGCAGGTGGAGGGCACAAAGCATTTATAAAATGGTTAGTAAAACTTGATAACTCATTAAACTTTTCGTGTAATTGTAACATATTGCCATCGTGAAATATACTGCTTTGAAATTGGGTCCATCGATTTGAAACACCCTGTATAATGAACCAATTAAAAACATCCCTACGGATTTTTTTTTTTTTATCGACCGGGGCTGATCACGACACATTGGGCCCACACGCTGCTCTCAAGGCACGGAGGACGACACTCGTAGGCTCCATTCCACTTACATGCGGGCACAGCTCCAGTGAGCTGCACACGGCTTATTTGGAAGCAGCGTGAGAATAACGTAAAAGTTCAGAGTTAAATACACCGGGCAGTTCCTCCTAACTGTACTGCATTGCTAGAAACAAATGCTGAGGCTGTGGTAGGTATTTCATTTGTCAGCCTCATAAACACAACCGGGATCTTGGCTGTAGGTAGGGATGCCCGTGTTTGGCCTTTCGGCCGACAGCTCATAACTGTGGCATTTAAAATAATTTCAAGTGACCGGCTTACGGTATGACCGTGGTCGCGACATTTCCAGGCCTGTAGTCTCCTCCACCATGCAAGCCCTTATTCTATCAATTTAACAAGGCTCTCTCAGGAGCCTTGCTCTGATACTGGTGATTAGTCATTTGAGCCAAGTTGTGTTCTTTGCTTAAGTGTTCTACATAAACACACATCAAAATGAGTAGCAACACACACTGCGACAATTCTGACTTGGACACCGCAATCAAGAACACCCCCCCATCAACCCCCTGTAACACATAAAAGGCTTTCACGCATCCCACCTCCAAGAGATTGCAAACAGCAGCTCCAAATCCCTGGAACATGGACCCAGTTTTTCAGCACCTGTGGTCGTTCCGCTCGAACAAAACCCCAAATTTACGATTCCTTACTAGTGTCCGTTACGTGTTTTTTTTTTTATGAGCCACAATGCAAGCCTAGATATTCTCACATTTTCACTTCAGATAACAAAAGAAGCGAGGTTTTTAGGGATTCCCAAGTGCTTCCACCAAATCACAGAAGCATGCTTCACAAGAAGAGCAGAAGGGCTCCCTGCACGATGTTTTTGACATTGGCAGCCAGAAAGCCCCCCTCGATTCAAACGGTGAGTGGCTCGCAGCGGAGACACAAGCTGCCAATTTTCACACTGCCGCGATAAACCCACGCACCATAGCTTGTACGCAATAACTTGTAACGCCGCAGTAAGCATTGTGGATGGACAATGGTGTACACTTCAAGACCTTATCAATCAAGTCAATGCATGGCCACGTCAATGTTTGCAAATCACAAAGTAATACTGGAACGACTCACTTGGCTAAAGTGAAGCGTCACGTGTGGTAATCCACTTTTGATTTCTTTCAAAAAAAATAAAATGGAAAAACCTCTCCCGACGCCAGTGTAAGGAGACCGCAACGCAATTCCGAACTGCACACACGCCGCTACCGTGACGTGTTTCGCAGGCTTCGGTCATGAGATAAATTCTCTAAATTACATAAGCATCCTATTAAAATGGTCATACAAAAGGCCCTTGGGGCAAGCGCCTGCGAGTGAGTTTAGTGTATACAGTATATGAGTTCAGCGACAGGTTTTTTTATATGCTACGGGATTGGCGAGCCAAGCCGAGCTAAAAACACGTGCAGACACAAAGACACAGGCTTCTGCTGTGGCATTGTACGGCACTGCTTTGACAAGCAGCAATGCCTTGTAAACCTAACACCTGGGACGATGGCACCACACTATGATCTATGGCCAAGTATTCACCAAACCACAGAGCCCCAGCATGTGTGAACTCTCTCGCGTGCCTCGGCTAATGAAGGGGGTGCCATAAAAAAAGTGGCACGAAGAGCCGCTGGTCTTTGTGATAGGACGCAACATGCTAAGGAAGCCCAGCACAGCGGCACACAACAGTGGTACGCGTTTGGCTTAAGAGTTTTCTATACGACTCGCGCATGTGAATCTAGCCTTAATATGCCAATATTCACACAACCGGTACCAAACGTGATATAAATGGAATTCATATTGATATCACGAAAAGTATGTGTGTGCGCATATACTCGCATACGTGCATTATGGTACAAATATAAAACCAAAATGTACAGCCTTTTTCAATCCACTGCTGGATGAAGGCCTCCCCCCATGCCATTTTGGTAATGGGATGTTTGGCCATACTTTATGAAACTGCTCAGTGTTGCATGATGAAGGAGAGGCGTCCAGAACTGGTTCAGATACCAGTCGCCACTGATGTTAGCCTTGGCTGGGAAAAGCCAGATTGACGGGTTCAAAGCAGTGAGCCAACGGCTCCAGCAGTACTCAACCCCACACGAATATACACACATATGTAGTACATGAAGAGCATTTTTAAGTTTTTGGCACCAATTAAATATATTTTGGGGACGAAAAAAATCTTCAACGGTAATTTTGTGAGCTTTCGTATAAAATCGGTGCATGATAGGCAAATAAAAATGTTTTTTTACTATTAATAACAAAAAACCTACCATTACACTTATTGGAAAGTCCCCTATATTTGTAATATTGACTAAGTATACTTATGATAAAGGTGACTATCAAAATAACTTGGTGCACACATTTAAAATCCCAGTTATATAGTTCACTTGTATAAAAAAGACAAACATCCCCTCTATAGCATTAACAGACTGTCAGTACAAGAGCTGTTATCGAGCACCAGTGAAGGCCGACACGGCAAATAAGGGCAAGCACCATGCCCCCATCTGCCTTTGTCTCCCGAGTGGTGATACTTACAAATCGCACCAAGTACTCATTTGAGGCCGAGTCGACAAGGGGAGGTACAGGACTGGTTCAGATAATCGTCACTGGTGTTGGCTGTGAGCGGGAACCATCGTGTCACTGGGTTCCTAGTGCAGCACACTAACCATGACACTACCGCTCCCCACTTCACTTATCACACCCATTTTATTTACAAGTAAAACCAATATACGACAACTCATTTAGGAATAAAGTCAGCCTCATCAATGAGATATGGTAGCGACTAATCAAATGGTGCTTCACTTCGATCCCGATTCACGAGCAGGTTTTAAAATCCTGGTCGTGGGTCCTGATGGGATCACCAAAGGCACGGCTGGTAGGTTGGTAGAAATATAGATAGGTAGGATGGTGGGTTGGGAGGGGGGTAGGTTTGGGTGGAGAAGTAGTTTGGGGGGGGTCTCAAGAACAATATGTAGATACAAAATGTGTGCAAGCACACAGCTTAAACACATAACAGATTAACTTTCATCCAGTACAGTTCTCCTCCATGGTGCATTCAAAAATGCATCATCCCTTGCACTCGCAGCAGCTTAAGCACACTCTCCTTCTTCCCAAACATAACCTTTATGAGCCAAATGCTTGTTCTGACCAAGTCGATCCATTCAAGAGAATATTTTTTCTCAGCCCCAAAAGAGGCTGCTTTGCCGAGGGCCAACGAAGCCAGCAGCCCACGTGCTACATTACAATAAACAACCTACAGAGGATCACAAGACACACAGAGACAGGACCTCGCAACGGGCAACGCTAGCACCAGCCACAGCAGCCAGGACAACAGAGCCACAGTAGCTCAGCAGCTGCCACCGTAATCACCTGAATATGATGTAAACCATTGTGTGCATGTCTCGTGTACGCAAAGGAAAACTGCTGCTGCTTTGCAACTGAAGGCGTGCTCTGCGTTCCGGTCCGGGTGTCAGGGCTATTGCTGCTACGGTTGCACTTGCTGCTGCTGTTGCGGTTGGCCGCTCCGCACAGCAGGCAGGAACTCCTGCTGGTGGCCCTGCATGTGTGCCAGCAGCTCCTCCCGTACGCCCGACTCGAAGCCACACACGCAGCAGCAGAAGGTGAGGCGACAGGACTTGCCCTGGGGAGCCTGGGGCCTAGACGTACCCCCTAACGCAGGGCTCTGCGGCAGGGCGAGGAGAAGCGGTGGCGCCGTCTGGACGGCCGCTGCCAGGGTGGCTGGGGCCACCGGAGCTGCTGGCTTCTCGCTCGCCGAGCGAGCAGGTTTGCCGACGGCAACGGCGGAGGTCGCCACCGCGTTGCCTGTAACCGGGTTTGGAGAGTGCCCGTAAGGCAGAGCAGGGTTCGGTTTGTCCCCGACGGTGCCCGGGGAGCAAGGGGGCCTCCCCAACTCTCCCGGGGCCGGTGCCATCTTCAGCATGGTGCGGTTCTGGAAACTGCACGCGGTCGCGTACGATGCAGAGTCAGTCGATACACAGCGATATTCAACACAATAGAATGCATTTAAATTTGCTTTCATGTGGTGCTTTTCATGCGGTGTATCCCGGGGCGCTTTATTACAATAAAAACTCCAAAAGCCAATGCCTAACAATCTAGCTCAAAAATAAGCCAGCTCAAACCAAAAGTATTGTAAAATTTGATCTTAAAAGATATGATTGTGCCGGCACTCCTGATATGACTTTGAATTGCGTTGCAGAGGCGGAGAGCATGGTGTATATTTGTCAAGAATGTTGGCATCACGGTGTTGGTACATGCTGGTGACGCGTGTGTGTGCCTACGCTCGTGGGGAGCGGTTTTATAGTCGTTAGTGCACTGCACTACGAATCCAGCGACCCGAGTTCGATTCCTGCTCCTAGCTAATTGGTGACAAATATCCAAACTGGTCCTGGGCATCCTCTAGGTCGACTCAACCTTAAATAAGTACCTGGTGTGGTGTGTAAACATCAGCACCGAGGAGACCAAGGCGATTGGGCATGTTCGTGGCCAACCACTCCCTCGTCTGCAGTGCCAGCCTTCATAGGTGCTCGCTAACAGCAATTACCCCAACAGTAGACTTAAAGGCTAAATGGGGAATATTTGTCTTTGGTACACATAGAACATCCCTTCACTTAAAACCCTACGTAGTAGTAGTAATTCTCATTCAGGTCACGTACGTGCACCAGATAGAGAATGTCAGAATTAATTATTCGACACGCATGGTAATTTTAATGTGGGCTAATGGTTGGAATGAGCAAGGCAGTGCAAGTAAGACAGTACCTATGATGGTACAGACAGTACACAAGGGTACAGATGAACATGTGACAGTACAAACAAGTTGATCACAAATGACAGTACAGTAATGGGAGACGGTACAGATGAGCAGATGAGCCAGGACAAAGAGGACAGAGGATATGATACACACGAGCAGACCATATTGTAGATAAAACTGTTCAAACGACATGCAAAAAAAGATATTGTTTATCGCCATCCAATTTGCTTTCGGATTGTACCACATGTTATTAAGCACAATGCCCTACGTTCCCTGCTCTATGCACTGTGATATGTTTCAGGAACGACCGACATCATCCAAAAGAACACGCGGCACAACCATAAACACACGGCAGACCTAAATAGCACATCTGCGAAAAACTACGCAGCAGTTAGCCTTTCATAGAACAGTGCCTACAAATCCAAAGAATGTATACATTTGCAGGTGGGTAGATGGTATGAATTGTTACGAGTCGAGTGTGCGGCGAGCACTTGCTGATGCGAGCACTACCGCTGTGCCAGGGCTGTGGCTGCATCAATATCCCGGTTCACTCGCTGGAAGTCGTAGTTCTGGTCGCTGGCGTGCCGCCACATGTGAGCCTTCAGAGATGCCGCAAAGCTGCACACGTAGCCGCATAGCACACACCTGACACGCACGCGCGCACACGCACACACACACACACAGTCCATCTTGCATCCAGCCAACATTTGACAAGCACATCCATGTAGTAACGCAATTTCTGGATATAATCGTGTTCATTTACTCCATCTGATTTGCCAAAAACAACGTGTTATTGGTTACATAACTATGACCATCATAGAATAGAAATCAATAATCTGTAGCCATTCAGTATTAGGTGTTCATACTTATTTATTGCATCGGTTTAAGTGACAATGACAACGTACTGGAAATGTACTCGGAGACTTAACTACTTTGTGAGCATCACCAAGTGATGCAGAATCAACCACGTCGTCAAAACCCAACAACGGTTGTGCTAAATTTACAAAAGGCCTCGACACAGGAATGTGGAACATCCATTGCCGGCTCAAATCCAAAAATAAGAACAAACACCAAACAAAGTTAAAATAATGGTGGTAACTACATCCACATGGTGAAAAGACCAATAGTAGTTGTTGGGTGATGTGCCATGGTTGTCTGTCATGGTTATGAGCTGCATAGGTTGGATTTTGGGTCGTCAATGTGGGAGGAAGCGATGCAACTAAATTAATTGTGTGGGCGAGTGGGGGGGAAGGGGGACAATGGATGGTCGAGTACATGGATATTTGGTCGGGTGAGCGCGTGGGTGAGAGGCCACACCTGAAAGGCTCGGCTGCGGAAACAGCGAGGGCGTTGTGCGCGCACGAGTGCTGCTTAAAGGCGGCCGCCGAGGAAGTGGTGAACTCGCACTCCGCACATCTGGGCGCACGCCCACACCAGTACCAGGGTGACAGCACAGGCAATTAGACGAGACGGACAGTATACAACGGCACGTGTAAGCTTGATCGTTCGCATTCACACAGACGAGTGTCAAACCATTAGTTTTAAGCCGAGTCATCCTTGGAAGGCCAGGGTTTGATGCGAATTTCCACTGGTGTATAGCATAGCGACGAATTGCGGTGTTTTGTACGAATCGTTGTGCAGTGCTCGACACTATTACTTCCCACACACATTGCCATATGAACAAATCACCCTGAATGCACCTCATCTCACTGAATCTTGGAAGATAAGCAAGGTTGTGCCTGGTTAGTACCTGAATGCGAGACTGCCTGGGTACAGAAGCTATTGTAGGCTTGAACGGCAAGATGGACAATGTATTCTTGGAACTATTTGCCTAGAACTTTAAAGGTTACCCCCTTATATGCAACAGTTTTCTCCAGCTGCTCCAGTTTCCTTCCACATTCCAAACTCGAATGGAATTGGCGAAACACCCCAACTTAGGACCCTCCTAAAAACGTCTTGAGATGTTTTGCCCGGATAAATGGCATGACAGTCCGCACCCACTGCTTTGAGTGAGCAATGTATGAGCGCAATACACACCTAACCACCAAAAAGGAGTGGTACCACTTCTCAAATGCCGGAGATACATGCAAATTACAATAACCACAAACTATACATCAGCAAGTCATTTTGCACTCAATGAGCCTCCCCCCACACTTAAATGTCTCAATGGCCTGCTCACCACATGCTCCATTTAGCCCAAATGTGGCAAACCTTTTCCTTACTGAGGGCCAAATAGGGCATTAAAACAACACTGACAATAAATGGTTTATGCTAAGTTTGTAAGCATTGGCTGTGTGCTCAGAAATACTTGAAAGATGATGATTGAGGACTAAATGCCAAGTAGAAATGACCCATTGTTCCAAGAGAGTGCTGAGAAAATTAATATCGTTTTAGGGGCCAATTTGGAGGGGCAGGACTCATATGGCCACGGGCCATATAAAATTAGGTCGTGGGCTATATGAAATTAAGTTGTGGGCCTTATAGAATGTCAATTAAATCACAAGGATGTAGGTGTCCTACCCCAATTTATCCCATCCCCATCCAAATCCCCCAGGGTCTGCCCAATCCGTCCTGTGTTGAAGCTGTTGCCGGCGTTGGTGTCCCCCGTGTCACTCACCGGTAGCTCTTGTCGTGGATGCGGCGGTGGTTGCGGACGCCCACGTAGGAGACGCTGGTGTAGGAGCACATGTCGCACTGATGCAGCCTTCGCTCCCGTGCGCCTGCGAGTGCCGCGGGTGCAGAGGCAAAATATGAACACGAGCATTAACCCTGGGGTGGTTTGCACATTACCCTATGAACTCAATGACCTGAGTTTGAGTCCCGGCTAAGGCGAGTGACATCTGTCCAAGTCCTGGATGACAGACCTTTTATCAATATGCAATCGAACAGCATGGTGGAGTATGGTGAAACAACCTTCATGGGAAGGCCTTCATCCAGCAGTGGAGAGACGTAGTGCTGCTGCTGATAAAATCCTAAGTTGCAGCCCTGGGTGCCAGAGACCTGAGACAATGTCTATAGTATACATGTACAGATTAAAGCATGGCCTTGTACAAGACATTTGATATCTTATTCCATCGAGGGATAAATAAGTGATCTTTCGTGAAAAAATATACACCACTGCTTGTACAAGTCTTCCAGACGCAACTTGCATGTTAGTGTTATTAAAAACAATAAATAACTTACAGCCCTTTTGTTACATCACTGTTGGATGAAGGCCTCCCCACATCTTGTCGGTCACAAGTGTTGTTTGACGATGCTTACCCAAACATGAGTATTAAAGGTTGTAATGTTAAAAGCAGTGATCTGGCCAGGTAGTGGAATGGTTATTGTATATAGCATGCAATAATATCCCGATAGGTGGGGAGTCAATGCAGCCTTCTTTACTCTGCGGTCTATAAAATGAGTATCACTTTGTGGGAACTCAATTGCGGTTGTCCTATGGAGTGACTCCCAAAAATGAGGAATTTTCACCACTGGCTCAAGGTCACCAACAGGAGATAAGCACAACTTCACAAGCTGGCACAGTACTGATAATAGTTGCATGCGATGACACGTGGATGGAGTGGTGGTGCAGTGGTCAGCGCTCTGAATTCAGCAACCGTAGTTTGATATATTTAAAAAGGACCTGAGCTCACCGACTTAACCAACCCGCACTGACCATCGCAGTAACATATGGTCAAACAACCCCAATAAAGCCGGGCTGTGAAGAGGTCTTCAAACAGCAGTGCATTGACAAAGGGCCATAATCTGTAATTGCAGATTGTGATGGCAGGGCATGAGGCTGGACCAGCGTGATGGCGGCTACACACATACCTTGCCCATGGCCGGCGTGAGATGCTGCGTGTTTCCCGGCCACCGCCCTTCTCCTTGGCGCCACGTTGTGATGCTCGCGTTCGTGATTCCGCAGCTGGCTCTGCAAGTACACACGACATTTACCGATCAGAAGTGCTGCACACGACAGCTGCGTGTCTACTCTGCGCCACGCACGCGGTCGCTGATGTACGCCGCATGCAGACGTCAGAGGTAGAGAATGGAAATTAACATGCAAAATGTAATTGCGTAGTTTTACGGGTCAGCTCGGAGTGGACTGGCGATAGTGGTTATCATGCTGTACTCTGAACCCACGACCCGAGCTTGATTCATGGCCACAGCTAACATCAGAGGTGGGTGAAATCAGAATAGGTCCCCATTGAAAACCTGCACTAAGCGTTAAGTAGAATACAAAAAACCTATGACACACATGACGTGGAAAGGCTTTCATCCTTTGGTGCAATGGGAATGGCTAGAATTTTTAATGGCCAGACCACGGTGGTAAGACCGATGTTAAAGGATAAGGGTAAATTAAGCATATGCATCCCCAGCGCAAAGGACCAGATGGGGCAGCGAGCAAAATTCCAAGTTGCTTCTCAGTTTCGATTGTTCCTCATTGCACCAAAATATATGGCACAAAGATGAATACATCGTCAAATGAAGTTGGATTTTTTAAATGCAATTTAACACCAACGACAAATGGTCCAAATGATAACGTGCAATTTTTACCACACAAAAGCCTTGGAAAACTTTTTAAGGAGGGTCCTGCGTTGGGATATTTTTTCCCCAAATGATCATTTTAGGTTTTGCGAGATGTTAACAGTGATCAGGGCGTTTTACATGTTTTTGGGTTTCCCCCCCCCCCCCCCCCCAAAATGTATCTCAATTGTGCTGTCTATATCTTGTCAAGGAACAATGGGATCCATTCCAATCGCTCGCAAAAGCAGTGAAATTCTCAGTGCTGAAATTTAGCCAGCACAACTGATTACACTCGACAACCTAGAGCTGCCCTGCCTGCCTTTAAACCCAGGATCTGTGGTACCCGCTCAGCGTTCTGGCCTCAGTCATCATCAGCCATCTCAGTGGTGACAACAGTTCTATTAGTGGCCATGGTTAGATTAACAGCCATATTGTACATCCATACAAATGACTCTTTCCAGTGGTCAAGAGAACTAGATAATGCATGAATGAGAGGTGCGCTGGCTCCTTCGCCACCTTGTAATGGAAGTCGAACGGGCAGTGGGAGCAGCGGTGCGGGCGTGGGCGGCAGTGTCTGGCCGTGTGCTCGCGCAGAGCGCCACAGTCCCGTGCCACCTCGTGGCAGATTGGGCACTGGTAGGGTCGGGGCCGGCGGTGAGCGCGCAGGTGCTGCCTGGCGTGGGCAGCGCTCGTGCCGCGGTACGGGCACACGCGGCACCGGTACGCATGCCGAGCCCCGGACACTTGCTCCACCAGCCCGCCAAACAGTAAAGCTCGCTGCTGATGTTCGTCTTCAAACTCGTTCTCCTCCTCCTCCTCCATCGGCTGTTGCTCCACGTCGTCAATCTTCACGTCCTCCACCTTGACGTGGCGAGGACCCCCTTCCCTGGCGGTCGCCGCTCCGACCTCGCCGTCTCCCTCGTCTCGCTGGTGCAGTCGCTCGATGACGGACAGGAGAAGGCTGCTGATTCCAGACTGGCTGCCGCTTCCTCTGCTGCTGCTGCTGTAGCTGTCACTGCAAGCGCCCTCGTGGATCGGTTCTTGCATCCCGAGGTCCTGATGAGGAGGACTCAGAGGATCAGGATGTCGAGGAGGTGGTGGCAACCAGGCTGGCAAAGCCACGAGGGCCTCGGCAGCCAGAGAGTGCAGGAGCAAGCACTCCGAGTTTGTGCGACGCCTGGATACGGGCCTCACATCTGCACAATCTTCGCGTTCCTGCTGCTGCTGGCTGCGTTCTTGCTCATCAGCCTCCACACCAAGAGCGCCAACTTGGCTGGAATATTTCTTCCCAAGTCCCTGCTGCTGCTCCTCCTGCTTAGCGCTGCAACCAATGTCATGGGCTTTGACGGTCGTTGGAAGACGCGGAGCCACACCCGACTCGTCCCCTAGCCCCGCGGCCGCCGCCTCCAGGCCAACATTGGGGCCAGGGCTGCGCCGCGCGGCCTGCTCCGTTCCCGCCGCAAGCCCAGGGAGGCCGGGCACTTTAGCCTCGTCTGAGCGGCCAGGAGTCGAGGCCCCGGCGCTTCTCTCCCGAGCATCCGCCTCCGCCGACTTGGGTGGTCCGGGAGTCGACAGCGAGGTGGCATTCGCGCTACCGCCCTCGGGTGGGTGAACGTGGCCTCGTGCGGCGTTGGAGTCGGTGTCGGAAAGCCGGACCGTCGTGCCGTTTGATGCCGCGAGGTGGGTGCCGAGGTTCACTCCGTCGCCGCCGCCGCCACCATCCTCCAGCTCCTCGAACACGGGGTAGGTGCAGGTGACCTCGCGCGCGTGCTTCCACGCGTGCGTCTTGAGCGTGCGCTGCCGCTCGCACGTGTAGCTGCACAGCAGGCAGTGGTAGATGCCGTGCGGGTCGCGTGTGTACCAGCGACGCGCGGCAGGGACGGCAGGAGGCGGCTGGGGAGTTGCGGGAGACGGCTGGGACGGTCCGCACGACCCCCCCGCTTTGGGCACGAGCAGCACCACGCCGGCGCGCGCGCCGCCGGCGATTCCAACGTCGTCACCACCTCGTCCAGTTCCTAGAGCTTCGGTAAATCGGCCACGACCGCCGTGTCCTCCTCCACCGACAGGACAACCTTCACCCCGACGTGGATTGCCATCGCCTGGTCCTTTCTCAGCACCACCACCGCCGCCGCCACCTCCAGATCCACGTGCATCATGACCACCTCCGCCACATATTCCTTCTCCACCAACACCACCTATGTAACTACCGCGTCCACCATCGCCAACAGTCTTCCCTCCGTCACCGCCACTTCTACCCCCTTCGGCACATGCGTTACCTCCTCCTCCTTCACCTCCTCCTCCGTCCACGTCCGCCCGCGAGGTGGCGCGGTCCGTGAGGCGGCTCGCCCGCTCGCATGCCAGGGAGCAGAGCGCGTCCAATTTGGAGCGAAACACCGCCGACACGCTGCGGCTTATCGCGCCGGCGTCGAGGCTGCCGCCGGGGGAAGGAGGCGAATCCACGCGGACCTCCATGGTCGCCACGAGCAAGCTGTACCACCAGCGGTAAAACCGCCAAGCAGCACCAGCAGTAGAATCGGCAGCGGCACGGGTACCTCTCTCTCGCTCTCTCTCTCAGCCACGCGGCTCGGCGTGGAAGCCCGCAGAGACACAAGCGATGTCACACGTGGGTAGCGACACCCGAGACGACCCCGGCCGCAGAGCGGCGTCGCGATCTCGCACCACCAGCACGCGGCTCCATTCCGAGGGTGCGAGGAGCGCCGCTCGCTCCTGCGCGGGGGGAGCTGAGCGGGAGATTAGGTGGACCGAATGTGACGAGGTGAAACAATGAGGTGAGGAGACCGCGTGTTTGGGTGAGGAGACCGGGGGAGACGAGGTAACGGAGAGGATTCGATGATGAGACACCACGAGGTGAGAAGATCTGGAAATCAGACGAGGTGAAATCTAGAGACGAGGTTGTGAGTTTCCATGAGACCGGTTATCAGACCGCGAGACGAGGTCTCTGGATACAGGCGTTGCTCAGGATGAGGCTGTGACGACGAGAATGTGGAGATCCAACCCTCACGCATTCCGCTCCTCGTGTCGCCTCCCGCCCCTCCCCTCCAGCGGGATGCACGCAGCCCGGAGCCAGCGGCACAAGCGCCGCGTCCTCCCCGAGTCGCACCCACCGAGCGCGGCCGCGCACGCGTCACCACACGCGGCGCAGAGAGACAAACGCGAGGGAGACAAACTGCGAGGGAGACAAACGCGAGGGAGACAAAGGCGGCCGGGGGGGTTGACACGCGGCCACGCGCTCCGCGCTAAGATGGAGCCCCCCGCGCGTCACGTGACCCGCACGTTCCGACAGCGGGAGGCGGTGGCGACGGTCACGTGACCGCTCGCGCGGGTACAGTGAGGGGAGCGAGTCACGTGACTTCGCGCGGAGACACGCCGCGCACGCGGGCGGATTACAGTGCAACGAGGGGGGGTGGGGCGAGATCACGTGACGCCCAACCGTGTGCGGGCATGTGGTCACGTGACACACGATGTTCCCGCGTGCGTCCCGCGAGATGTTAACAGGTCACGTGACAGGAGGCGAGCGCGCCGCGCGTGGACGCACCCGCGGTCACGTGATCACCCCCCCCCCGTCAGTGGCGCGATCACGTGACGAGGCGGCGCGTGCGTGGAGAGGGTTAAATGGGGTCACATGACACGGTTTGCAGGGGGCGGGGTGAAGTGTTGCATGGTCACGTGATCGGATGCGGGGCGGTGAAGAGTTGAATGGTCACGTGATGCGCGTTTCTACGGGGGGTGGGGGGGTGATCACGTGACGCGCGTTTCTACGGGGGGGGGGGTGTTGCGTGATCACGTGACGCGCGTTGCTATGACACCTTCAGTGCGATGTTTCTGGCCCCCTGTGGTTTTTGTGGTTGCGAAAATATCAACCCAGGGCTGACCTGCAGCCCTCGTAAAAAGTAACGCAGTTAGAGTTGTGTGAAGTGTACATTGCTTTCGGAGAAATTGTTTAAACAGCCGGTCATTTTTTTGTTAAGTGTGATCCCAAATGGTTGAAATAAAGTTGGTACTCGCGGTATTTGTGGAATTAAAAAAAAACTTGAGGAAGTAACAGCAATGTTGCTATTATGCCGTTTGTTTAAATTTGTAGGTGTTTAAGGTATACTTTTGCGTCATTTTCGGACTTATTTAACGGTTAATTAATCAGCAGGCAATGCACACACTGCCGATGAGTCTCACATAAGTTTAAATCAGCGCAGGGTGTGTGTGTGCTTTAGACGAGAGTTTGCAGAGGCCATCCATCCGGCAATGTAACTGGATTGTCAAAAGGGGCAGTACATCGTAGCTATCACAATCTCACCATCCTAGAATCTCACCCAGATCCGTAATAAGGCTGCTGTGCTTCGAGTGGAAAACAACGCAGACGTCTAGAATAATAGACACCTCATTCTAAACCCAAACATCGCAACCCTTCTGGCTTTGACAATCCTCGAAGACACTGGTGAAACAATCATCAATCGCATCAGAATATCAACATGGCCGATGCGAACATCTTCAATTAAACGAACATTTAATATACAAGCCGCAGTTGTGCGATTTGTTGACAATGCTACCAAAACTAGGGGCCATTCAGTAAATTCATAGAGACGTATTGAGATGAGAGACCTAGAGACAAAGTTTTGAGTTTATTTGTGTTTTTTTTATGTAGGTACATAAAAGATAAGCCACAGTGCGAGTGTGGCAATTCGACCCAAACCTTGGATCGTGTAGTAAACCCAGATACATATATAGACACATGTAGACCCACATAGAGGTGTATTGAAGACAAGCCAAATGTCGTGCGATCGTGGACATGCAACCCAAACTATGTACAGACAGAAATATCAAAACCACAAGAACTTGAAAGCCATCTCGTCTTGGCTAGCCGGTAGACCTCGACAATGGGCATTTACTGGACATTTGTGACAATGAGCTTAATAGCTCATCGGATTCCTCCAGCATAAATAGTAACATTCCGCCGCCCACCCATCGCACGCGAGAGTAGAACAAGTATATCGTTATATTCTTAGCTCTTTCGGTAAAGTCAGGTTGAAGGGAAACAATAAAATATATATAAAACAATAAAAATTCTCACGACCTTTCGACCATAACACAAACGGTCATCACCATGATGACCGTTTGTGTTATGGTGATGACCGTTTGTGTTATGGTCGAAACGTCGTGGTTTTTTAAAAATGATTATTTTCTTTGAACCTATCTACGTTGACTTTACCGAAAGACCCAAACGTTTGTGCTTGCTGCGGGTAAACAATCGGTTGCCTTGTCCTCTATGCGTTCTCTCTCGAGGTGCCGGTTCTTCCACGTGGTTACGCAAGCCCACGTGGTCCGTGCCGCCGTGGCCCCGGGGACTCTGCGGCAAAGGTCGCCGCAGCTGAGTCACCCCCAACGGAGGAATGCCCGGCACGCTCCAAGACTTCTTTTTCTGCCAGCGTTAGAAACTCACGTACTGTACGGGAGGTTGGCTTGGTGGTGGCTGCACACGAGAGTGGAAAATTCAGAATTTTATCGGTTCGAATTCTCGACGTTTTTACTAAATAACAACCGCCTACACCAAGCGCCTCTGTCCACCCCAGTAGTTTAAATTGGTACACCGCAATCAGTCAACTGGGGTAAAGTGTGTTTACGCACACCTCTTCCAAGTCGTCTGGCAAACGTGGAAGAGTAGGCGAAATACTCTCTAGATCGTCCTCTAGTGGAGACCCTCCTGACAGCAGGGGCGTGAGCAACGAATTGCAGGGCCGCAATTCCAGATTTTTGTTGTTTTATTTTTTTACCTACGTGACTTTACCGAATAGAACCAAAGAGTATGCAGGGCCGCGCCTTCACAGCCTCTTTGCCATTTGCGACCATACTTCACGCTTGGCTAGTTGCGGGTTGGTGAAGGCGGAGAGCACAGGCGTGAGAGCATAGCAGGACAGCACAGAAACGGGATGGATATTGTTTCATTGCCCTCTCGCTGCCCACCACGTATTAGCGAGGCCCTATGGCAGCCTGTTTGTGTGACGGTCACCACCACCCACTCAAGCACGATGTAGGAGGCTCCACCCGGCTTCGCTTCCGAGATCTGACGATCGAGATTGGGCACATTCCGGACGATTTAAGTGATAGGTCAGCGATTCACTGGTATACAAAAATAGACGATACACATTGCTCATATACACGCAAAGTACTGTTTGTCCCAAAATACAACTGGCATCCGTCATGGGAATGTGGAATTGTCTTTTGTTTTCTACTCAGTTGTATTCCAGTAGTGCTGTAAGGTGTTACACCACGAAACTAAATGAATTTCGATGATAAACATTTGGAGAGAGCAGTGCACTACCTTGTTGGGGCTATTAGGTTTTGTGAATGCGTTGACAACACTGTGTAACACATTTTTTTGTTTCTGGGTAGTAAGTGTTATTTCCTAATTGATTACGCCTCAAAAGTAGAGAAAATGGATATTATTCCCCACAAATTTTGCTTTTGTGACCAGGACAGTGATATTTTGAAATTTACCTATTTTCAATGAGAAAACGGGCGAATTTGTGTCTTTTCGTTCACGTAAAGTCAGAAAAAACATGAATCAAAATTATCATGTATTTATACGAAAGTAATACAAAAATTACTACAAAAGATTTAGACACCAAGGCGCACTACCACTGGCAGGACTGGCCACAGCGGACCGAGTTCTCTGTGGGGAGGAACAACGTCAAGTGGGAGCCACTGGTGGACCCCCGGAAGGTGCTGATGCCACCACTGCACATCAAATTGGGCCGTATGAAACAATTTGTCAGAGCTGTAGATAAGAAGTCGACAGCCTTCAAGTACCTTCAAGACTTCTGCCCTATGCTGTCTTAGGCAAAGGTCAAAGCCTGTGTCTTCGTCGGACCACATATAAAGAAGATCCTGGAGTGCAATGAATTCCCCAAGAAGCTCACTAGTAAGGAGAAAGCGGCTTGGGACAGCTTTGTCGCAGTGGTTCGTGGCTTTCTGGGCAATCACAAGGTCGAAAACCATGTGGAGCTGGTTGAGACTCTGGTGAAGAACTACGGCACAATGGGCTGTAGGATGTCCCTCAACGTCCATATCCTTGATGCTCATCTTGAAAAAAATCAAGGAGCACATGGGAGCGTACTCGAAGGAGCAAAGTAAGCACTTCCACAAGGATATACTGGACTTTGAACGCCGCTACCAAGGACAGTATAACGAGAACATGATGGGAGACTATTATTGGGGGCTGATTGGTGAAAGTGATGTACAGTATAATCGTTCATCTCGAAAAACTACTCACTTCTAAATCTTTTGTAGTCATTTTTATTCATGTTGTTTTTCTGACTTTATGTGAACGAAAAGACACAAATTCGCCCGTTTTTTCATTGAAAATAGGTAAATTTAAAAATATCACTGTCCTGGTCATAAAAGCAAAGTTTGTGGGGTATAATAGACATTTTTGTTATACTTTTTAGGCATAAGCAATTACGAAATAACACTACCCAGGAACAAAAATTGTGTTACATAGTGCAATCAGGCGCAAGCTGCTCGGTCCTGCGATGCATATTCTTTCGTATGTCCTATGATTACATCTCTTTGAGAGCTGGTGAGTTGTAGACAGACCCATCCACCCACCGGCTTCACATTTGTACTTATGCATACAGCATATGGCGCAGTGTTTAAGTCCCGTTTTCCATTCGGTGGAATGCAAATTGATGGTCAGTAAGGGAGAAAGGCGGGCAAAATAATGTGTAGGGCGTGGCGGTGATGATACGTGAGAACGTGATGGGTGTTTCGCGTGCAAGCTTGGGTTCGGCGCAACGTGGGTTTGGTGTGTCACCGTAAAGGGTGCGTCAGGAGCGATGGAGAAGTTTGTGACTTGTATCCGTAGAGGTCGTGTGTGCACGTGATAGCCGTCACCACTTTTTCCCAGACCAAACCGGGATATACAGTATATCTGAGTTCAGCCTAGTTTTTTTTTTTAAACCATGCAGTAAACGGTTATAAAGTCCAACACAATACCACCGGATCTCAGTCCAAATCAATTTCTGCCATTCAAACACATGATAATTCCCAGACTGAAACCAAACAGGTGGCGAATCGGCTACCCCAGATGCTGGTGTGAAATGGCTTACAAAATGATAAATACAATTGTTACTCGTTTCTTTTTTCAGAAGGGGCAGGTGTTACAAGGGAAGGGTCGGAAAGCTGCGGCTCTTTCGTCTCGTATCCACATGCACTGCGGCTCTTGATATTGAGTTCGAAAAAACGGCTCCTCTTGTTAGTTTGGTTGCCGAGCCCTGGGCTATGTCGGGGGCACAACCTTTGTACGTCGTACAAAGTGTGCATATGTCACGTGTCAAGCCACACTATTATTTTTTAAAGCGCTCAGCTGGAATATGCCAAGTAACAAACCAAATGTCATGTCGTTGTGTGCGGTTATTGGTGACTGGGATTATACCACTTGGAAATCTAGTTTAATCAGTCGAACCTAGGATCACAATGGTGCCGGCACTGTGTCCTGATATTGTACGAGCCCCAAGGGTGAGCGAGTCGACCTTGAATTTGAGGGACACCAAATGCGTGTGCGCGCATGCACACCATGCGATGCCCCCCCCCCCTTCCTTTCGCCTGTAAATGACACGGACAGCGGGATAGTGTTACACTGAACACACAACTGGAAAACGTTTATTCAACGAAGTTTTAATCACCAACAGCGCCCGATTGCCCGCACACTGCAGCGACCGCTTCACCCCGACTCGTCGGCTTTAAATCCTGGGTTTGGGTCAATCAGCTGAATAAAGTGACTCATTGAGTCAAACCAAAGCAACGCTGGAGCAACGGTACAGTGCAGTACACGTGGCTCACCCGCTACCACTTTTCCCAAATCCAGCACCAGAGCCTCTTGCGAGGAGCTGCGTTGCTGATTGTGAGATTGCCATAATGGCCAGATCAATGCCCTTTCTTGGGAATGGATCACAACGGGACACAAGCCCAGCTTAACAGGTGTGACCCTGGTTTAGATGCCATTCGCAAAAAAACGCCACATTAATGGCAGTAAACTTCTAGATTTTAATAACCATATCGTTAAAAAGTCTCGGCATTGTCAATGCGAGCCTTCCTTCAACAAACATTATCAGCTCAAAAGCTACATTTGCAACACTTATTTACAAGTGTATATCTTCCAAACATTGATTATGTCGTGGTTTACCACGAACGGATCAAAACACCCAGAGGGCATCATTGCTCTCAGAACAGTACATGTCTGGGTAAAAACTCACTACAACAGAAATAAACATCCTCCAATAAACCTTTGCTCACATCAGATATCCTTAAATGTGATGCGTGTGCATGCATTGATCGGCCACCTTATTACTAAAGTTTTCGCGGTTGTGATGGACAGTGTTCTGATGTTGTTTTTGTGTTGTGCCGCGTCTTTTGCCAGCTTTATTTTCCCAACATTCTGCGCCACGTGCTGGGCACCTCTTCTGAAACTGACAGCGAAACGTCGCACAATGTCGAAACAGGACACAAACCCCAAAGCAATTCAGATATCTAATAACCTTATTCGCCTCAATCAGGAGTTCAAAACATGCTCACGTATGTGCTGAATTGTGAAGTGGTTAGAGCATTGCGTGTTTTTTCCTCCTCCATTAAAGCCTAATTGTAATAATGCATATTTCTTTAAAAAAAACACACTTCTTATGAAAAGTTCGTACTAACGAATGTGGGGTGTTGCCCCCTATTTATACCACGCACTTGATATACCTGTACTTGTATGGTTGGGCTATTCAACATGGCTAAAACAGAGCACACCGTCTTTTCATAGCATCAACATTCTCATATGAGCGGCTTTAGGAGCTGGGCATCATCAAGGCGGGGATGCAGAGATGGAACATGTGATATGGAGGAGAGGTAGAGTAAGAAGTAAATTAACCGTGCTGTTATGGTTACTATAAAGTCACCTCTTGTGTTTGGACAATCTGCAAAATGTGATGAGCAAAACTCCATAGACATTGTCACAACGCAATGAGAAATTTGCACAGAAATTGATTTTTGTCCATCAAGAAGCTGCCCATTATTATTATTACGCTCGTTTACACACAAAAATCTCAAGTGTTTTATAACTCTTAGTCAGGAGGATCCTGCTTCGTTTTCACACAAAGGGGAGATGACTGCTTTGTATCTTCGAAATTTACTAATTTAAGGGCGACCTTTCAAATTTGGACCACAACGCCGGCACGCAATGGCCTACACTTTGTGAATGGCGTTACGACTTCTTCAACGTCCGCTGTAAAGCAGACGGCGCGTAGTATTTTTATGGTTAATAAACCCGCAGTTGACACACCCCACTGGTTTCGAACAGTGGAACCTCTACAAATAAAAAACGGCCGGCCACGTCACCGCCCCTATTAATAAATCCCGATTGTATTTTTGCGAACGCGAGGACTGGGTCTAAAAACATACCGAGCAAAAAAAAAGGGCCATATCCTTTTGTAAACTAAATGAACGGCCCACAATTTTGACATGGACGCAAAGTGAGGCCAAATTTACTATAATTAGTCACTGGCAGGGCAGACCCAATGCGTTGGAAGTGCCTCCATCCACAGCCACCCAACAGCACATTCCAGTCTATCGGCGGCGAGCAACACCGCCGGGTGATCTTTCCGGGGCTATTTTTTGCCAAATACATTTGCACGTTCACCATTCCCTACAAGGTTCTGTCCAAAGCTGCAATATATGGCGTGCTGTGTGTGTGCTCACGTTCAAGTGCTCCCTGCCCCCCCACCATGCATGGACAGGAGAAAAATAAACTTATTAGACATACGTCTGCATGTGCCATATTCCCCACCACACCCGTCAGGCCATAGCTTGGTTTGGAGGAATTAGGTAGTCTCTACTTCTTGTTCTGGAAAGATGCAGTACCCATCCACCCCACCCGTTATTATTTGATGACAGCCAAATTCAGGGTCGTGATTTAATCCAATATTCTTTTTTACGTGGTAAATGGTTGCACCTCTAGTGGTTGCTGGGGGTAATGTGAAACCAATACATAGAACTGTATACAGATTAAAAAAACAAAGTCGATTCTTACAGACGCGCTTTGGTACATGTATCGTGCATTTAAGAATCAATATTAATCAATCAAATGATGCATTGTTCCATCCCTAGTGTCTACGATTCCACGACGTGTCATCAGTATAACTGCCAAGAGTAACCTTGTGTGTAAATACAGTATATATAAATATACTTCAGCATCATTCTGCTTAAACAAGCAACAGGGTGGTTGCTCGGCAGCAGAGCCAGTGGTGAAAGTTCCACATTCACATGGTGCGGGCCAGTTTATCCAGAGGCAGGACGCTGCCGAATTGACCCAGGAGTGCGATTAAAATGATCAACCTTTCAATCGGGTCAACTGCTCACGCCACAACACCACGTAACCTGATGAGTAAATATGTTGTACTGTACTGCTTAAATAAAGACAAACCCACCACAGAAACCCTGACGCAGCGACTATGAGGCGCCTTCACAATAAGCCACTGCCCTTCTGGTACAAGACAGCACTGCATTGGCCAATAATTCACGTGAGGGCCATGCTATTTTTGGCTCTGCCCAATGCAACAAAGACACTAAGTTAGTGACGTCAGGGATTGCGAGACTTAATCGCTGCCTTAGTGCCTTCCCATGTAATAAAATCCATGTTTAAAAAATGCATCCAAACGTTAATCCAGTTGTTTTTAATATACATATGGAGTATTTATACTAGGGGTGCACAGTTCAGGTCTGATGGGACCCAATTTCCCTGGGTCTGGTCACATTCTGAATTTAATTCCATGCCAATGGAACGGTCCGTGTTTTCTCTGGTCCAATCCTGGTCATTAAAATTAATAGTAACACCATACGGACAATGCCGTCAGAGTAGATGGGCAAGGCAACCCCGTTGAAGTACAAGATTACGCCTGGATTCACAAATGGGGATTGTGCTTTCATGTAATTCACAAGAGTATGGAACAATCCTTTTTTATTTTAAAACATTAATAACACTATGTAAATAGGGTTTTGCTGTTCAAGAAAATAAACAATCCCCACTTTGGAATCCAACATAGGTCATTGTAATTCAACAGGGGGTGTCCAACCTATACAGATGCTGCAGTATAATGCGTTTCAGGATAAGTGAGCCAATTGGCTAACCGGGATGTGACGGTGCTTGATTGTGTCACAGGAAGTTCCAGAAAATAGCGATCCAGTCATGTTTTTTCGATTAAGATGTTTTCTTCAAAATCTGATCGGATCCGTATTTATTTTAAGTTGTAAATTGACAGCTGGAAGTAAAAAACCTATTGTGGTAAAAAAACAAGGACGGTAGTTTGAAAAAACCCTGTTATATCTAATACATAATGAAGACGGCCACTTTTTATACACAACCAGCATATTACTAACACTTTGTCAAAGAAAAACCATAGTCTAGCCGATGCACCAGAAGTTGTTTTTAATACTTGGCAACCATTCGAAGAGATTAGAGTGAGGATGACAAAAGCACACTTTTTTCAATCAATGTTTCATCCAAAAAAGGTATTGCATAAGCCTGCAAACACCTATTGGCCATGAACTTAATGAAACCGTATTTCATCATCTTGCAAGTCATTCTTCAACCCTTTTTTTAGTTTTGCTAATGAAAAGAGGCTTCACAATTTACATCGAACCTTCCACATTTAAAGCTGCACGCGTACAATAGAACGTTAATGGACCAGAACCCCACGCTTTGAAGGAGGGAACAAGTGGGTGCGCAGATGCAGGAACGGCTGAAAGGAACACGAGGGACTGAGCTCCATGCTGAACAGGGCGGAAGAGCATGGGCGCCTGCGTCTTTCTTAACGGGCGACTACCACGCACGCACACGCGCCCTCGCACAATACCGCGGTCAAAAACTCCTCTGAACTTCTCAATTCGCTGGATCTGGGTGAGTGAGCATTGTCCGCGTGCCTGGGTCTTTTCACACCGTCGAACTGCTCCGACAAACATAACCCGTTCCCGCACACCTGGAATTCCCAAGCGAATGTCGTGTATTAGCCGTTCAGGGGACCCACACGTGTGTTCAGTCGTGTGTTCACGGCGCACGCGAGCCACTTCTATGGATAAACCTGTCTCATTGCGAACGTGTGACACACATGACCAGCGTGTTTGCACGGTCAAATGAAAATGGGTCCAAACTCAGTGGATCGTGCCGAGGGTTGCATGAATACGCAATGCAACTCACATTTGCCCTCCTCCTCTTGGGAAGAGGCAGCCGGTTATTCACCTTCATGACACATGAAGTTATTAAATTAGTTTTAAACAACTCAAATGCTTTACCGTTATGGAGCCCTTCCACCTTGCTCCGCGATTGATTGTTTGTTTGCCTGTACAACACTGCCTGGTGTTGCCAGCGCTGCGCGTAAGATAATGGAGTCGACTGTGATGAGAATGCGACCCGGTGAGTGATCGTTCGTCAGTGCGTGTATTCGTGGATGGGTGCGAAGGCGGCCGAGCCGAGACCGGCACGAGGCATGAGGCGCAGGCACTCCGAGAGCTGCCCCACCACCATCGAGAGCGCCGGCTGCCTCGGCAGACTCAGGGACTCTGAAAAAAGTACAAGCACAGAGGCAACGAGGGCAGCGGTCTTCATACATAGATGAGTATACAATTGTAATGCAGGAGCGGTCAGGGAGGCTGTCTGGAAATTACCAGCAGTTGTTGGCTGGGGCTGCGAGGTCACAATAGCAGAATGGGAACATTTCCGAAACAGCTACATTAATCTTCAACTAAGTTCTTTGTCACAATATAATTTTAAGATATATCTATTATTCGCGGTAGTTAACTGTATTGGTTAACTATCATGATTTACCCCATACATTATAGATATCAATTATCAAATGACAGACGATGCAGGGGATTTAATGTCTGTGATAGAAGCAATATTTACTTTTTTTTACACAATTGCTGAGCAGACACAAATGCCAAAAATATTAAGCCGCCAGGAACAAACATCACTTTTCAAATTGGTAATAGATGAGAGAACACACTTCTTGTATTGAGCAAGGTTATGATTACAAGAGCTTGGGTAAAAGAGACAATGGGATGGAAACCCATAGTGAAGCAGTGCTAAGGAATAAGCAGAACGATTTTATTTATTTCGAACTAAACAATTTTCTTTCCTAGCTAAGGTCCAGTGAGATATTTAGCTCCATTTTAGAAGCGCCCTGGCCACAAATGATAGATCAACGAAGTAGCTTATCAAGTGGAAATGTATAGCAGACAAATACTCTAAAAGCATGTTTCTAAATGTGGAGTGAAAAACCAGAGGACCCTGAGAAAAATCCACGCGACCACTGGGAGAACATGCAAACTCCAAATATACAGGCTTTCGGGATCGGGATAAAATCCACGACCTCCGGCATAGCAGGAGAGGGAGTTAACACCTCGCCACCAAAGCACCCCAAGATACATATTGATACCTGCAGTGTTGCGGTTGCACACAGTATGGATTAGAATTTAATAATCAGTCTGGTAGATGAAGTCCTCAACTCGGGTGAAGGAATCGGAGTGAATAATGTACACGTGAATGATGGAATGATTAGGGGCTGGGCGAGTGGGTGCGGTGGGCTCACCCAGGATGGTGCTGTTGAGGGCAGCGCACGTGTGTTCCCTTTGTGCCGGGCCCAGGAGGTAACCCACGGGGCTTCTCCACGGGTCCGCATATGCCAGCAGACTGAAAGCATCCTGATGGTGGCACAGCATACACACTCGTCACACACTACACAACATAATTCTACACAAACATACATGCATTGTAACACACACTAGATAGACACACACATACAATAAAACACACCAATCATAAGATCTCCTTGTAGCCTTTTACACTGTTGGGGCACTTGCCTTTACCTCACAAATGATTAAGGGGGTGGGTGGTATGACCAGCACTCTGCCTGTTCACCTTTGTCTCCCAAGTGCTGATGTTTACATAATAAACCAAGTACTTATATGAGGCCGAGTTTACCTAGGGCATTTCTGATATCACTTGCCACCATGGGCGAGAATCAAACTCGGGTCATCGGGTTCACAAGACAGCCACCATGCCTAGCGCTAAATAATGACAAACACACACACTCATGCAGAGAACACACAAACAAGGACAAAGACCCCAGACGGACCTGCAGGGCCCGGGCGTTGAGGTGCCACGTGTGTTCGCGCGAAATCTGGCTGCACATGCGCTGCAACTCGGCCTGCAGCTCCCGCCCAAAGTGAACCATGTGCTCCACAGCGCCGCCGCATAGCGTCCACGGCCTGGGGCCGCCAGGGGGCTCATCGTCCCCCTCCACGTCTGGGGCAGGGCACAGGGCAGGGCACAATTAAGGAGCGAAGGCTTGAGAGCTCATTAATGTACCTACCGCAGTTGTCATCAACACAGCCCTTCAGCCAATCCACTGCTGGATGAGGACCTCCCATGTCACACGGGTCTTGGAAATGATATCATTAGCGCGGTTCTGTAAAGGCGGGGAGCATAGATGTTCGAGAAAAGCACAGTACAACAATGGATTTTGCTGCACTGCACCTCTGCTGACAACGTAGCCTTTACACACGTTACACATGGTGCATTCCATGGCCAAATCACGCAGAATGTGCCCGATCTAAGCAGACCTCAGAAGCCAAGCAATGCTAAGCCTGGATATTGCTTGGATCATCATCATCATCATACTACAGGGTGCATACACCGTTTTCATTTTAAATTTGGGATAAGAAACTGCATTATTGCATAAAAAGAGGCTAACCTCAAAATATGCTCTTCGTTCATGATCAATGAGACCTGAGGTCATGTTTTTCCAGGGAGTCCTGTGTTACAACAATTAGAGCCAAGCAGATAATTTCAATACATAAACCAAACAATGCAGAAAACGCAGTTTGAACTTATGTGCACCAGAAAAAAGAATATTATAAATAAGAAATGTAATACACATTATATGGGGGGTCTGCATAGAAACGTACAACTTTTACATTCATATTTAAAAGTGGGAAAGCCCACGTTATATAAATCTGATTGCCATTGCATTCTTACAAGTTTTCTCATTCTTACAAAGAGCACACCGGCATGTACTGGCAGCAAAATGCTCGGTACAAAGCTTGTGTTGCGATCGAAACGTTGTTTTATTTATTTATTTTGAACCTATCTACGTGACTGAACCGAAAGACCAAAAGAATATGAATTCATGCAGTCACGAAAGGTTTAAGTCAAGATTCAAGTCACTCAAGTCAAGTGGATTTCCTTCGTTTAAACAGGCAAGACCCCAGTGCAGTGATGGGGTCTCAATTAATATCATGCGAGCCTCGGGCTATGACATCACTGCACAATGGCATAATATTGCTATGTTTTTAAATTAATATGATGATGCTTGCTTACCGAGGAAAGTGTCACTGGGTCAGGAGCGTGGAGCCAAGTTTTCAGAGTAAGGGGCAATGGTTGCTGTGTATCATGCCAATTATCGCGGGGTCTCCAAAGTCCGTCTTTATATGTTAAACTTAATGTCTTTAATTATACATGTTTGGGCGTTCATGTACACTCAACTTACGTAAAGCTTTAAATAAAAAATGTACGTAAAGCGCTCCGAGACGCCGTCACTGATACGAAGTCACTGATACGAAGGCGCTGTATAAACGAAAATCGAGTGATTTTACAGCAGTCGGCACACACACACACTTCATCACCTTTATGACATTTAATGGGCAACAAAACTTCAAGTGCACAGCCACCTCCGCTGTCTTCCCTGCAGCTAGCAGCAGCAGCCTCCGTGACTCACCGGCCTGTGGCGGGTGCGATTCCAGCGCCCCGTTTGTCGCGTGCTGTCTGCCGTTAGACACTCGCTCGCTGGAGTCGCTGTGTAGCCCGTTTGTGCAACACTCCATGGGGGTCTCGCCGGTGTCCGCCACCTCCACGGCCCCAACGGCCCCGCCATCGCCCAGCTGTGATGATGTGGTGGGCCTGAGCATGCGTGCATGCGAGATCAGTGTTCCATGGCAGCAGTGATCAATATTTATAAATAAAGTTTATTTATTTTAGTCAATGATGACTGAGTGATCGTAAAACATTTTGATATGTCAATCACACTACAATGTTTAATTCTCAAATAGCAAATGTGGCAAATTAAGTGAAAAATATTACTTAGAGTGAGGGTTACTTTTATATGTTCGAAGGTAACAGGGTTGAGAGCACCAACTCAGTTTATTAATCCAGTTTAACCAAGGGCGGCTAAAACCCATATTCAAAACCAGGTTTTCAGCGGTGCCAGATTAACAACTCACAAAATGACCCTGTCCAGACACATGCTCAGCTCTCTCCCACAGCTATTACTGGATCGCGTAGTACTAGCGGGTGACGCTGTGCTGCTGCTGCTGCTGCGTGCGGTGCGCAGTGCACAAGCCTGTGCACGGTAGATGCATCGGGTACAGGGCTGGTCGCTTCTTACCTGCTGCCGTGGGGTGTGGGGCTGCATGTGCGACGAGCTCTCCTGTCCCGGCCAGCATGCGGCGTCCTTCCCGTGCGTCCGTTACTCGCGCAACTCATTCCGGCCTCCGCTGCTGCTGGCGAGTAAGAACGACCGCAATTAGGCTATGCCAGGGGCGGGGGGGAACCTACAGACCCCCGTGGGCTGGATTTTGAGGCCTACCGCTTAAAAACGGCCCGCAAATTAAATGTATCAGTCACTGTAAGAATCTCAGCTGCTATATTCGGGTACTTGAGGGGAATGATTTTGGCCTGGCACTTTGTTTTCAATTTACCATGCTCGGTCACTTTTGTCATTGCAAGGGGGCCCCTTTAAACTCAGTTGACATGCACGTTATTTTACGCGTTACCTATGGTTAACACTGAAGAGTGTGCGTATTAATGTGTAGGCAACCAAAAGTATTTGAAATTCCTATTCGGCCATGAGTAAGGAAAACGTTTCCTGCCACTGGGCTAGGCTGACAAAGGACAAGATGAGCTTACTGTTCTGCAGATATCGGTATCGCGAGCAGTATATGCGAGTGTGGATGGGAATCATCTGTTGATATGTAAACTCTGACTTTAACATAGCTACTTCCGTGACCAGTTACATGCTAATCCCTCACACTAACATCATGCTAATCTCTCAGTTACATGCTAATTTCTGACTTTAACATCCTGCTAATCTCTCACATTAACACAGCTTACTTCAATACTAAATTATTCTGTTGATATGTAAACGCCATTGTCAAGACGCTCTGCTCCTCCCACCCAGCTTAAACATATGCTGCCAAGCTTAGCAGTGTTCATTGGCGCGCTGTAATTCCGACAGTTCAGTTTCTTCACCTGAGGAAGGCTACTTGTGTTGTGGCCGAAACATCGTGAGAATTTTATTATGTTGTATTTTTATTATTTTATTATTTCCCTTCTACGTGACTTTACCGAAAGAACCAAGAAGATGAATCCCTGCAGTCACGAAAGCTTTAAATCGAAATTGTGGATGGGAAGTGTAGCTCCAAGCTGACCTAGGCCCCTGATGGTGCCGGCAGGAGAGGAGGGGTTGGAGGAGGAGGAGGATGATGCTGCGGTGTGGCCGGATCCGTATGGCACCCGGGGCCCATCCTGAGACTTGGGGCTGCGGGCGCCCAGCGAGTGCACCTCACTGTCCGTGCCGTTCACCATCTCCACAAACTGCCGCACTCTGTGGCATGCGCCAAACGAGCAACACACGGACGCACGCACAATACACAGGACACACGCAAAACACACACCTATGACATGCGCAACGCATCAACCTCGCAGGCAATACAGGCGTATATTACATGCAACTGGAGTCAGAGCCGACATTGAGCAGCTGTTACGATCCAGCCTGGCACACTGTCGGAGGTTGATACTAATGACAACAATCCCATTTACCCAGAAAAGTGTCAATGAGTCTCAAGACTTGCTTTCAGGAGGGGCCCTGTATTGGGACATCTGGCAAATTCCATGAATGGGTGTTTATCTTCATTTGGAAAGCAACCGGAGTGTTTTGAGAAAATCCACACATGAAAGGGATAACACTTATAGCTCCACGCAGTTGAATAAAAACGGTTGACTAATGTGTTATCATTATTTATCCACCTTGCAGCCAAAGTCTGCAACACCTGGAATTACCAAGCAGTCTCCCACCCAAACACTATCTGGCCTTAAACACTAACTGGGCTAAAACACCAACCGAGTCCAAAAACTAACCGGGCCCAAACACTAAACCGGGCCCAAACATTAACCGACTGGGCTCGCTAAGCTTGTGAGATGTGACGAGATTTGTGGTTCGGGAAAAGATCTGGGTGCCAACAGCATGCAATCATCCTCACAGTCCTGCGATCAGTCAACAAATAGCAACTCTTGGCTCAATTTTAGGCCAAGTCAACTCAGTGGAGGTCAGTACAATGTACAGACAACAGTTACCACCTGTAAAAGTTGCAAGCTTACATACGAGCCCACACAAAGCAACCACCGCAGCGGTCTCACTTACCCGGCTTGAAATTCTCTAGTTCTGATCAATCAATCAATCGTTATTAATACAGGGCACTTCACATCAACGACATCAATCAGGTCGCTTCATTTAAAGCAAAAATATTACACGAATGCCCAACTCGCGCGCGTGAAGGAGGCGCGTATCCGCAGCGGCTAAAGTGCCCGTTCAGAATCGAGACAGGGGGCCCCCCACCACCCCCCCTCACTTGAGCCGGAAGAGCAGCTCCGGGTAGCGGTCGAGCAGCCCGGGGTAGCTCTGCTGCGTGGCCTCGATGGCCTCACCCATGCGTCCGGCCAGCACCAGCGCCTGGATGCCTGGGCCCCCGACACACAGCAGCAGCAGCCGCGATCGTCGCAAGCAAACGCCGCCAGGGCTACAACTGAGAATCACGTGCGGGCGTCGTGCCTGGAACCCACCCTGACCGGGGCTAGCGATTATTGCCGTCATTGCAAAAGTTCTAACTGATGTGATGATTCACGCCAGTGAGAAATACACTCTTGTGTGTCGCTTAACAATACTGGGATCAGCGTGCTTTGCAACGGCCTTCATCGCAACGTATTGCGCCTAATGAGCAATGCCTTATGAAAGGAGACCAATATTAATCTATTGTTTCATTGAAAAGAATGATTTTAATCTGGGACGTTTAAAATAGATCTCTATTTGTTGAATGTGATGACAGAGGCTAGAGCTGTGACACATGCACAGTGCATGAATGTTTCCAAACACAGTGGCCTCCCCCATCCACATGCGGCTCTTCGACAGAGGTCTATCACAGAATTACAGTGTAAGTGTACCATGCGTGATGATGAGTGGGATGGCGATGAGCCTGCGGAACTCACGATGCCGGTTCCGGACCGAGCGCATATCCTCCTCCTGCTCCAGCCCCGTGGATGCAGCAAAGGCCTCCGCTGTGCCGCAGTACCCATGATGCACCAGGTAAGATGCCACCATGCTGTGAGATTGGGACAGGGACAGCATAAGCATTGTCAACACACACGTATTTGCGACATAAGTTATGCCACCAGCACACAATAAACTACTCTCGTAATAAGCTATTTGCTAACAGACTTTATTTATAATACAACATCAAGTTATTTGTCACAGAAATGACTGGACAATTGCAGGACCTGGTGGCTGCTGTGTGAACATACATCAGGAATGGGCACGGCCTTGGTGGGCATCCATGCGGGCTGGTGTGTATCTGTACGTCTGTGTGAATGACACCGAGTGTGCTTGCATGTGTGTATATGCATACGTGTGTCTGTGGGATGGTGATTGTGTATGTGTCTTTGTGTATCTTTGCACGTGCGGAGCAGTGGACTTGTCAGTAGTACATTGCACGACGGACTTTGTAACCCGAGTTCAATATTCAGCTGCAGGTAACATTAGTGATGATTATCTCAAGTGTTAATGTGCCTCCCCCAGGTCGACTCAGACTAAAATGAGTACCAATTGCAGTGGATAAAAATGGAAAATAATAGCACAAGTGAGACAAGGGTGGCCAGATGTGGTGTTGGCAACCTACTCCCTGCCTGGTGTGCTGTGCTGGCCTTCATAGGTGCTTGCTAACAGCACTTGCCCCAATATCCTAAAAAGTCTTTACGGGGACATTTGTCTTTGTGCGAGTATGGCCTGCAGTTTTCAATAACGTCATACGAAATAAGTCAGCGGCAGCAGTGCCGACCACTATCCCGTTTCGTCTCCCAAAAACAACCAGCTACTGGCTTGTCCCGTTATATGGTCAGGTCGGGTCAAGTCAAGTCAGGAGAGGTCTCATTGAGGATAGCGCTGTTGGCGGGGGCTAGGTGGGCACTCACGTGTGCAGGGTTCCCTGCCAGGCTGCGTGGCTGCCAGGCGTCGGGAAACGGGCGATGGCAGCGGAGATGCGAGCGCGCCACTCTTGCATGTGGTTTTCGATGTCGAACGCAAACGGCTGCCCCCCAAAGTTCGCCTCCACCACCTCCCCCGGGGTCTGCAGCCCCACCGTCGGGTAAAGGTTGGGCTGCAGCACACGGTGATACAACGGAAAGAGTGTTGGGCGTCGCCATATCATTGGGTACCACGGGGCAATGTCGAATATCCACCTTGACCAAAGAACCGCCTTCGGCTTAGGTTCTGGCAAAAAGGCATCCACCACGTCCGCGGAGTCCACAACGTATACAAAACAAGAGTTCCAGCCTGGGCAAGGCCAAGCATGACCACCGCTCGTCCCATCACGGGTTAACGTGGCTGCATAAAAGAGAAGTTGCCGTCCTCATGGAACCCCTTGTTTTATACTCATTTAAATCTTAGGTTGGAGAAGGCCTCTTGCCTTATCTTGTAGACCGTATTGTATTCATAATCACATACATTGCCTCAATGAAGAGATTAAGAATACAGCGGTCTACAAGAAACGACAAGAACTGTGCTCTCTCAACAGAGGTGGAGTAAAACTACGCGAACCCTATCCTGAAGCCCTCTCGTGGCAAGCAGACCTCGACATTGGCGTTTAGATCCTGCCCAATGTACAACACACGGGGGTACATATGTATTACAATGTTTTTATGTGTGGGAGAAATCGGAGCACTCGGAAAAAAGATTACAAATACGGGGGTAGCCAAAAATAAGATATGTAGAGGGGATTGCACACCATTTATCAGCCAGCCGTATATGACAACGGTGGACATAGCTGCACTGGGAGTGAGGAAGCCAGTATGGTATTTATTGTATCAAATATCAATGGAACACTGGTCTTTTCAATGCATCGCGCACTTTCAGATGCGCCGGAACGCACTTCCTTCTGATATTAAGAAGCCACTGGAGCTATGCACTTTTAAATCGAGATAGAAAACTATTTTTGTGTTTAGTTTGTTGTCCTTCACCCGCAGCTCTGATTTGCACACTTGGCTACGTACGGTGCAAAAGAAGTTCAACATACATATATACACGGTCTTTCCACAACCAAATTGCATACCGTACACTATTTTGTCAAGCCACTGCTAGATGAGGCCTAGCTACACTGTGCGGGAGTCGTGGGGGTTATTCTGAATCCAATTCACCGCTCGGGTAAGTGCGGGTTGGTCAAGATGGGGAGCATAAAAGTAGGCGTAGTAGAGCACAACAATGGTCTACACCAGAGAAAGCTTTCTTTCGAGCCTAGTCTCAAACGGTGTTAGGCCAGAGGAGGCCAAAAGGTGTACAAGCTGTCTCTGGTGTGGTCCACACCAGCTGCATCTGGTGTTTACCAATCAGTTTCAAAGACAATGCATATATTATCATTGCATTCTGACCACAAGTATTGTGGTTAATGCAGACATGATTCCTTGTAAAAGGTTTCAGTTTGGTGTTTAAACATCTTAACACCTGTTTTGTTGCCAGAAAAAAAGGGGAAAACCTATTCTCATGGTGGTCACTCATCCAAACATTACCCAGGCTCAAAACCCACTTAGCTTTTCGAGGCCTGATTTGGTCACAGGAGCGATTAATGTTTACCGAGTAATTTACACGCGAATGGTGGAAGGCGGCGAGTAACACAGTAAAAGGTGGACTGGATTTTGGGACCTTGGGACCTGGAATGGTGAGCCATCGCCAGAGTTTAACAGTCACCGTAGAGTGTGCCGATCATGCAAAGTGGTAACCCCAAGAGGGGGGGGCAATGAGGAGGAGCTAACAACAAGTGGTGGTGTACTTCACTGGAAGGTAAAGACCAGCTTGGGCTCGTGGTGCATATTAATGAGTTTTCAACTCACCGGAAGATCTGTGAATGCTGTCCCTGTAAAACAGTAAAAACAAAATTAATGGATTTAGTAACGGTAAGTTGAGATGGGGTTGTTACTTTGAATGTGGCTGGAATATGCAACCTTACACAAACGCACCGAACCACATGTGAATGCGGCAAACTGGTTTGGCGACATACAGTACAACCCTCCGCATTCATATGCACATAGCTGATATGCTCTAGAGGCTATTATTCAAGTGCGATGCATACGGACACTCCTCACATAGCAGACCGCACACAAAGAACGGCCCATTTAGCAGCCAGCGCGGGCACACGCACGCGCGTTAGATTGCACGCAGACACCGCCCTGCACATACACACTGGCCTGCACACACAAAAACAGACCTCTCCAGTAGTCTTTGAGACGAATGGAACAAGTGCTGTAGGGTGAGCACCTATCAAAACCATCATGGTGCGCAAGGGGGCTGTGGCCACAACCACATTAGTTCTGGTATTCACACACCTCACCACGTGCTTATTTAGGGCTGAGTCGATCTAGGGGAGGTTCAAATACCACTTTCCATTGATCTTATCCATGGCTGGGAATCAAACACAGGTTTGGTGGGTTTTTAGTAAAGTACGAACCACTGGGCACACTTGCTACTGGTCTGCACACACACCACCATATACACAAACCAGCACAGCGCACACCAGTGTACACAAACTTAGCCATGGCAGTGCGCACAAACTCACCAACCCGCACGCACATATACAGAAAAACACACAGAAATATACACAGCAACATGTACAGGAGCGTGTACACACACACATTGAAGCCCACCCACACACGCAGTGGCCTGTACACACAAATGCACACCAGCCCACACACAGGGCGATCCGCAGACAGACACAACAGCCCACATACACACACATCAGTTCTACAAATGCACAAAGACCTCCCATGTAGCACTTAAGTGTTGTATCGGTACCATGCAGACCAACAACACAAGATGGGTGGCCAACACTATGCCTGGCCGTCTTTTCTCCTCAGTGCTGATGTTTACACATCGCACCAGGTACTTGACAGAGGCAAGGCCCAGGACCAGTTCAAATATTCGTCACACACAGCAGCCTGCACAAAGACACACACACACACAGCAGCCTGCACAAGGACATACAGCAGCCCGCACGGGTGCTCACCGAGGCTGTGTCCGTTCTTGGTGTAGAAGGCCGTGCCGTTCACGAGGTTCACACAGCAGCCCACGACGTCGCCCGTGCTGAACGTGGGGCCGTACGGACGCCCCGCGCCCGACGAGCAGAAGCTGTGGCCGTCGTCACCGTGGTAACCATACGAGTACTTGTCCCAGCCTGGGGGCGGCAGCAGCAGCAGCGCAGCGGAGGCACCATTAACGGAAATGTCAAAGCATTTCAAATGGAATAGCACTCGTAAGGACATGTACATCCCTTGGGTCAATTACACTGCTGGATGAGGGCTTACCCACGCTGTGCGGGTAAAACGGGTTCTTTGACCATACTTCACCATGCTGGTCAACATGGTACAGGCCAACAGGTTTTGCACTACCCTCAGCTGACAATTTAGCCCCGCTCGAAGCCTACAGTACCTGTTATTGCACACGGCGGTCGCTCAGCCGGTGAAAGAAATGCGGCGAGGCAATTTAGGTACGCGATGATTCACCCTCCAAAGCGATTACTGGACACCTGTGAAAAACAGCTTCATAGTTCATCAGGTTATTCCAGTCTAAATAAAGATTCTTCTGTAACGACCGTTCACAATTCAGGGTCAAGATTCATTTCAACAACTGATTGTGTCTCATTTGTATCTGTTGTCAGCTGTCCAATCTTATTTTGTACAGCTTAATTTTCTCAACTTCGGTTACCACGGTTGGCTACGTATGGTGCGAAAGAAGTTGAACCTTCGTACACACATTTTCTCCATGGGCCTTAATGAAACCCGGGAATCTCATTTGCATAAAGAACAGATAACGGATTCTCACGTGCACAATTTACTGCGTGCTGTAGTGCGCAACGGAATCAATGCGCAGCCATTACATGATTAATATCAACATGGCAGGTATCAACGTATGTTACTTAACATAAATATAACTCCGCCTATGTGCTGTAAACGACGGCCATTTCTTAAAGCGTCACCAATTAGATACTTTATCTTTTTAAGGCAGTGTTACTAACGAATGCGTTTTTTGTTGTTGTTTTTGATTGTGCACCCAACTACCAATGGAGTATTACCAAATAATTTGTGCATTTATGTACGTTGCTGCTTATTGACATATCACACACTGTGCAAGTGAATAAGGATAACACGAGGACATTTGCATTTCATAAACTCACAGATGTAATACATTATTAATTGTTGCTACTTTAGTGATTTAAAATAAGCAAAAATTTAGCTAAAAACATACAACTTACAGCCCTCTGTAATATGCTACTGGACGAAGGCCGTGTTTGTCATTGGGGCTGTTTTGACCGTACTTCACCACGCTGATCAGTGAGGATTGGTGAAGGGTGAACCCCAGTCCTGGTTCTAATATTACTCACTACCAATGTTAACCATGGCCTGGAATCGAACTCTAGGTATTTGGGTTTATTATGAGGTTCGTTAACCACTGCCCCACCAGTCTTAACTATACTCACATGTAATATTGCATACAAAACAAAGATCCCCCAGTATAGCCTTAACAAACTGTTAGAGCTAGTGCTGTTAGCGAGCACTTACGAAGGCCGGAACGGCACATGAGGGTGGGTGGCCAGCACCATGTCCGGCCGCAATTGTCTCCCTCGTGGAAATAGTTTTAAACATCACACCAGGTGCTCAACCTAGGGGAGGCCCAGGACCGATCCAGATAATCGTCACTGGTGTTGGCCGTGAGCGGGAATCGAATTCGGGTCACCGGGTTGGTAGCGCAGCGCGATAACCGCTACACTACCGCTCCCCATTGCATACGTGCACACACACATAGCGGTCGACAAGCGTTTGGAATTGAATACTGAAAATGGACAGACGACTGTAAAAAACAACTACCTTTTGGCCATTCCAGACACCCCTAATAATAGATTATCAGCCTGTGCAGGGCTGTTGGGAGTTGCATTAAAATACTGTTGTTTATGTAAAGAGGGACATATGAAGGAGACTATTATCTGCTAATTTAGTTACTTATATTCTTCATAACAAGAACATTTTAGTTTTTTTTCTCTTAGGTGCTCTTATCCGAATAGATCAGATAGAAAGGAAAAATCTTCAAAACAGGGTGCTCAGATGTAATTAATTAATGTTACCACGTACGTACACAAGTACAGTGTGTAAGCACACACGTGCTCCATTTACAACACTGCACACAGAAATGTCAACACATGGATAGTTGGATACATTAAAAAGTAAGAGCTGACTCCACTGCTGTGCCACCACTGTTAAGCAGTTAACTATTAATGTTCCTGTAGATGCTTATCTTGGCTGTGCAAGGCTAAGATAGGGCAGCTCACAGCGACAGCCCGTGGCTTGGGTGTTTGGTCAAGCATGCCAGTGTATGGGTGTGCTTGGGTGTGCGTGTTCCAGTGGGGAGCGGTGGCGAAGTGGTTGGCACGCTGCGCTTCGAGCCCGGCCAACCGAGTTCGATTCCCGCTCACGGCCAACACCAGTGACGATTATTTAAGCCAGTCCTGGGGCTCCCCTAGGTCGACTCAGCCTCAAATGAGTACCTGGTGCGGTGTATAGTAAACGTCGCCACTAGGGAGACAAAGGCGGTCGGGAGTGGTGCTGGCCACCCACCCTGTCATGTACCGTTCTGGCCTTGATAGGTGCTTGCTAACAGCACTTTCCCCAACAGTCTATTAAAGACTATATGGGAGGTCTTTGTCTTTGTGATCACTTGTAGGGGTAGTGGTTAGCGTGGAGCAGTTGGCGCGCTGCGCTACGAACCAAGCGACCCAAGGTCGATTCCCGCTCACAGGCCCACCAACGCCAGTGATTATCTGAATCGGTCCAGGACCTCCTCACCTAGGTCGACTCAGCCTCAAATGAGTACCTAGTGCGGTGTGTAAACATTACCACTTTGAGGACAAAGGCAGTTGTGGCTGTGGTGCTGTCTGCCTAACCCCTTGTGTGCTGTGCTGGCCATGTATGAGCGTCTGAAGGCCTTTTGTGTTAAATAGTTTGTATGCCTATGTCTGTGTTAGCTGTACTTGCGTTATCATTGGTCTAGGGTGCATGATAGGCAGGGCCATGTTATTTATCCAGAATCACATGACCAAACAACTAAGTTTCTCTGCACGTGTGAGCCTTGATAGCGATTGAATGGATGAACACCACGCACAAACAGGCGATCACATACGGCTGCAGAGCTAAGTGGTAGACAGTAGGGGGGCTGTATCGCCGAGTAGTTTGGCGATGCATGATAGAATAACTCCCAAGACCTGCACAGCGTGGGAAGGCGCTCATTTAGAAGTGGATTAACAAAAGGGCCACATCCACACGTTCTATGCAATCGCTCTCTACAATCGCAGCAGATATGTACGGCTTTGCACACTAGAGGCGAAATTTATTGGCTGCGCAAAACATCCCCCAATGGAGAAAACAACCCTTAAAACAAGAGTGGCTGATAAACACACGTCAACAAAGCACTGGCGCGGCCGCCGCCACCGGGAAAGCCAAAAGCAGCCGCGCATGCGCGGTGTCGGACCCACCTACTCCCTTGTGGGCCATACTAGACATAATAGGTGCTACACAACACAAACTGTGCAGCCCATGCAGGCTACGAAGGGGACTGTTTATAAGTTTCAAGTGATGAGGCGTGTTTGCGACGTACACTCATTCTTTCCGGTCATTTTTGGGAAATTAAATTTGATTGGATTTGCTCGTGCCAAAATTGGTGCGTGCGTGCCTGCGTACGTACAATCTAAACACCTGCCTTTGTACCCCGTGTCCAACATGGCTACTGGCAAACAGCAAGCACAGAGAGGTGTATATGTTTGTGATTTATCTTTGGCACAGACGCCAAGAGGCACCAGATATATTTTGCCCATGCGCACGCACGGGTGTTTGTCAGTCGACTGCTGGATGAAGGCCTCTCCGCGGCGAGTGGGTCGTGGGGGTGAGTGTGGGTTGGTGAATGTGGAGAGCCTAGACATGGGCAACACTCTACAGTAAAATGGATGTTGCTGTACTGCCCCATGCTGCACCTCAACAGCCTGCTGCGCATGGCAGCCTCCCATAAAAGGCTCAGCTCTGCTTAGCTACAGAGATTCTAGGTGATTTTATCGAAGGCAGTGTCCATACAAAGATATTCTGCATGTATACACGATGATCATTGATATATGGGATGAATTTACAGACGTAGTGTATTAAACAAAATAAAATGGCCTTACAAGTTGTTTTTGGCGACAAATTGGCTGTGTTATTTATTATCAGAGCACCGAGCCTTAGCGATTTGTGTGAAATGTATATGGCTCTAATCCTTACCAGGCAATCTGTTCATATTCACTTCTTGTGTAGACAGCCCAATCCCCATGTACCTAGAGGTGGGAGATCGTAAAACAAATCACGCCTCGTTCACCGGCTTGTACAACGCGCACACACACACGAGAGGCACCACATTGGACCCCGCAGCATGCGAGCCACACAGGTGGTTTTTGACAGGCGTGCCCGCGTTGGGGGGCAAGAGCGACACTCACCCGTCTCTGCCCTTGCTCACGATCTTCACCTCGAAATAATAAATGCCACACGCAGCAGGGATGGGGTAGTTGGCACGCACCGATGCTGCGTCTTTGGGCGTCTTGCCGTGCCCTGCGAAGGAGTCAAGGGTGAAGCATTAATGAAAGTTCTTCATTGACAAAAGCGGCTGCAAGGAACGCCTCAACTGACGCCGCTAATGAGAATCGATTGGATTAAATAGCTGCAAAAAGGGAACATTTTTTCAGATTTATTGACAGAAATTCAAACTGGCGACGTATTTTTTAAGCAACTGTGGCAACTCAGCAGAGTAATAGAAGAGTCATGAAGTTCCGTTTCGCCAATGAAATTTGTTGAAAGATGTGCATCATGGACAATGATCGGTCTGCAGAGCACTCAAACTCAAGTAGTCATGTGACCTCTGTGATATGATTACAAGTTGGCATCTTGTATGGATTAGCCGAATTTGGGAAACTTAATTTCTTACGATAGAAAATGTTGCAGAAATTGATTATCACCCATGATCAACCCACTCACGAACCTAGAATGTAGTAATCCACCTCAACACTGCACGCAAGCTTATTTAATTGCTCCATCTCCTCGGCTCGGCAACACCTGACAATCTACAATCGTCCTTTCTCACAACGCGTCCTGCCCAAGCCCACTTTATTTTCTTAGCCGCTGGAATTATGTATTTAACCTGGGAATATTCTCTAATCCATGTGTAACTCATTCTTCGATGCATGTCCCTCCATTAACTATTGCTCTAAAATTCCCTTTAATAGCATGGGGCAAAGTGGTGGGCAGCAGAGGTCAGTGCAGAAACATTCATTGTTGTACTGTGCTTCCACATACACATTCCCCACTTCACCAACCCGCAATGACCAACATGGTGAAGTATGGCCAAATAATTCCCCACCGACCAAAACGCTGTGGGGTGGCCCTCATCCAGCAGCAGATTGCAATGTACAGCATGGCCTTGGGTGGTCCCCCGGGATTTATTCACATGTCACATATGGCAGTTTTCACCCTTGTCTCACCCTAATGTGATATTACAGGACCACATGCCGGGTCCTATTGCTGGCAGCAGGATATGTGTCGCTATGGCAGTGCACACGCATGGCTGTCTTTCGCGTGATGGGTGGATCTGAAATATTAAGTTTGGGTGACACAGGTGAGGGTGTCAGTTTAATTTAATTACATAGTGACATACACCACTCATATGCATGTTTGGCATCTTATTTACATTGTATTAGATTCGTGCATATTTTTCACGTTGTTGAATCACATCCTAGAACGATAACAATATTCAAATAGCCATGCCAATTGTTCTCATAAACAGCAACAACCACTGAGGCCAAACCCAGGGATTAAACGTAACTACACATTGTGGGAAGAGATTATCCAGTGTTTGTCTTGTGTTACCTATAAGCCCATGGGCAAAAGCATAAATCGGTAGCACCTAAAGTAGCAAAACTTTAGTCCTGCTTTAACAGATTTATATGGCTAATAACAGTAACTTATTTCATAACCCCAGTCATTTCAAATGGTTATCACAGAATTCACTGTTATTGGCCACATCAGGAAATTGGAACTGCTGAAGTTATGCCACTTGAGGTGGTAGCAAGAAGCAAAATGTGGTCTGGACGAAAACTACGATGGTCGTGCATTGGATTCCGAAATAGCCACATGTAGCAAGGCTGTAGATAACATAGTAAACCTGGCACATTACAGTAGAATACCAACGGGAGAGCTTGGGTCTAATAGGATTGATGATGCCTTAGATGGTGGCCATGGTTGCAGCACAGTGTACTCTGAATATATGACGCATAAAAACAATAAGGATATTTTTGATTGCATCTACATTTATAAGTAATGGTCAATCAACTGCTGGATGAATGCTTCCACAAGTCATAGCCATCTGTCACAATAAGCCAGTCTAGCGAAGACACTATCTGATTTCATGGCTACGTCTCCACGATGGACGTACTATTCGGCAAGTTCTCCTTCCTTTGGCTACCACTCTGTAGATGATCTCGACCACAGGCCATAATTCATCCAAGCATTGGTTGCTGCACAAGCCCACTTTTCTTATCCAATCAACATTATGTCTTTACATGACAATGTTTATTTCTACCTCCACTCAATGGAGTGAGGTTCTTCATAACAACACCATCAAATGGCCGAACAATGTCATTATGGGGCCTAACAGTCATTACTCTGTCCATGAAACCATTATCTGTTGGTCATCCGACGAAGAGATCAGACCCTGCAAGACCTCCCCAGCACTCATGTCCGTCATGAGTGTTGGTTGACCATACTTCACCACGCTGGTCCGAGCAGGTTGGGGGAAAGAGCTGAGGGGGGGGGGGGGTGACTGGGACCGGTTCAGATATCCCTCGTCACTGCCGTTCACCGTGGCCAGGTTATCGAGATGGGTGGGAGAGACAAGCGCAGTGCGTTAACCCACTGCACAACAACACCCCTGCGATTGTTATTGTGAACAAGGCACGTGAACACTCCCTCGTGCTTAAGATATTATATATTTTTTTATTTTAACCTGGTAAGGCCCACTGCAACTATACGACTGTTTCAGAAGCGACCCGGCCACAAATGATAGCGCACCTAAGTGGCTTATCACGTGGGAATATATAGCAGCCAAATATTCTCGGCGCATGCTTCTAAATGCGGATGGTAAAGCCAGAGTTTGAGGGCCCTAACAAAAATCCACTCGACCACGCGGAGAGACACGCGAACTCCAAATAAACAGCAGGCGTCAACAAGGTCGGGGATCGAACCCACGACCTCCTGCATACCGGGCGAGGTAGTTATCATCTCGCCACCGTGGCTTGTTAAACAATGAACTATAGGGTCTGACCGATATCTCCAGTGAAAGGAGATGGCTCAACCAGATGGCTCAACCAGTGGGCGAGGTAGTTATCATCTCGCCACCGTGGCTTGTTAAACAATGAACTATAGGGTCTGACCGATATCTCCAGTGAAAGGAGATGGCTCAACCAGTGATAACATCGGCGCTGGGGTGAAATGGGAGATAACACGAGGTGGGGATGGTCGTGGTGGTGGTGGTGGAAGGGTGTGGGGGCAAGGTTAACAGCCACAAGTGGAAGTTGCGGGAACACAGAGTACCGACACGACTTACCCCCCCCGCCTCCATCCTCTGTGAACCCCAACACCCCCGACGCACACCACATCGCCTGGACACATCTCTGTGTTGTTGTGTTCGGGATTCCAGATTAAAATTCCGTACTGCAGCTATGACAATATTACAGATGTTGTTGACAGAGCCAGAGTGGAAGGCACATAAGTGGGGGTGACACTGCGAGGAGCCCTCTCAAGTTATTAATGCATCGTCCTACTGCATCATTCGATCTGTATCACTGTCCAGGGCAACTGGGTCCTGCCCGCATCCTAAATCAGCCCTGTCATTGTCCACCTTTTGGGCCAACGCCGACACTGATATCCCAAGAAGGGCCCTGCCCCCTTTTCCACCAGGATCAATCATACCAAGTCCATCCGCTGGATCAACCCAAACGCTATTCCACCTTCTGGGTATAAGCCCTGTCCTTGGGGATACCAACTCATGCGTGAAACCCCCCCACACACACACACAGGTCAGCCGTAGTACCGCTGTCCATCCCATGGGACAACATCGCTTCTCTCCTGGGGTCAACGCTGTCCCCTGCCCATTTATCACGACCATCCTTGGCTATGCCCATCCTGTAAAGGGGCAAATAGCGACACGGGTAAAGGCAAACACGGACGAACAAAAAGGGAGCGGACGGGAAAACAAGTGAGGATTGACGATGGTGTGGAAGTCAGCGTGGGTAAGGGGGGGGGGGACAAGCTTAGTTGCGGGGGGGGGGGGGGGGCACGTCAGCACCTTTGTAGTGCACACGCAGATTTCCCAGCGAGAGGCCGATGTAGCTGAGCTTGTCCTTGGCGCTCCAGGCACGGGGCAGCGGAGATTCGTCCTCGTTCACGGCGGGGTAGAGCTGTCGCAAACGGGTGGTCACACCCCCGTCTTCACCCGCACCCACCGCTCCAGCGACCTCCCCGCCTGCCGCCGCCGCCGCTGCTCGCACCTCGGCCATGACATCGCCTCCCTGCCAGTGCGTCGCCCCACTCGCAGCCGCCGCTGTTGCCGCTGTTGCCGCAGCGCCTCGCTCCACCTGCCCACCAGGAGCCGCCATCTTCTTTCCACTGCTCTTCCCCCCTCTTCCCTTTCCTTCCGCCCCTCGCTCCCACTGGTGGGAGGGGACTCGCACCCCCCCCCCACCACCGCCTGATGTCCCGTCAATCGGTTACCCACGTGAGAGCTTCGTGGCGGCCATCTTACGTGAGGGCGACGTTGCCCCCCCACTAGCATCGCGGCCCACCCCGCGTCCACTGCATGCCCGTGACGCGGCGCAGCAAGTACCGTTTCCACCCGCACCTCCCTAAGTAAGATGGCCGCCACGGGCGCGCAGACGTTGAGACCGAGTTTGGGCGGAGCGCTTAGCAACAGTCGGGGAAAATGCCCTCCTATTGGCTACAAGTTTACGGCCCCGCCTGGACCAGAGGGCCAATCAGCAGCACGGGGATCGCCGAATCGGAGTGGAGGGGGTGGAGCTCGACGACGTGCGCGCAGCCAATCAGAGCGCGATCATTTGCGGGTGACGTCACCGCACAGCTGATGGAGCGGGGGCTGGGCCACGACGCTGTTGCTTGGGCTTCGGGATTCTGTGCTGGGGTTGTTTTTGTTGATTGTTATTGTTGTTGATTGTTATTCTAGATTTAAAGCTTTCGTGACTGCTAGGATCCATACTCTTTGGTTCTATTGGGTAAACATTACCTGTCAACCCCCTTATTATTGTTATTTTATTTTCACCTACGTGACTTTACCCAATAGAACCAAAGAGTGTTGATTGTTATTGTTTGTTGTCGTTGAAAGTTTGGTCAAGAAGGGCCTCAATGTTCAGGAGGGTCCTGCGAACATTTTATTTTTCCAGTCGGGTGTGGGGGGGGTGGTGTATGAAAGTGATTAATGAACATCTCAAATCAACCCCCCATCTGGAATGGGAGGGGACGCCCCAGTGGCAGCTGCCCCTGTGAGGGCGCCAAGTGGCTCAGAAGCCTTGGGTTCTGCAAAACGGGCATTAGACTCTGCCAGTCACTCGCCCGTATGAGGTGGACGATGGTTGCTGCACCGTGCAGTTTCAGTCGGATCATTCGCGGTGTCGTTTTCACATTTGGACCGTGGCGCGCCAGTACACAACAACGACCTCGTCAACATTACCCGTCAACCCCTTATCAGTGCCCCTACCTTATTACAGACCAGTTCAGACCTTGTCGGTCACCCCCGTGCCCCTTATAAATCTCAACGTTAGTCCTGCAAAGTCCCATCACAAGGGAGAAACACAAAAAACAAATGGACAACACTATTTTTTGCTGCCCGTATTGAAACGGCTGTACGCCTTATGGTCCTGAAAAACTCAATTTCCCTGTAGAAGATTACGGAGTAAACCGTGATGGGTTGACAGGTATGTGTCAAGGAGTATAAAACCACCACCATCACCACCACCACCACGTGAACTCAGGTGGTCATTCTCATGGCTCAGCCGTCCAACAAAGACGCTCACCGCATCGCGCGCAATTTCAGATGCCCTCCCGCGCCCGCTCTTCATTCCGATATTAGGAAGCTACTGGTGGAAAAGGCTACGCACTTAAAAAAAACCAATCTACATTGAGGGCTCATTTCTTCGGGACCGCTTTTTGTGTTTAGTTTGTTGTCCTTTCCCCACCCCCATCACCACCACTACCATCACTACCACCACTACCATCACTACCACCACTACCATCATCACCACTACCACCACCTCCGATTAGCGCGGCCGGCTACGGACTGCGCGAAAGCAGTCCACAACGTCTTGTAAACCACCACGAACGAAGCGTTCGCTTCGACGAATGAGTCGACGGAATGAATAATGAAGAGTGGGGGGATCGCTGCGACCACGACGGAGAGAGACCCCCCCCACCACCACCCCCATCACCACCCCCGTCCCGGGCACATCTCCCTGCCGCCCTCTGCCGGGGGGGGGGGGCCGCGAAGCACGGCGGGTGGGGGTGGGGGGTGGGGGGTGGGTGGGGGCAGCTTTTCGATGTCTTTTTTTTATTTGAAGCTTTCGTGACTGCAGGAATCCACGCTCTTTGCTTCTATCGGTAAAGTCCACGTAGGTATAAAATAAAGAAATCACGACGTTTTCGGGCGCAACACAAGCGTCCCCGTCATCAGGTGGGAAAGCCGTGGTTCACGAAAGAGACACTTTGTAAATGGAGCACACGTTTTAGTTTTTAGTTTATTTATTTTGGTATAGCCCTGTGAGCCATTCGGCTCTTGAATCGGGTGCAACCACAACAAAACAAAAAAACACGAACAAGAAAACATCTTAAAGTGACTATGTGTGACTGTGCAAACAGAAAATCCATGAAAAAAACACCAGCAAAATATTCCTGAAAAAAGCACCATACACCAACGCTGTGTGCAAAAAACCACAAGAAAACTTAGATTAAGGCCATCAGTCTAACTCCATACTACAACAAAACAAACATGTCCAAACCAAAAAAAAGTTTTCGAAATTACCAAAAAAAACGCCATAATTGCAACGTAACAGTGATCACAGGGACTGTGACCGAATGTTTAAAATAAACTACATAAATGACATGTAACACCAAAATCCTAGAGCCACACAGCTGGCTTGCATGAGTTGTTGCGTGCCAATTCCTCGTGAGCGTGTACCCGGCTCTTCTCGTGGACGCAGCAGACGGCACCTCGTGGTGGCTCGAGGTGCCGTCTGCTGCTGACGCTCTGTGCTCGGCAAAGATGTTTTTTTTTCTTTTGGTTTAAAGCTTTCGTGACTGCAGGGATTCATATTCTTGGTTCTTTCGGGAAAGTCACGTAGAAGGGAAACACTAAAATAATAAAAAAAATTAAAACAATAAAATTCTCACGACGTTTCGACTGCAACACAAGCAATCATCATCAGGTGTGAAAACCACGGCAAGAAAATTTTGAAAAAAGTGGCGTTTTTTTAACGTTAGCACCACGGAGAGCGATTTGGCAGTTATTCAGATGGACAAGTCCATCTATGTTCGGAAAAGAGGAGGGGGGAGACGAAAATAATGGATGCGGTCTGAAAGCCACCTTAAGCGTGATCAATCAATTAAGACCCGAAATGGTTTATCAAATCCTTCCAATGATTGCTAAGCCAGAATCCATCTTCTCGGTTGAAATTGTCTCTGTGTTTGTTTGTATATGTTTCCCTTCTACGTGACTTTACCGAAAGAACCAAGAATGTTTTTCTTGTTCATGTTTTTTGTTTGTTGCGGTTGCACCCGATGCAAGAGCCGAATGGCTCACAGGGCTATACCAAAATAAATGAAAACTGAGAAAACTGCTGCAGAGGCAGACTGTTTTAAAAGGTGAAACGTCTGGATTTATTTTATTTTTTACCTACGTGACTTTAGAGAAAGAACCAGAGTATGTTTTTTTTATTTTTTTATTATAACGGACTGGATCACCAAAACCCCCCCAACGATTTTATTTATTTTAAAGACGGCGCCCCACACATACGCACACACAGACACCACGCATGCCCCAAGAGGTGTAGGTTGCATGCAACTTTGTCAATTGCAAGAGGCGAGCTTGCCACGGAGGCGTCTCTGCGCGTCGTTGCGAGCAAGCTGCGCAAACTTTACCCGGACCGTTGGTTCTTTCGGTAAAGTCACGTAGATAGAAAATAAAATTAAAACAAACAATATAAAATAAAAACAAACTCCCGACGTTTTGATCGCAACACAAGCAGTCGTCATCTGGTGGAGAAAAATAAATAAACAAATACTGTAATATGAATTCCTCATTGATTCAAGCAAGCTGGACTGCTGATGAGACGCTGTATGTTGAAACCGCTCCAGAGTTTGCTTGTGCCGAATCGATGCTGCTGAAATGAAGCGCTTCCAGGTTGTGGCTGTTGGGTTTGCGAAAGAAATTACTTTTCACGTAGAGACAGATATATGGAGATGCATCGTCTGCTCATCCATTTTGTTAAATTAATATTCTCACCAACGCTAATGATTCTTTTGTGGACATTAGTAGGAGCTGCAAGTTCAGTTTGTACATGTACATTGTTGAAAGCCTCTCCCACGGCAAGCAGGTAATTTGATATGTAACCGTGATGGTCAGTGCGGGTTGAAGGACCATGTAGTACTTCATGATGCTCTGCTGCTGACAACGTAGTTCTGAAGCAGCCTATAACATCTGTTTTTGTGTGGTTTTTACCCATCCAAGCACTATCCAGGCACGATCTTGCTTAGCTTCTCCGAGCTGACAAGTTGGGGTGCATCTGGGTGATAGTGTCACAGGTGCACACCTCGATTTGAGTACTAGAGAGGGGGAACAATTCAAATTCTCAAAATAACTGTTTACTTAACACGGCACAGCAGTAACATAAATAAAAGCAGTGAAAAAGAGATGCGATTAATCAAATCCGATTTATTGTATCATCTCAAAAGTCCATGTAGCAGCATCCTCAGTTCATACATTTTACCGCAACCTTGTGAATGTCACGACCCGACACTTGATGGCAACTGCACTGAAATCGTCCCAGATTTAATTCAATTTCATATATAGTCAGAACACACAATCAACTTTTCGCACATTAAGCCTCAACAGTCAAAATGTCCAATTGGGAATTATGCGGCGCAAATACTTTGGTCTGGTTTTATGCTCTTGCCAATCATTAAAATCAAGGCACAGTCGGGGTTTTACAATTGTCCACGTGTGTGTGATAACAATTACTGGACCAGTAGCGTCGCCTGGTTAGCATTGGCCCTAGTGCAAATAATGAAATGGACCCTCCCCCCGTCTAGTTTCCCACCTCGCCCACCTCGTCGTAACCCAGTTGCACCACTTGCAACACCGGATAGCTCCGCCACTGCGACTGGATATAACTGTAATGAAGAGACAATACCGACAGGAACAAGCACACCCTTATACAGCTTCTGTTACAGTTGTGGCTGATTAGCGACTACATTCATATGGAAATTAATAGGGTAGTGGAGAACGCAGCTCAAATCGGCACTCCACTGGTGGTCCACAAGTGACGTAGCTTCACGGGTCATGAATGGTGGTGTGTGTATAAAGCACCGCTTAAACTTGATATGCACTATACGGCACACCACCTTCAAGTAAAGGGCATTCAATGGAAGGGGAGCTGGAACGAGATCCAAAGACACAGTCTGCCCCACTACCAGGTCCCCACCCCCCACTTTCATGCCTTAAGCCTGGCTTAGGAGACATGCAGAGGTCACACTATGCACATCATTACAAACTTAGTCCAAGTTGAGAGAAAGAGAGGCAGTCGTATGAGGCAAGAAGGTGGCAGTAATGCATGATGGGAGTCATAATTCTAACACACACATTAGATAAAAAACACCCCCGCCCTCATACACATTTCTTCAGACATTAACAGTAACGCTTAAATGATTATGTACATTCCAATAATCCAAATGATTTCATGCAAATTACACTTTTTACCATATTCTCCAGACAAGACGCACTTTTCCTTGTATTTTAGAGTAAAAATTGTGAGTGCCAGATGGGTTAAATGCGTAACCAGATTTTTATAATGGAATAAGTCCGATGTACATAGCGCACAACATTTGTGCAGCGAGTCGCTAACGCAAGTCGTAGGCATTTGTATCGACAACCGGGTCACAAGCTTGGTGTGCGTCTAACTTTCTTGAGCATCTTGTAATATTGTTGTCGTTTCCTGTTGTGTCCTTAAAATAAATTGAATCTCACAATCGCGGAGGAAACACAGACAACAAAGACAGGACAAAGATCCCCCGTATAGCCTTAACAGACTGTTGGGGAAGTGCTGTTAGCAAACACCTATGAGGGCTGACAAGCGGCGATGTTTACTACACACTGCACGAGGTACTCATTTTGAGGCTGAGTCGACCTAGGAGAGGCACACAATCGGTTCAAATAATTGTCACTGGTGGTGGCCATGAGCGGGAATCGAACTCAGGTGGCCAGGTTCATAGCGCAGCGCGCTAACCACTACACAACCACTCCTGACAGACAGGCAAGATTGGCAGCCACGGCGATGAGCCGGCACCAACAAATTGCACTCTGCAAGTTCTCTGTGAAGATGTTTTCCAGTCAAATCAATGCCTGTGGTGCAGTATTATTCTGAGAATACTCTATATGAAAGATGATATAATAAAACCGCGATAGCGCCGATTGCAAGTCAACACAAAATAGCACATGAGCAGCAAAGCTCATGTACCCTGATGCTGTGGTTGGTATTCGAGATTCAGCAGGCAAGCTGATACAGTGACTTTTCTGTCGTTTCAGCAAAAAATATCGCGTCACAGCTGATAAGGGCAAGTGAAGATGTAATGCCCGCGTTTCGTTTGCAAGGATTCACAAAGCTCACGCATTCTCACACGCGTAATTCTGACCTCGGCCTCCTACTCACCACGATGGCTGCGGCTATATATTTTCTGACAACATGATTATCACGATATAATTTTCCCATAACTTGGTGTATTTTGCATTTTTATTCAATCTTTAATGCTTTGATGAATGTTGATTAATAATATATGGAGCACTTAAAAGTTTTACTGCAGTTCCACTTAACATGAGCCTGCCATAAGTCTTTTAATTATTGCAACTTTTAAATCTATAACGCACATGCCGTCTGAAAATGATGACTTCCATGTAACTGGAAAACATTTAACAAACCACTAATTTAATGGATAATAGCTATATATCTAGAATTATTGTGAACTTGGAATTGTTATTTCATATTTTGTCAGGAAAAAAAATATTTTTGAAATATAAGCAACAATAATCACGATTTCATGACATTTAGCAAAAATTACATTGCGATAATTGTGGACCATATATCATTACGATATCGTAGCATCGCCACATCACGGCGACCATCACCACAACGGCAAGACGGCACCAACATCCGCGCACCACCTCATCTCACCACACCTCCTCATCCCTCCTTACCCTCCCCAATGACAAATGATCAGAATAAATTTAAACTGCAGAAACAATGGGTGCAATTCACATGCCAGTATAGGGCCTTTAAACAATGGCAGGTCGCTGTCTTGGTATAGCTAATGCAAAAAATGTCGAGAAATCCTGGCTAGTATCCTTTAAAATGGTCCCCGAGTCAATATGCGACTGGTACTCAATGCGTTAAAATAAAATTAATTAACCGTGGCAGCTGAAGCACAGGTCTGGATTAGACAACGTGGCAGCCCAAGTTTCTAATGCCGTGATTTACAGTTGATTTGAGGCTACACACACTCTCACACTCCTCTCGTCTCTCCATCAAAATATGTTGAAATTAATGAGGACTTATTTTCACCAACCTGCACTGACCAGCGTGGTGAAGCATAGTAAAATAACCCCCACAACCGGCATGGCGTGGGGAGATTATCATCCAACAGTGTCTTGACAAAAGGGGCTATACATGAACAGACACCCACGGAAATGTACCGAGAGAAGGCAGTCTTCTCTTACACAACTCCAGGTCCAGTCTGAGCACACGTTACCGTGCTTGAGAACTGTTTCTACGGACTCCGAAAACAACAACTTGGCAACGATATTCCACCTGCTGCTCTAAGCGGTGTGCTAAAGCGACGGATATCAAGCAAACGGCACATGCACTGCAAACTGGAAATCTGCTCGGGTCACGCACGTCCAAGGAGCTGCAATTCTTCCAAGGTTCCAAAACCCGTTTCTTCCAGAGTCAAAAACTCACTCGCTCACCCGCCCCCAGGGAATTCTCCTCGCCCCGAGCAGCTCGGGCGAATCAAGACCAGAGTCGGTAGAATCCGAGGGCGATGGTCAGACACGTAAACACAGATGCTGCGTGGAAGAGAAGACATCATAGCAACGCGGTGAGTTCAACTGCTGCGGTCGTTTAATTTCAGTTTTGAGTACCTGGAGGAGGCTCTCAGCACGTGGAGTAAACGTCGGACGTCGTGCCGAACAACACGCGACACAACCCGAAAACACATTGGGGAGCTACGCAGCAAACCTACGCTGTAATGGCCCAGACTGGGCTGCATATACAATGTAATATACGGCCCTTGGTCAATCTACTGCTCAATGAAGACCTCCTCAAGCCATGCCAGCTATGGGGGTCGTTTGACCGAACTTCACCGTTGGTCAGAGAAGGTTAATGAAGTGTACGTCCAGAACCGGTTCAGAGATCACTCTCCACTGATGTGAGCCATGTCAGGGAATCGAACCGAGGTGACCGGGTTCATAGCGGTGTGCGCGAAACCACTGCGCCACCATGGATTGTGTAATGACCAACAGTAAAATATACATTCACAAGATACAATTTCATAACTCACGACACAATACTAGATCACCAACAAGAATCATCGTCAGCCGTGATAAATCCACTGCTGGATGAAGACCCGCCCAAGTCGCTGCCATCCTCAGTCCCACAATGCAACATTCACAATCCACCCGGCAACTGCACACAAGCCAATGTCATCGCTCCATCTCAAAGTCGACGTCACCTTGGACCCTTCCCTTCCACTTTGGCCCACAATCAACAGTTGGTGTCGGGGCCCCTCCCTCTTTCTGCCCACACCTCTTCCCTATTGCCACCCTACCCCAGGCTTCCCTCATTAGGTTGGTTATGCTCCCCCTCCCCAGTTATCCCCTCCCCATTTACATTTTCATCTTCTCCCCGACGTGGTGTCCCTCACTTGGTTGGGGAAGCAGGCCTCTTTCCCCACCTTCAACCTCCCCTCCTTTATATAGTTCAGTTGTGTCGGGACTGTCCTCCGTGAATTGTGACACCCGGTTCTGTGAGCCGCGTGGCATGCTGTACCAGGCTCGCGTTTTGTTACAATAAAAGCAATAAAAACTGTTAGTCTCTCCCACCGAACCGTCATCCCTTGTACCGAAGCAGCGCCCTGCCCAATCCCACACTGCTATAGGCTACTGACGCTGCCCCTCGTGGAGCATTGCTTGGCTCCAGGCGTAGCCGTGGTACCTGCGAGGTACTTGATGGTGTCCAGCTTGTTGGACTCCAGTATGGTCTTGAGGCCGGCGATCTCCGTGTCGATGCGGTTGTTGGTCTTGGTGAGCGCTCGGTCCTCCTCCGCATGCTGCAGCGCACGAGGTCATCACCGAGTCAACGTCGAGCTCACATCGTCGGGTACACCTCATCATCCGCTCGTCCATCAGTGTCACCCACGGCAGGGGCCTCGTCGAGAGTACGACATCGCCAAAATGACAGCTTATGTTGAGTGAACTCCTGATGTAGAATTTTTTAGATTTTTTTGTCATACTCGAAGTACTGTACTGCAACGTGCAAAATTAGTCCAATAAAAATGTGAAATTCATTTGAAAAGCTGAAAGAAACTGATTTTGCAGTAATAATCAAATCGTTAAAATGTAAACTACATATACATGGAACATGGATATAAACACACCTTACATAAGCTGTTTTTGATATAAGCAACATATGCTTCCATTAACACTGGTGTTGGGAAGGTGGTTCGGTGACTTCCAACTCAAAGCGCACTAATACAGATAGAAGCACAGCTGGCTTCTCCTGCCGTAAGCATTCTAACCACTGCTGCTTCACAATCTACAACGCGTATAATGCGCGTGTAGTCAGTTACGCAAAATATGAATACAATTAAGGTCGGTAAGGTTCTACGCTTTAAGTTGCGACACGGGAAGAAAAGCGCGTTCAATTGGTAATATAACAATTTATTTCCAGCTTATTTATAATCGGCATGGTGAAATCTTTATCCAACAATCGATAGCGCAACAGCTGATTATGTCGGTGGTGACCTTCGGGGGCAGTCAGAGCGAATTTTAAGGGACTCACCAGTTCCACAATTTCCGTCCTCATCTCCAGGAGTTTCTTTTCCTGCTCAGAAAACTGTCAACAGGGGTGGGGGAGAAATAAACGCATAACCCAAAGGTGACATCGAGGGTGTTTCAATAATGACGTTTACACCAACAAAGCGAACAGGCAGGGCACGCAGACACACGAGGCTCACGGAGACGCGAATGAACGCAGCGAGAGGCACAATGTTGTCGTTCCCTCTTTACCATTTCCTTCACGCGGCTTTTCTCCAGGTTCATGTCGAGCTTGGCATCCGATTTCACTTTGAGGAATTCATCCTGAAAGGGATGGAGTTGCCGGTCATAACTTCATCCTCACAATGACGACGTGAGAGAAGCACAGCGCTTTCGCGGACACAAGTACATTTTCTTGCAGTCTCATTTCTGTACACATCCAGTCAGTCCGTCATCGGTCTCCCGTCAGTCGGTGTGTGTGTTGAGTGAAGGTGTTGTGCAGAGGCGTGGGGGGCCATAGAAGCACAGTAATACAATGGATTTTTCTGCACTGATCTGTGTAGCTTATAACAACCTGCTGTGCACTGGGGGTCACCACCCATTGAATAAAGCACTATCCGGACTCAAACCTGCTTCAATTATGAGATCTTAAGAGATTGGGTGCATTCTGTGTGATTTGGCCATTGTGTTTTTTTTTACTTTAACATACGTATAATGAACAGCCCAATGTAGGCATTTGTTTTAATTTCAATTGAAAGTAAAACGTTAATTGAGCAAATGAGACTTTTTCTCAATGGGCTTATACTTAAGCACATAGATCACGAATGTTCGACATCAGGTCAGCCGAACTCGACAGCCCAAGTCCCCTCTCCTTCACTCACCACCCCCTCACCTTCGGGAACCAACCAGCTAATCAGCAGCGACCTACTGGCAGTGCAGCGCGAGGCCGTGTGATTGGTTGGTTGGTTCCTAGGAGAGTGAGAAGCGCAATAGGGGACAGCTGTAATGTTAAGCTGAACCACAGCACAGGCGGTTTGAGAATAGTCTCTTAAATTGTGAAATAAAATTGTAAAACGCAAAAGTATTTCCCCCCCCCCTTCTTAATGTCATTCGTATCTCAGGTGGTCAAATATAAGAAGGGGCTGCCAGGTTCCACGACGGTACACTAATGTCCCATAATGCACCCAAAATCTGGTGTTTGCCATGCATGTTTAACAAATGATTTTGTTGGCACGTGCAGTGCTTTCTGTCAACAAGATGGGGGCGCCCATATATCATGTGGATCGTGGGAGCTATCTCACCATACTTCATCAGACTGGCCAGTGCCGGTTGGTGAAGGTGGGGAGCAAAGACGTGGGAGCACAGAACCACAGTGTGGCAATGGATGATGAAAATTCAGTTTTTTCTGCATGTATTTTCTTTTTTTACTCAATGAGTAAAGAATGCTGGCCTCACCTCAAAATGTTTCTTCAGATGAATCAGCTCTATTTTCATCTTCTGCGCAAACAGGGAACATTTTTGGGCTGGTGTCAGAAAAATAATACTTTTACAATACAACTTTATGAATCAAGAACATTACAATTATTCCTTTTCAGACATCAAGGTACAGAATTTATCATTTAAAATTTAGTACATGTACTGCAGTAACAAGAAATCTGAATGGATACTTTGTCTTATGGTACGGTGCCGATAAAGACAATCGGGAAAAAATAGGAGCAAATGACAACTATAAAACAAAAAAGTCGCTTATTCCGTTTGTCGCGGGACGGCACAAGCACCTCGTTGTCGTTTCGCAGCGCCGAGAATTCACTCTTCTCTAGAATGATCATGTCCTTCTTGACAGCGGCCAGATGCGCCATCACCTGCTGTAGCATGATCTCCTGTGGTGAGCAGAATCCAGGTCAAGAGTTAGATGATCAGGTGACTCAGTGACACCCAAAGTTCAAAGCAATATTTAAACCACCAAGTCTCAAATACTATTGAAAATAATCACCTCGGTGAGATGCAAGGCTAATTTATTTTGTCGAGCATGTTTGTCTGTGGAGTGTCCAAAGGAAACTCAAGAATCAGAGCAAAGAAAGCTCACACTCGGCACAGCTATCAAGACACCTAAAGTTAACTCTCAATTGTAAATGGGTGGATTAACCGTGCTTACGAAAAAAAGTAGCAATATTAGATTCCCTGTCAATTTGTGCCTTTAAGTGCATCGATTCTATTATTAGCCGCTTTTCATTTGTGACTGCAGTGACCAAGGACTTAAAAGTCTACGTGTTCACCCCAATTATTATGCAAGCTATGATAATCCCATCCCAAATTAAATACGATTTGCATTATCCGTGTTGTTATCTCATGCGAGCCCTCCCTTCCCTCCTGACACTGGCCTCACCTGCTGGGATTTGGTGACCATTTCACGGTACACGGCCTCCATGTTGGCGTTGAGGATCTTAACGAGGGCAGCGACCAACACCTCCGCCTGCCCCGTGGCGAACCCTGTCGGCGAAGCAAATTTGACTGTGACAGTGGAATATGCCCATGGGCTCGTGGCGGGATGGGGAGCGTTTCGCGGGATGAAATAATGCCACAGTTCTGTAAGCATCATTATCTGTCAGGCTCAGTCCTACAAGCCACCTTGAACCATCTCATTCTTCTCATCATCTCCCTTCCCACGTTCCTATAACCTTGCTCAATTCAAGAATTCCATAACCATGTCTATGAACCCTTCAATAGTGCTATTTGTTGCTCAAGGCTTTGGAGTTTTTGGCCACTGGGCCTGTGCTTATCAACCGAGATAAAAATAACTCCGACCAGGTACTTATATCATCACTCCATATATGCAGTGGCTGTCCACTTTGAGGTATTCTGTACTTTTGGCTGCTGTACTATGGTTAGTCTCGTCCAAAGGCCCACTTTTCTCAATAATTAATACGATAATAATAGGGTTTTTCCCATTTTTTCTGGCAACAAACCTGAAACCTTTTTACAAGGATTCATGTATGCATTAACCACAATACCTGCAGCCAAAATGCAAAAAAACATACTATAATATATGCATTGTCCTTGAAACTGATTGGTCCACACCAAGGGACGGCTTTCTTTTGAGCCTCGACCCAATTGGTGCTCAGCCACATGACGCCAGAAGGCGTACGTCATGTGGTTGAGCACCAATTGGGTCGAGGCTCAAAAGAAAGCCGTCCCTTGGTGTGGACCAACCAGTTTCAAGGACAATGCATATATTATCATAGTATGTTTTTTGTTTGCATTTTGACTGCAGGTATTGTGGTTAATGCAGACATGAATCCTTGTAAAAAGGTTTCAGTTTTGTTGCAGGAAAAAAAGGGGAAAAACCCTATTATTACATTTTGGTACTGGCAAAGGAGGTCTAATGAAATTAATACGTCTCTGATTTGCATTTGCTTTTTTATCCATGCACTCCTTTCTCAGTTTAATTCTGGGCATGCATCTCTGCACGGTCTTCTGTGCACCATTAACCTTTGGTTATATTTTTGCCAATGTCCATGTTTCTGATCAATATCACAGCTGCCAGTATGGACCAAATAAAACCACTGTCAAGATGTGCAGAGAGGAAGACGCACACGGTATTTTACGGCTTCAGCTCATTCGATTTACTAGGTCGATTCTCTTTAAAAGCAGCCTAGTGCGAGTCATGATAAAATAGAAAATTACTAACACTTGGAACAGAGTGTGTATTTAATAAGATCCCTGAACGTGTTCTTTTGTCAAAGGGTGCATTATGCAATACGTTATAACTCTTATTATGTTGATGTTAGATGCTTGTTATTGCGAGGTCGGGGGGTTTATATGCTATTGCCTGTTCTCAGTCCACAAGGCCGGACACTCTACATATCTGTAAACACGCTTTTGTGACTGGCCACACCACGAGCGTCCGATTCATATGCGTACACAGAATATACCTTTTCAGCACCCATGCCATAGTGTTGGAATTTTTTTTAAAATATTAAATTGGAGAATGCAGTGTTCCAATTGCTGAACAGAGCCTTATCTAATCCATTGGTATGACAATGTTACTGGAAAATAACGTGGAATGGGGAAAAACCAACTGGGTAAATGTTCTTCTTTGGTTCTTTTGGTAAAGTCACGTAGAATGAGAATAAAATAATAAAATGTATTATTTGTATTATGTATTATTTTATGTAAAATGTATTATTTTATTCTCATTCTACGTGACTTTACCGAAAGAACCAAAGAAGATGAATCCTTGCAGTCACGAAAGCTTTAAATGGGTAAATGTTGTTCCATTCAAGGCTGAACAAAATATCTAATTTTACTTACAGTGCACGTAACTATATTTCACTCTACTGTACACAGCATAAATATGTATTTGTTTAATGTGAGCATTAGATACAACTCATCCAGTCAAGGGAGACAGATTAATTACTCTGTAATCTATGTTGCATAGGCGAACGTGCATGCGTAATCCACGACCCACTTTGGAAGCAAATACACGTTACACTCTACAGTCTTTGCACTGAATGACCAATGGCTATCGGGCCAGTGTAGTATGTAGAACTTCTTTCGCATCGTACGTAGCCAACTGTGCTAATCGGAGGTGTTTACTGAGTGACACCCTAAACCGCATCCACTGCACAAACCACGGCGGATGCGGATACCTGATGCACACACAGAAAATTAAAATGGCGTGACCACCTGAATGTGACATTGTGGTTGTTGTTCTGCATCAGCAGTCATGCGAAAGAAGAAGCCTGGGTGACAGTTAGCAGCTTTACATAAATCACGATTGTCTCTTAGAATCGCTCACACCCTGACACAGCGGGTAGTGTGGTAGGGCGGTGTAATTCCAACACGAAACCCGAGCACCTGGCTATGTGTTGCTCTCCATTGCCCGTAAAGGCCGAACTATAGCCCGGAGGTTGACATGGCATGGCTGTACATGCGCAAGGCGGTTAATCACAGCGTGGCTGCGGTTAATCCCAGCGTGGCTGCGGCAACCCAGCTAGAGACAAACCCACATTGGGAATTCACCAGAAATGCATTGTGGGGACCAACCAAAGAATCAGAAGGTGGATTTATCCTGGATTGAATCCGATGAGCTATGAAGCGCTTTTTTTACACATGTCCAGTACGGGCGGGTCAGAAGACATGGAAGAACAAAGATTGGGGGATGTTTGGTGTTGGTATGAAGTGAATATAAGTCAGGCGGACAGCAGTGGATTGAGAATGGACTGTTGCTAGTGAGTACACTCATTGTTTTTTTCGGTAAAGTCACGTATGTAGAAATAAAATAAAATTACATTAAAACAAAAAACAATCACGACGTTTCGATCACAGGTGTCAAGAACAAATCACGGAGGTAAATACACTGTTAAGAGCATCTAAAACACACGTGCACCTATCCTATAGACGCTCTAGTCATATTGGAAATGTATGAATGACATGAGTGTGAGATGGTAATGACAGGGGAGGAGCAGGGAAAGACCGATGGTAACGAAGCCACAATTAACCAACTTGTGGATGAGGGTCTCTTCACACTGTACGGGTCGTGAGGGTTATGTGACCATACTTCACCACGCTGGTCAGTGCGCAGTGGTTGAAGGTGGGGAACTAAGACGCAGAAGCCTAGTACAGAAGTAGTGTAATTATTGGTGTGCATTACCATCTTCTTACCCAACACGTAACCCCGTCACTCCTGAGAACCTGGTTGTGCATGGCCATCTAACGAAACACTGACCAGGATTAACCCGCGAGATGAGGCGCATTCCGAGTGATTTGACCACAGACGGGTTCACTCGCCCACTGCCGGCAACCACCAAATCTCCACGTGATCCACCAACCCTTGGCTCTTCTCTCCGAAAGCGTCTTCGCCTCTTAGAGACCACAGACACGCCACCACCTTCAAAACCAGCACAACCATCACGAACCATCGCCACTTTGACCACCACCCCACCGCGTACCATTGCTCTCCAAGAGAAGCACCATGGCGTGCGTGTCAAAGTGGAACTTGCGGCTCTCCGTCGAGGTCAGGTCCACCTGCCTCAGGTCGTAGTTTAACCTCAGCTCGGCCGTGCGAAATCCACGGGACGGGGCGGCGACATCACCGCTGCCGCCGCCACCGCGGGGTCCCCGGCTGGGAATCCAGGCGAGGGCGGGGGGCCCGCGGAAGACATCCAGGCCCGGGCGCCTCCTCGCTGCGGCTGCAGCCATGAGCGAGCGACCGGGCGTGGACGAGGAGAAAGAGGTGAAGGGGGCGAAGCGCCTGGAGGTGGCGAAGGAGGAGAGAGACGAGGAGGAGAGGAGCCCGCGAGGACGAAAGAAGCGGCAGCCGGGCGGCATCGCAACTCCTGCTGCACGGTTGCCCGGGGGTCACGCAGTCCGCAGCACGTGACGCGGAAGTCACGTGGTGGGAGCAACACGTGCGGGTTGGGGGGAGGGCCAACACGTGCGGGGAGACCCAAACAGAAGCGCACGAGGTGCTGGTGGTGGGGGATAGGCGGATGGCGATGCTTGCTGCTGTCTGTAGTTGCGTGATCCTGGCGTTTGTTTCATCTCCGTCTACTGCTAGATGACGGCCCTTCGATTTAGCAAGCTCCTGCAAACGAGACGATCGCACCGCTGCACCATCTCCGGGGTGGAAGTTTGTTCCTCTTCCTGTCAATCAATCAATCCACCTTTCATTCCGTCATCCTCGCAGCAGCAGCGGCTGCTTTTGGCTCGGCCATCAAACAAAGACGGTGACCGCATCGCGAGCTTGCAGCTGCGTTACTGCGGCCTTTTGGAACGACCTTCCGTCCGAAATTAGGAAGCCATTGGAGCTATGCACTTGTAAATGTATATTGAAAACTCATTTCTTTAGAACTGTTTTTGTTTCGTTCTTTCCCCGCACCTCTAATTAGCATGGTTGGCTACGTACGGTGCGAAATAAGTTCAACATACATCTTGGCCACCGCTCCATCACTTACAACGACCTTTTACTGCTCAAGCCCAGTTCAGTTTTTCTGTTAAGTGTTTCACGTTTGTTCTGATCCATGTGTTCCTCATTGTGACCCTCTGTAATTAAATGCATGCATTTTCAAGCTTCGCGTACATTTCAGATTCGGTCCAATGTTTTTCAGGGTCAATGTTTCCGATCCATGTCATAGCAAGCAAATCGACTGCACTCCGATTGAAAACTTCTTTAGGCATATTGGTATGCACGTATTGCTCTTGACAATCAATTTCAGATTCTTGGTTCTTTCGGTAAAGTCACGTAGAAGGGAAACAATAAAATAATACAAATATAAAACAATGAAATTCTCACGACGTTTCGACTGCAACACAAGTAATCATCATCAGGTGTGAAAACCATAACAAAAAACCTTTTTAAATAAGTGGCGTTTTTTTATTTTAACGTTAGCACCACGGAGAGCGATTTGAAAGTTTGTTCAGATGGACGAGTCCATCTATGTTCAGAAAAGAGGAGGGAGACGAAAATAATGGATGCGGTCTGAAAGCCACCTTAAGCGTGATCAATCAATTAAGACCCGAAAAGGTTTATCAAATCCTTCCAATGATTGCAAAGCCAGAATCCATCTTCTCAGTTGAAATTGTCTGTATATGTGGATAGCCTCATGAACGAATCTCTCATGGTAGCCAGATGGCTTGCAAAGAACCTCTGTCTTGGAGAAGTCAATGTCATGTGAACCTACTGAATTATAACAGTGATCTGCCACGGCCGAGGTGTTGGTCCTACCGTGTTTCAGGTCTGCTTTGTGTTCACGAATGCGGTCCGAGACATGTCGTTTGGTTTCTCCAATGTAACTACTACCACAGAGGCAACTTAGTTGTAGACGCCAGGGTACTGTTATGTCCGGAATCACATCTTTTACATACGGAACCAGATCACGAATTTTATGTAATGTGTTGAATCGGACCTTAATCTTGTTTATTCAAGATTTTGGAGATCTTATTTGTGATCCCCGCAATGTAGGGTAAAGTGATGGTTTTGAAAGGCTCAAGAGGGTCCTTCTTCATGGTTGGAGTGATAGCTTTGCGGATTGTGTAGTCGGAATAACCATTAGCCTTAAGAGCTTGGTGTACGTGCTTGAGTTCACTGGCTATGTGTGTCTGGTCGGATATGCATTGTGCTCTATGATGCAGAGTCTTGATGAGGGAAGTCTTCTGGGATGGATGGTGGTGGGAATCCGGTTTCAGGTAAGCATCCGTATGGGTAGCTTTCCTGTAGACATGAGGCTATCCACATATATAAACACAGACAATTTCAACCGAGAAGATGGATTCTGGCTTAGCAATCATTGGAAGGATTTGATAAACCATTTCGAGTCTTAATTGATTGATCACGCTTAAGGTGGCTTTCAGACCGCATCCATTATTTTTCGTCTCCCCCCTCCTCTTTTCCGAACATAGATGGACTCGTCCATCTGAACAAACTTTCAAATCGCTATCCGTGGTGCTAACGTTAATAAAAACCGCCACTTTTTTCAAATTTTCTTGTTGTGGTTTTCACACCTGATGATGATTGCTTGTGTTGCAGTCGAAACGTCGTGATTATTTTATTGTTTTATATTTTTATTATTTATTTTCTACGTGACTTTACCAAAAGAACTAAGAATATGAATCCCTGCAGAATATGAATCCCTGCAGTCACGAAAGCTTTAAATCAAAATCAATTTCAGCTTTCTAAAATAATTTCCAACCTGCTCTTGCTACCCTCTAAATCAATTTTATCTTACATTTATATCGCGCTTTAATTCAAGGCGCTTTAGAAAAGTTATACAAATCGTACATAACATGATAGTGGTTGAACTCAAGTGTGGCGTTATTAAAAGTGGTGTGGTTATGGTGACAGGACAGGTGGGAGTGGTTGAGGGTTTTGGGTAGTTATAGGGTTTGGGGCAGTGAATGGGGGTTGGGGTAAGCCTGGTCGTAGCTGGGGGGCCGGGGCAGGCAGTAGTAGGATGGACAAGGGAGAAGAGATGGGGGTTAAGGGACGGAAGCAGCATGTCGGTGAAGATGATTATTTAATATTCAGTGGGTGTTTGTTCCAGTGAATGAGCAAGAAGGGACTGGACGCAGGGCGAGGGAGGCACAGAGGGGCAGTCGAGATTGGGAGAAGAGGGATGGGACAGAGTAAGATATGAGATAAGCAACATACGAAAAAAGGCAATCTTGGTGCTACAGCGCAAAGATAGATTCTGCTGTGTTTTACAGTTACAAAGTAAAATTCTGCAATCCGAGCATAAAGAGAACACACATTGCAGTCGTTTATTTTTAAGACTCTTCTTTATGTACACTTTTATAATGCGCAGACAGCAGCAAATCGACCTAACAACCCGTCTTCAAGGGAGGGTGTACTCTGAAGACGGCTCCGAGGAAGCCTTTATTGTGCAGGCTTGCGCGTGGCATTGAATCTCGATGGCCTCTTGCTACATATCAAACCTGCGTGGGTGGTCGCTCTGCTAGGGCAGAGTGTTGTCGAGACACATAACTCGACAGCATCCGATGTATCTCACCCTGACATCTCAAGACCACGGGGTTAGCGGTAGCTGCATGGTCCGATAATAATCCTTAACATGAAAGAATATAAATTGAGCACAATTGTTGATCAAAATGTTTAAAAGAGGAATAAACGACACTACCCCTTTGGGGTAATAACATGCAACGTTTTGACAAATACATTTTTAAACCGGGTTTCATATGGTTTAGTTGAGACAGTTCAACCAAATAGATGTATTTTAAAGTTGTATAAAAGGCCTAATTGTACTAAACGGGTGCATATTCCTTATGTCAAAAAGGTTTACAATTTGGCTCTAAAGCCAGTCTCTTATATCACCAGCCAGATGATGTCACAAACCAGTTGACAAAGTTAGGCGAGCAGAACATGAAATGGCATCGATGCGTTTTAAGTTGCAGAACTAGCAAATTGTTGCATCACTGGATCGTAATTGCTAATACACCACACCCCTGCTCTTTGAGCACCGACAACAAAGCAGGAGTTTGCAAATTAGCAATGGCCTAAACTCTGGTCCAGGTAGATGGTGGGCATAATGCTTCACGCATGAAATATAATACCTTTTCCACCGGCACATCGGATTCAAGCCAGCACAGGGCCCTCATGGTTAAGAGTGGCTTTCCACAAGCAACATGTCGAGCCGAACCAGAAGAAGGCCATGACACTGACCTCACAAAACATGAATATGACCAAGGGCCAACCAAGGCCAGGGGCCAGAGAGTCAATACTTATCATCATACGTGTTATCTACATGCGTCTCGACCAACTCATTGCATGTAACGTCAGTGGCACAGCTCATAACTTCCGTGAAAAACCTGCTGGCCCCTTGAGCCACGCCGGGATGGCTTGGCGCAGCTCCGGCACCGCTCAGTCGTCGTTGGGGGGAAAAAGAAAGAGGTCTAAGGGGGTACACAAGGTGCGATAAAAACCGGGCGGAGATGGGGAACCCGAGTAATGCATTTACTGCTGGTCCATGGTGTTTACTCAGCATCATATTTTCCGAGTTTTATAAATGATACCCCCTCCCTCTGCAAAATGATTTCAGTATCCCCCTTTAAGTTGTTTGTTCTTAAGACCAGTAACAACTTTGGAATTTTTAGATTTAACAGTATAAACTACATTCACCCATTTCCCACAACAAAGCTCTTAAATGCAACATTCTTTTCCTATTAAGAGTCTAATTTAACATAGAACAAACATTATTTATCTTTTCAACTGAAACACAGTTCAGGTTAAAAGGCTGGCAGCATTATTCTGCTATGACACCACAAAAGTTCTCCTTTAATAATGTGGGTTTGTTACAACATCCAGATCCCACGGACACAGATGTCCTGTATAGCTGATAGGGAATTTCATGGTCTGCCCCATCTTCCCACATCGCAGGCCAGCATTTGCCATTTTCAATCGATGCTCAAACTCTGGCCACAAAGTTCACTTGTCAGTGCACTCACTGCTTATCTGACTAATATTCAACTCATGAAGGGTGCCATCAAAATGTAAAAACGAAGACACAAAACATCCTTCTACAAAGCAAGCAAGCAAGCAGACAGTGCAAGGGGGGCCTGTGGTGGACTCGGATGTGGTATTTGACATTACAGTGCAATGTGCTACCCCATCCCACCTGTCGCTGGACGCTGCTGTAGGTTTCATTGCGTTTAACGATCGTGCAATGTGATTTCACTGTATCTGATCGAGACGGGGCCAGGTCCACATCGGTTCAGATAATCATCAGTCTGCCTTGGCCCCGTTTTTTGTATTCTCCACCTAAGCGCTCAAATAAAATGCCTCTTCCAAGTCGCCACGATCCCAACACCACTGAAGCAAGCAGCTTTGAAGCAAAAGTGCTCAACAACGAATTTACAAGCACCTCTAAACATCGCACGCAATTAATCAAATCTCTCTGCATATGCAGACTAAATAATGCAGGTTTATTAAAGCTCGATGCTGCATTGTGGGTGCCTGAAACCGTACTCCATCATAACGCTAAAAAAAACACTGGGCAATGCTTGGTGTAGTTTTTTTTCTTCCTCCCTCAAACCCTCCCCGCATAGGTTCTGAAGCTTATGTCCACGTACTGCTGTGCCCAGCACAGGTTTATTCAAA